ACTGATTTTGATGCATCTGGACAATCAGACAAAAGGACTTTCTGTTAATCCAAATCGGGATATAATTGTTCATGGAGAAATGGGGATACATCTACATTGTGTAGAAAATACAAATGCCAAGATGTTGATCTTGCTCAAAGTTAATCGGATTGTGATTCTAAAATATTTGGATGCAGTTTCTACATTAACTCTTGTTTCACTCTTTAAAATAATTGTGATAATTATTATGCTTTGGGCACTGATAATTAATAGAAGCAATTATTTTGCAATGGAATTCCAACCATATCAAATTAGAAATGCACCTATTTAATAGATGATAATCTATGTCGAGTGAGAGATCAATGCACAACCTATAATGTCAGTGGAATAAGCGATAAGGTTAATGCTTGTTTAGGCATGTATAATTCAGCAGGAATCCAATGCATATATGTCAAAGGTACAACTTGCAATTAGGTTGATAAATGTGAAACATATACTGGATTATCCAATATGAGTGATTGTACCACCTTGTTTGATAGTAATCAAAGACACTGTCTTTAAGGGAGTTCCACATGTCTCACATTCACTTGTGACAATATCAGCAATCCTACATCCCTAAGTGATTGTGATGCCTAATTGAAAGGCTTATGCTTTTTCAATACCAGCAATTCTAAATGCATAAATATCTCTGATTGTTCCACTTACAAAAAGAGTGATTGGCCAACTAATGCAGATCCCATTAATCATTGTTCAACACTTATTGACAAGAATGGACATAATTGTACTGCAGATAATGCTACTAGCACCTAATGTAGAGAAAGATTGTGCAGTGATAAATTATTCTATTTGAATTCAGAATGCTTAGAATGGAAGTCGTCATGTAAATCAGATGGATCAAAATGCATCGATTCAACTAAATTGTGTTCTCAATTTACAGGCAATTCTGATTCATGTAGCAAATATTTGGATTCTGATAATCTCAACTTTTGTAAAGTTATCAATGGTTCTGAACAAGCTGTCGGTCCTTGTTTATCCTTATCATGTTATCAGAACACTACAGCTACTACTGATTCAGATTGTAAAGCATATCAAAATGGATGTTTGACCAGAGGAGTTGGATGTATACCCAATACAGCAAAATGTGATGAATATCGAGGAACCAGAGATCAATGCACTAAATTCAATGGGTATCTGAATCAAACAACAACTGAAATCTGTTCAGGAGATTTCACAAATACTGATTAATCTAAATGTAGATCAAGAATATGTTCAGATAATCTAATTGATAATAGTGATGCTTTATGTTCATATTTTAAAACTGGGTGTGTCACAAATGGCTAAGGCTGTATAGATATCAATGCCAGTTGCAGCAGTTATAAAGGCACTCAATTACAATGTAGTAAATTCATGGGTAACAACAAAACCGTTTATTGTTGGAACAATATAGATGCTCCCAGTAATTACAATTGTATTGATAAACAATGCTCTCATGTCTTGGGTACTACAGATCAACAATGTGAGCAAGCCTTTCCTAAGATAATGATTAATGGCAATTTGACACTTCCATGTATTAGTAATGGAACCAATTGCATCAAGAATCCTGCCAAATGCAGTGATTTCATAGGCAATAATATTACTTGTTAGACTTATTCTGCCATTGTTGATGGACCCTGTAAAGGTAATTTAGACAATTCAATGGGATATTGTTAACCAAGATAATGTTATGAAGCACCTAAATCATTTAATACTGATGCATAATGTTATGATTATCATCCTTCTTGTCTAACAACAGGGTAAGGATGCATGAAATTTTAATCCTATGATAATTAAGGCTAGCCAACCCTAAATTGTAATAGTTTAGTTAGTAATGATGTCTGTTCCTTAAAACTTGGTTGTACTTTGGCCAGCTAATGTTTAGCGTCTGTTTCCTCATGTTCATTATTGACATCATAAGCAGTTTGTCAAACAACAGTCTTATCAAACGGAAAGAATTGTGTTTATGATTTGTCCATTAATAAATGCAGAGAGTTTCAGTGTTCTGACTATGTTGGCATCAATGATAATAACACTTGCCAGAAATTCAGTAGTGATTGTACAACTAATGGGAATGGATGCGAAATAATGAAATCTTGTGGATAATATTATGAAAAACTTACATGCTAATCTGCATACTCTACTGATCCAATCAATAGGTGTACATGGACTGATTCTGGATGTAGACAAAGAACATGCAAAGATTTCCTAGGTATTACCAACTCATCTTGTAAATCATTCATGTCTGGGTGTATTACAAATGGTGTGAATTGCGTTGGACCAAATTACTTATGTTAAGATTTGCTATAGAAAACTTGTCAAACTGATTATCTAGGTAATCCTTGTTTATTCTATAAAAACACTTGCTATTCCTACTCGAAATGTGAAGATATGAAATTCGCCACTCATGAAGAATGTCAAACATTCTCAGAACTCTGTACCTCAAATTAAATAAATTGTATACCATTAAATAAATGTCAGTATTACACCTAATAAGAATCCTGTAATATAGGAATTGATGGGATGTGTGGTTGGAATAACAACAAATGCAATCTATTCAAACAATGTTCAGATGTTTTGGGAACTTCAACTCCTATTTGTAAATAATACTCTAGTGTCTGTGTAAGTGACGGTGTAAAATGCGTGGAATAAAATATCTGTTCATTCTATTACTCATAGTTTCTTTGTGAACATAACTAAGGACTTGATGGAGTCTGTATTTGGAATGACAATGTCTGTAGATTGAAATAGTGTGAAGATCTGACTACCAATACTGATACATTCAACAAATGCTATAATCAATTAACTACTGTGCATTGTTCCAGTAATGGTAGCAAATGTATCAGTCTATCTTCGTGTTAGTATTATAATGAGAAGTCTTGTATTCTGGGCACAGATGGACCTTGTATTTACAAATTACCACTCGATAAGTCATCAAGTTAAATCTCTTGCAGACTTAAGCAGTGTTAAGATGTCATAGGCAAAACTCTAGATGTCTGCTTGTCTGCTTTTGATGCTTCCTATAAAAAATGTGTCTCGAATGGATCCATATGTGTTGATTTCAATTACTGTTCATAATATACTACTAAGGTTGCATGTACTTCTGGAGGAATGGATGGATAATGTGCTTTCACACCCATCGCTTCATAGTCTAATGATGGAATCTGTAAACTCTTTACATAATGTTCAGATGCAAACAGTGACAAAGATACATGTCTTGCCAACTCAAAGTACTGCTAATGGATTTCATCGAATGTAACCAAGCAATGCATCCCCCATACTTGTCTCACTTATAACTCCAAAAAGGATTGTGTTCCCGTTCCAAGTTTTGATTAGAAATCATTCCTTCTTTGTGCTAAAATAAATAACACCTGCTAAGAGGTCTAACCAACAACCTTGAATATGGATACTTGCTATATCAATAGTGCCTAAACATATCTTTGGAATACATCCACGTCCAAATGTGTTTAATGCAAAGTCAAATCTGATACTGATGTAACACCCAACACTTAAGTACCCACTAAATCGTCGGTTCTGCTATTTACTATAGCCATCCTATTCAGTTTATATTTCTGACATTATATAAATTGTGTTATTGATTATTAAATTTATTTTATAACTTTTATTTCTCATAAAAATAAAGCATTACAATGGAATTACAAGTCTACGCTTTATTTTTTCAAAACTCTAAAAATTATTCCCAGTAAAAAAAAATTTTTATTTTCATATTTTTGTAACTTTTTTTGAAAATGTCTAAAAATAATCCCATTTATCTCTTCTTTTAAACAAATTTACATTAAAAGGCGTAATTCTATAAAGAGGAAGCCACAATATTAAAAATATAGTATTATATCAATTTAGAAATTGCAATCTATTTTTAGATTTATTTATACAATATTTATTTTTATTCAATTGCAATAAAATTAAATCATATTTATTCTCATATCAAATGCATTATGGAAATAATATTATATTTTAGCATTTAAATTTGAAGACATAGATTTATTATATAATTATATAACAATTTGTTTTTGAAAAAATAATTCTGTAAGAATGGAGATTTAGGTTAGTGATTAGTTTTACATTTACTTATTTCTAGTATATATATGGTTTAGATACTCTATTGTTGAGAAAGACCCTTTTTCAATTGATTTTCTTTTTGCTTTATCATTTTTAAATTGAATAAACTGAATAAATACAAAGATTTAATTCAAACAATAATCGAAACTAGTTTAATCGTTTGGATAGTCCATGGCTGTCTACATCTATCTTTAGAGTTAAAGTGTTGAAATTTGATTGAATTAGGTTGTTAATGATTAGGTTTATTTAATGGAATGTTTGGAGGGGATTGAATTTTAATATAATTAATTAATATAAAAATGGCTTAGTAGAAAGGAAAGAATAAGATTAATCATAGATAAAGGTAGGGGGATTGGATTTGTAGTAATTGCAGCAATATGAATTTTGCATTTAGAGACTCTTGCAATCGATGTCATACTATAAAAATTATGAAAAATAATGAGAGTAAAGGATTCAAATCTGCACTTTTTTTGACAGAGAGTAATGGGGATATACCACCAATATCAGATCGGTCAAATAAATCATCAGGTGAGAAAACTGATATTGGAACCAATAAGTTTTCATTTGATAAATTACCTTCTATGGAACCAATTTTAAAACAGATAACCAAAGAAACATGTAAAATCAATTAAAATATGAAGAACCAAAATATGATTTCTTTGAGTTTGAATGGCAATGCTAATAATGCCAAAAGATTAATTAATACTATAAAATTCATTGTGTCGAATGCGGTGCTTAAAGGTATAGAAAATCTACGATTTGATCTATTACAATAAAATGTTGATTTTGTTATATTATTTAAGTTATTTTGTATAGTAATTTTAATATAAAATGAAGGAAAGAGGAGGCCATCTGCAGATTAATGAGATCATATGAAATATTAATTAATATAATTTTATTAATAAAAATTTAACTGTTAATGAAGGACATTTCAAGAAGAATCTTTGAAAAAGAAAATTAAGCAGAAGTTTCCAACAATCCTAGACAATTAAACAAATCCCTGACTTAGTTAGTGTCATTGACAATGATAAACAATACTCGAAGTATTACATAAAATACTATGTCATTAGAAACTGAATTTAAAGGCGTAGATATAAAGAATACTCAAGTACCTGTCTCCCAAAGACCACTTGTATTTTGTAAGCCTGAGTAGAGAGTGAAAACGGTGAAAACTATACCATCCCCATAAAAATAATCCTAAGAGAAGAGCAACGAGAGTCAATCAAAAGAATTATGTAATTTGTTATAGAACTACTCAGAGCCAATTTTAGATTATTATACTAAATTGGATGTATGTTATTTAAATATATTTTTAGACTGAAACTCCTAAAAATAGTTTATAAAATCATTCTATAAATACCAGTTTGAGAGCAAAAATGATAGATTGGATAGTTGAAGTTCTTTCATCTTATAAATGCAAGGATCAAACGTTTCATTTATCAATAAGATTGATGGATTTGTATCTATCAAAAACTACTCAGAAACATCTTCCATAGGACTTGCATTTAGTTGGAGTCTCATCAATGTTTATAGCATGTAAATATGAGGAAATCTATCCTGTGAAATTGCAGGTAGTTTATGAAAAAATTGCACACAAAAAATTAACTAAGGAAGAAATCAAGGACAAAGAAGCAGACATATTATAAGTTCTTGATTTCAATTTGAATGGAACTACAATATTAGATATCATAACAATGGTCTTGTCAATTCTAAATCTACATTAATAGTTATATGAAGTGGCTAATTTTTTAGCAAAATTAGTATTTATTATAATTTAAAGCAGGCTTTATTTGATTATGAATTTGTCAACTAATACTCATATTTGTAGTTAGCATGTGCAGTTTTAATTGTCAGTACAAAGACGATAGAATTGATTGATTAAAATTTATCATCAGAAGTGACTATCTCATTGATTATATCTACATTAAAACTAGATTATAAAGATTCCATTACTTGTGCCAATAGATTATTAGAATAGGCCAAAGGATTTGAGAAACAGTTTCCTAATTTAGAAAATCTTAAGAAATTCAGTAAGTTTCAAATTTCAGACATTATGTAAACCTAATGTTGACTTTTACTTTTATATAATTTTTAAGAACTTATTTTATGTTATAATGTAAAATTGATTTATCAATACTGAAATTGCGAATGTTAATTGTGTCGTAGTTAAATTCTTCTCTTAAACATTAGAATAAAAAGGGCACATTAAAATTAATTAATTTTTTATAAAATTTTAATATATTATTAAAATGCCATTAGCATAAATTTAAAGATTTATTATATTCTTGAACCATTTTAAAGATGAACTTGTTTTAAAAGCTCATAATTGGATTCAACGTCATTAAATATAAATAATATGAACAAATACTATAGAATTTTCTTTTATTAGAGATTTGATCACGATATATTAATATTTTCAAGTTCTTAGCTTAGTATGTGGTAATTTGTGAAGCTGTTATTAAAATGGTTGTTATGTGAAGGGTAATTATGGCTGCAGTTAAGAATGTGAGTCAAATTCTAATTTGATTGATCCTCGAGAGTTGAAATCAAGGATTGATTGAAATACGTGTTACGATGCAAGTAACATGCTTTGAATGGTGGATTAATATATTAAATTTGGTTAATTCATCCTAGATACAAGCGCCTAAATGAATTTAGAGTATTAAGTTTGCAATTAGGATAGCTATTGGTTTGATATGATTATCTGATCAAGTTGTGATGGTTGTTTGTCAATGTATATCTAAATATAACAAAAATAACGAATACCGATTGAATATCAGATTGGATACTCAAGGGTTGTACAACCATAGTGAAGGGATTTATGACACATATTTTTAGAATACTTTCAACTTTTAACTTCTTCTTTCTAGTTTCTTTTTTTCCTATTCGACCTTCTCTTTCATATGTCTTCTAGATCGTTCGTACGGTGCAATACTTCAATTACAGTTTGCTAGCCACCTAAAGAGATATTAATTGAAAAAGCAACTTATATAAATAGAAGGATATAGAAGAGGAGTGATAAGAAAGATTATAATTAATACCTCTTGTAATGATAATTTTTAATTGAATAGCATATCAAGTACTAGTTTTCTTTGGTCACATTCGATTTTTTGATATTGTTTACTTTTCTTTGATTTGTCTTCAATGTTATTGGATTTGCCCATGCTTTGTGAACCTTTTTAATTATTATTTTTGAAAAATGTTATCAAAACCAGATCTGGCTTTTAATTTAAAAAAGATTCATTAGTGTCTAAATTTTTATAATGACATTGTATTCTATTTTTATACAGCTTCTAAATCTTATTTAATGAAACTATACAAATTTATTAAAGCTCTAGTTTGACTTTTTTAAATAATGATTATCATAAAATTTCTATACTTTAAAATGAATTGAACTTTCAAAGTAAGTATTATTGTTTTTGATTTTAATTTTTGTATCAAAAATAAATATATCATAATTAAACTTTTTTCCTTCTTTGAGCAGCACTTTCGTCTTCATCTTGTTCTTCCTCTTCATCCTATCTTGGTTAAGAAATAGATTTTTTGGATTCCCTTTCTTCCATTCTTCTTCCTTTTCTACTGACTTCAGCCTTCATCCTTTCTTAATCCTTTGCCTTGAAAATATCAAACAAGAATAATCGATAGACACAATGAAATTCTTTAATATCATCAAAATGTAAAGGTCTTCCTAATTCAAAGTCCCCTTTTAATGAGACACCTTTGTTTAGTTGGAAGTAGAGAGTTAAAACAAAGTTTTAGGTTTGATCAACACAAACTTCAAAATTCCTTTGACTAATGGATCGATGCATCATATCAAAATAACTATTGTAAGTTCCTTCTAATCCGCTTTTTTTGCGTTTTTATTCAAATTTTTCCAAATCAAAATCTTCTACCCAAAAATCGAAACCATTTGTAACTTGAATTTTGCAACGTCCCTTACTCTCCATAGGTTGAAAATAGATGATGTACTCTTTTTAATTGTAGATGATGAGTGTATTAAGGAATGCCAATTTGCCAAGTGCTCTACAGAATTCAACTCTTCTCTCTGTCATAAATTAATAATATAGTGTACAGGTGTGTAGTATGGGAATTAAAAATAGTTAATATCATGCTTATTATTGTTTAATTAATTATAAATTTAATTAATGATGGAAACAGAAAACTAATAAATTGGTAATTAGATTAAACCTAAGACTACAATTCTTTGTTCAATTTGTGATCTTGCTTTCACTCCCAGTGAGTAGAAGACACTTATTTGCACAAATTGTATCATCAATTAGACTGACATTACTGTTGGTATAACCAAGGAGGGTATTGTAAATTACTGTCGATTCTGTCATCGTTATTTAAGACCACCTTGGACTTTGTGTGAGAGGGAATCAAAAGAGTTATTGAGCATTTGTTTAAAGAGATTGAGAGGGTAAATGATATTTGAATACATTTGCTTAGATTGAATAAAGTCAAAATCATAGATGCTGCCTTTGTGTACACTGAACCAAGTTCAAAGAGAATCAAAGTCAAATTAACAATTCAGAAGGAAGTGCTCAACAATACTAATATGCAATAAGTAAGGATTCCATAACTAATTAGACATTCATATGCGAATTCGTGGAACATTATCAACAATGTGAAGATTGTAAAAAGGAATTCACTCCTCACACTTGGGGAGCAGCAGTCTAAGTTCGTTAAAGAGTGGATCATAAGAAAACATTCTTTTATTTGGAACAATTACTATTGAAATACAATGCAAATGACAAAGTGTTGAAAATAGAACAAGTTGATGATGGATTGGATTTCTTCTATAAATCAAGGTCACATGCCAATAGATTAGTAGAATACTTATCAACTATATTGCCAATAAGAGTGTAACAATCTAAATAATTGGTATCACATGATGCTAGCAGCAATCTCTTCAATTATAAGTATGTTTATGCAGTAGATTTGCCTAAAGTGTGTAAAGATGATCTAGTTATTCTGCCTTAGAAATTGTGCAAAGAATTGGGAGGAGTGGGCAGAGTACAATTATGTTATAAATTGACAACCATCATTCACTTAATTGATCCCCTCTCAATGAAATGTTCAGATCTATCCATTGAAGCTTTTTCTTTGTATGAAAATGAAATTGAAGTCTATAACCTAAAAACACATCAACATGAATTCACTGTTGTTGATGTTGAACGTATTCATACCAGAAATTTGAATGAAAGTTATATCTCAAGTTCATAAAATGCATTCTTACCAAAATTGACAAGAGTTACTATTATTAGGGAATCTAATAATTACGTACCTGTGACTGTAAAAAGTCATTTGGGAGACATACTCAAAACAGGTCAGGTTGCTATTGGTTATGATTTAACTTAATTGACTATTGAATCTTTGGAGGATATTTCTAATTATCCTGAATGCATATTAGTGAAGAGACAAATCAATAAGGAAGCCAGGAAATTGAGAATCTTCAAGTTGAAGAGATTGGAAGCTCAGAATGTTATGGAAGAGGAAGGAGGAGAAAGAAAGAGAAATTAATGTATTCAATTATTTCATTATCTTTTTTAGAGAAGAAATAGAATGATTAAGAGGAGCAATTCGAAGAATTCTTAGATGATGTAGAAAAGGATAAAGAGATGAGAAAGAACATCAATTTATATAGAGATGAAGAAAAGATTAAAAAGTTAAGTAAAGAGGATTTGAAGAAGAAATAAAAGAAACAAGTTTAGTAATAGAAAAAAGATAATGATGATGAATGGTAAGATGATGATGAGGATGATGTTAAATTAGAAGATTTAATGAAAGATTTGAATTTGGAAGATAAACCAGAATTAGCTGAACCTGTTGATGAAGTTTAAGATGAAATCAATCAATTTATTACCAAATTAGAAAAAGTAACAATAGAAAAATGATATATATATATATATTCTTATTTTTAACACATATTCACATAAACATTAATCAAGTTGTTTTCACTTAATTTTACTCTCCTTACTTTAGCTATGATAGTTCATATTATTATTCCTCATTCAATTTTCTTCTTTTCTATTTCTACTAAGGAATACAAATCCACATGAGTATTAAACCTAATCCCACTGCTAAACTAATTCCCATGACTATTAATATATAATCTATTTTTGATTCTTCAATCTTCACTTCTTCTTTATTCTTCATTTTCATATCATTTGTCTTATTATAAATTAAAGCGACATTATAAAAATAAGTGTATGGAATATCACAACCCTCATAATAAGCTTTAAATACAAGTTATCCATATATTAATTCTCTATTAATCAGCACTACAATTTTGTATTACACGTACCTATAAATTGTATAGTTTCCTGTTTCTCTTTCACTTCTAAAATGGAAGTATTGTAAAATATAGAACTGTCATTCGTATATATTGCCAGAAACTCAATATCAATTTCACAACCTAGAGGTCTCATGTAGTCCTCTTGGTTAGAGAAATGCATAATATAGCTATACGTTATTCTTAATAATCTTACATTAGTTTATTTAAATTTACACTCCCAGTTTTTTTTCGTTTCATTGCATTAACAGTTACTTCTAAATAATCACTTGACAATTTAATGATTTCAAATCTTGTATTCTTTTAATTCCATTAATCATGAGAATATTAAAGATGTGGCACTAGACTAACTATATTAAATGGATATGGATAAGGTTTCTCTGTTACCTAAATTTTGAAATATGTTTCTCTTTAATAGCCTTGAGATTATTTCTGCAAATGAGTCTTCCCTAGACAATCGAATTTCTCAAATCGCAATTCTTATTCATAAGTTGCTTAAATATTGTATTATTAAATCTCCTCAATTATTTCAATATAATGGTTGTTAAAATTAATATACTTAAGTTTATTTTTGTTATTATAGTCATCCACTAGAATATAGTAGTTATCACTGCATTAGAGGATGATTTAGTATGGTGTTTCAATTTGTTGAAATTAATAAATGAATCTTTTCTTTGATTTGTTGATGATTAACTCTGATTTTGGAATTATCTTTGATTTATTTTGTTACTCATCATTAAAAAAGACTTCAATTATTACATCAGATTAACTTGAAACTTATATTATATAATCTTAATCAATTCTGCCAATTTTAAAATTAAATAATGTTTAATTACGACTTATAGTATTTTTGCTGTTGAATACTCGACCTAATTGTAAAATGATTGGATTTTCACGATTGCTTAGATTGATAGAATAATAAGAATCCTTCCCAATTTGCAATATACAAGTTTCATTTATCGGGATCAAGTGGTTAGAGTATGTTAGATCCATTGTAATAATGCGTTTAATTTTAAAGTTAAAAGTCAAAGTGATAGACTTTGAGTAAACAAATAAATTCAACTCTCCTGGAGAAAGTTCGAATTCACAAGCATCTAGGCATTAATCATAATAAATTCTACCATACGGAATTGAAAATGGAATTTTATTATATATAAGAAGAATAGATAATGAAGTTGGTCTAATTGGATGAAGAGATAAAATATATGTGCAAGAGTAGCATACATTCTTATCAATTTACATTATTCCTCCAAAAAGATCACTATTATTAGCCAACTCTATTGTTTCATTCATATTTTCGATCCTTATTGAGGCGATGATATTCCTCATATTCTGAATCATTATTCGAAATGGTTCTTAGTGGTTATTCAAATAAAAATATTAAACAGTGTCATTTATGGAAGTTTCAACAAATTATCCATTATGAATGTAATGCATCTAGAAACCTCCCAGATGTAACAATATTTCAAAGATGCAATTTTGAGACAATACTCCAATCATATATTGTCCGATATTATCTTTCTCTGATATTGTTAGCGTATCTGATGCAAATTTATAAGAGTATTTGTCTACAGAAGGATAAATGATATCATCTTGTGTTTTAGATTTCTAGACATAAATATCGCATTTACATTCTTATAATGGTATAACAGTAATTTGGATGTCTTCTATTACTTCGCTAATCTCAAAGTAGTAATAAGACATGCTATTTTAGCTGGCATATCCAATCATCATTTCTAGATTTCTAATGACAGTGTATTTTGAGGATACAATGATATTGAAATAATCAAAATGTCCTAAGACATAAGCATCTATTAACAAGATGCAGCCTTTATCTTGACATTTGATTAGATTAGTTTAATTTATGAAAAGTAATTTATTGGATGAACTAGCACTAAATAACTCTTTTATGTCATGTTTGGCTAAGGTCGGATAGTCCTCTTTTTCGATATCTTGCGAGTCATAATCAAGAATATTGCACAATAATTCGATTAAATTGAATTTAGTAATTGCTTAAATCTTAATAGGATAAATGAAATTTCTAGGGATTAAATAATAAAAGTAGAAATGCTGTTAGTCTAAGATTGGCCTAGTTTACATGATATTATCTTTTAATTCGATCATAGAATCAGAATCTTGAATTAGAAGAGTGTACTTGTTGGATCCTATGCTGTACACTCCAATGTATAGGATATTGTCATAAATGACGTTAGGAATGACGATGTGATTGGAATTTGATTTGATTAGGTATTCATAATTTAATTAATTAGGATATTTGTTTATGCTACTGATATAAATCTAGAGATTGTTGTTATCATTTTATTCTGATTAATAAGTTACAATAATGTATATTGATTTACTATTTTAGATTGATTGGTAGTAAAAATATAAGGTTTGTTAGTTTTTAAGCAAACCATAAAATGTATCATCACAGAATAGTTCCAAAAAGGAACTCTGTTGGTAGAACATTATTTGATATGATTCATTAACTTCATTAGAGGTAGTTTTAACATATAAGTAATAAAACTGTTTGGGATTTTCAATAATTAAAGTTTGCTATAAGCTTGTTAAGGCAAGATTAGATTCATAAGGAGATTCGTTAGCATTATATTTATCACTACTAAGTATGTAACAAATAAAGTTACCATATAATGATTTTAGATTTAAATAGAAGCTAGCATTCTCGGTAATTTCAAAGCTAAAGTAAAGATCAAAATCAATAGTTTTGAATTGAGTTCCAATTAGAAGGGGAATGTAAGTAATTTATGGTGTGACTATATTTTTTATAATTTCAATAAGAGAATATTTCAAGTTGGTTATTGCTTATATTTGAATTGTATAAGAGCGGCTTTCTTCTAGATCATAATTCATAAAATCAATTTATTTAGTTGTTAATTTCTTCTCCTAAGAGATTGTTTTGGTAGTATCAATACCAGAATATATTATATTTGATTTTCCTTCATATGCTGCTAAAACGAAATAAATCTGTTTATCATGTTATTAAGTTTCAAAAGTCTAATAATTGTCTTAGGCTTGTTACTTCAGAAATTTATAATTGATTGTATATTCATCAAATTTAATTAAAGGATGACCGATAATGTGTTCTTGTATCAAAGAGAATCTCATGAAATCAACATAACTGTAGATAGCAAGTACAAATGCAAAGTTAAAAGATTTTTTTTCAATCCAGAATGAAGTTACATTATCATAGCTCTTGGTAGTATTGAATTAGATAACTATTTCATTTGAAATTTGGAGAATATCAGAAGGAAAAGTGGATGCTTGTTATGGAGTGATCGAACAATTATAATAATTCTCTGGATCTGCTTTTTACAGGTATTCCTATATGTCATCGACAAATGCCATCTCTTCAGAATCTTTAATGCATAATTTGCTTAATAAGACACCGTGTCCTTTTGGAAAAATTGCAATTACCCTTAGATTGACTATCTCAATTTAATCAATTAATTGGAATAAATATAAAGCAACTTAATTCTTCTCTAAGACTCCAGCTTATTTCTTTGAGCGCTAAAATATCTACCTTGGATTGTCACTTATTTTTACTTCTAAATTGTATTCTACCATCTCAACTTTGGCTTTAATTGCAATTAAATAGACTTCTGTGTAAATCATTTTGTATGGAGGAATAGTATAATCATTATGGTTTTGATCGAATTAGTACTACCAATCAAAATCCAAATAATCACGTTTACATCTATCTTCAATGCAGGGTTATACGTAGATGGAAACTTGTTGATCTAAACACTTCACATCAAATATTAACACATGTTCCTTGAAATCATTAATAATCAATTTATAAAAATTTACATTACCTCTTAGTATTTGATCATGTTATTGTTAATATAAACTGATTTCATGGAATTTTTAAAAGGGATTAGCCACAATCAGAAAGTAACATTCTTTATTGATGAATGCTGTCAATACATTTTAAGGATGAGTGGAATTTCTCTGTAAACACATAAGTCCCTCTTAGTTGTAAAAGGTTTATTGAATATCGAATTTTAATGCAGTAGGAATTGTTTCGTTCATGTTTATGTAAATATCAAATTCATTATTCAAAGGAAACTACATCAATTTAAGACAAAGTCTATCGTATTCAATATTAGCTAAATTTAGTTTAAATGCTTTTTCTTATTCTAACTTCACGATCATCACTCCTTCCATAAAAGTATTCTTTGTCATTACTTTTAGTTCATAGTGACAATTATATAGACAGAGCACTACAAAGTAATATGTTATTTTGGATATATTTTTTATTGATTCTAATTGGCAAAGAATTTGATTTTCAATTTTGCATTCTTAAGCATTACTAATCTTTCTTAAATACTAAATAAACACATACGTAATTTCAACTTTACTCATGTATAACTAATGTTATGGACGAGCATCATTTAATGTTGCTAAAAATACAAAAACCTCTCTCTCTTGCAGAATTTCTAATTTATAATGATAGACTGGATAATGAAGCCATGAGTTTGGCACCTCTCTAATGTTTTAAATTTATATATACTTACCCATAATATTTATATGATTTATCAATCTCCAAGTTAATTATTTCCTTTGATTTAACAAAATACAACAATATCAAAATTATATACATTTTATTATGTTTTATAAGACTGTTTCTGATAAAAAATGCACACCCTCTCCTTTACGCAAATGTTCCTAATATCACATTCCAAACACATACTTTTCAACTTTGAAGCAACCCCCAGAAAGAACATTCGAACCCATAGAGAAACAGAAAACATTAACTGATGAGTAACAAGAAATCTAAAAGTTGCATTAACTTATTGAGTAATTGAAAGACGAAAATTCTAAATTACGTTCTGCTGTACAATAGTAACAACTATAATTTTAATATGAAACTCAACAGTTAAATTAGCTAATAGCAAATATGCAATAAGAATAACAATCCCTTAAATAGTCTTTGATAGATCGAACATACCAAAATAATAAGATGGTCTAATATATCGAGGAATTGTCAAGTTAACATAAAAATCTCCAATTTCAATATTAAGATGCTTACCTATAATTGTAATAGGCGGAGATCTATTCCAACTAAATAATGTTGCTCTAGAAAGAATTGAAAGGGAAAGAAGATGAAATTGAAATACTAAAAAATGAACTTCTAATTCCAACTAAAACCAATACTGAATAGTCAGAAAATCAATTAATTTTTGACTTTCTTAAAAATGTTAAACAATAATACACTGATGATGAATGTAGATCATTGCATTTATATGAATGATATTAAATATATATATATATTTTACTGTTGATAATAAGAGAAGTAAAACATAAAACAAAGATTAATCAATTTTGTTTGCATCTGCAAACTGGACAAGAATTGTTCATTCTCAACCATTTTGCAATGCAATCCTCATGGAAACCATGATTACAATTCATCATGGCGATTTGCTCTCCATTTTTAAAGTCGTCTTGACAGATGTAACAAGTCTTCTCCTATTCCCCTTGATGAGTTTATCTCTTCATGTTTTTAATTTGATCTTCAGTGGCTCCAATATTTTAATGTTCATTGTCATTATTTTAATAGAAAATTATGTGATAATACACTCTGTACTATCTGAGTGGTTATTGATAGACTTAGAAGTGTTTGGGGTGATATTGTTTGGTAACTATTTGTTCTAAAACACATCCACAATTTTAACAGAATTATTCTGAATTTATTTATTCACCCTCTAAACGATAATGTGATTCCTTTTAACATAGGTGACACCAATAGTTTTTGAAAGCAACTTGATATTAACTTTGATTCATTGTGATTTTAGATTAATAATTCTATAAGACTTAAACTTAGATGGTTTTGAAACAATTTTTAGTAAATTCTCGAAATCAGAAGAATTTAAAAATTCTAGAAAGTATAATAATAAAATAAGAATCAAATCACACACATTATTAAATAAATATTTTAATAATTATAATTCTTTATAGCAAATGAACATTAATAAATATTAAAAAAATGATTATTTTAATGCCTGCCTATAAAAATAATTTGGAAGTACTAATAAAACAGGATACCAAATAAGGTATGGGTCTAATAGATCATGAATAAACTGACACTTTTCATATGTGGAAATTTCGAGGTGGGTCGACAACCATTTATGAAGAAAGTATAATCTCTTCATATGGCAGATTCAGTTTACTTTGAGAGTAATGATACATAGAGTAATAAAAAGATACTACTGAAGGTGAACAAATAAAGTAAGTTGTTTTATCAAGAATTCAAATAGCAAATCAATATGAAATCATGTTATCTGTGGCTCAACCTACATTTATTGTTGTAAAAGACATTAAATCAGCAAAAGGATCTGAATATCCAATTGTAGCCAATTCAATTATTCGTCTAGGAAGAGTGTACTTATGTTTACTCATTTCTGTTAGTGAATATAGAGTCTTTGAAGAGAGAAATACTCAGATGGAAATTTTACATGCTCCGATCAAGAATCAGGATTGGCAATAAATAAATGATATCAATAAAGTTTACTAATGCAGATTCTGTTTCATGGAAGGCAATTAAAATAGGGATTAGTTGTTTTTAACTAACATTTGCAAATGTGCAGGCAATAGTCAGGCTGTGCATTTAGAATGTATGCGTTATTGGGTAGACTCTAATATCACAAGTGAGGAGACTCAATTTGGATTATCATTGAAATGGTAAACAGAACCATATTTAATAATAGGAAGAAGCAACACGAGTGCACTATTTGCAAGGAAAGCTTACCTCTAAGAGTTCAGTTCGAGAATGAATATTTCGATCTATTCACTCTTGAAAGACCTGAATTGCAATACATTCTAGTTGAAGTAATCCAATATCTCTTATTCAGAATGTCAATAAGGAGAAAAATGTTTGTTGCGAGATCTATCTGATACATGCTCTTTTACAAGACAACATTAAATTAGTAAGTCTTTAATTAGCTATCATCCAAGGGTAGAGGTTTCCAATGCGATATCAAGGCATAGGATATAACTGTATCTCGACATCATGCCACAATCAAGTTATCCAATAACAACTTTGTCATCGAGGATAACAAGAGCAGATTCGGAACTTTAGTCTCTATCAACCAAAAGTGCGAAATTGATTGTGCTGCTTGTGGTTTCTAGATAGGCAAATTGCTCATCAATCTTAATTAACAAGATTAAATTCTTAAAGGTACTATGTTGTGTCATCATCAAAGGAGCACCATCAACTTAGCACAAATTGACTTAATTACCACAAATTAGCAAACAACTGGAAGAAGATGAACCACAAATGGATGATGACTCATTTCAACTGGAAAATAAATGATTTCTATTCTTAATTAAATTCATTTATCAATTTATAGATCATTTTATCAAACATAAAATTTTTAATTAAATATTTATTAGCATTTCTTGTACATCTTCTAATTGTACTTTTAACAATCTTCCAATCTATTCAATTATTCCTAGATTCCTAAACTATTGTAATCACTAACATAATTTGAATTGTAATTCAATATCGTAGACAAATGACTTGTCAATTCTGTTACTTTCTATTACAATTCTTAGATTATTTCAAAGTACAACTGCTTCTCATGTTTCCATTCCTTCAAATTGGAATTTTAAGAATTTGCTTTGTGAAGCTACTCGTTCTATTTCTATAAAATTTGCATTTGACCCTACAAAACAGCAACTGTTTAGGCATAATTCGTTAACGATTTCTAATAATCATCACGAATAACCTAAACTTAGTGTTTGATCTCTATATTCAATTTATTCGAATAAGATTACTTCATCTCCTTCTCGAATTCGATACAGGATTATCTCCACTTGTACTCTTATTGTTGCAATAATTCATTTAACTTCTTATTTTCTTCATTTCTTTACTCAGTTTATTTAGTCAGATCTGCAATCATTTGAATTTGATCTTAATACTTCTTATTTATTAAGTAGTTCTAATCTTTGTGCTATTATTATAATGAGACTATCTCCTATTCCAATTTGAGTATTAATTCATTTTGCTATTTGTACTATTATTGCAATTGTATCTGCTCATTCAATCGCTATTATACCATTATATTCAAATTCTCATTCTCCTTTAACACAATAGTAATTTTATCTGACCACACTTTTTCTACAGTTTGCAATCTCTCTAATTCAAAGCATTTTAGCAGATATTTCTATGCCAATTACAGAAATTGCTCTTTGAATATCTTATTTGTCTATTAGGATTCAATCAATTATTGATTTGTTATAGATTTCTACTCTATATTCAATTCTTCTCTCTCATTGAGTATTTATTGCAATTCTAAAATTTGTTAAGATTGTTAATTATTGATTTTTTTGTATTACATAACTGTTTGTTAAAGTGATTGTGTTTCTCTCTATAATGATTGTAATAACACAGTCTGATTATTGGTTTCATAAGCAATCTTAGCTTTCTCTAATTCTTACATCAATTACTCATTAATAAGGATGAGTTTTTAATTCTCTTCTATCAAGATAGTAACCTTGTTTTACAAATTAATCAGTGTATGTTGTTCTTTTGAGTTTTTTTAATTGAAATCCGAGACTTACTCATGTTGATTGATAGAGACGAACTTGTTCTCCTTAGTTTCCGAGGCTATCTTCTTATTGACAGTGTCAATGATGGATTGATTGTGCGATAATTACCTTGTAATAGTGGGTCGATTGGATTGCATGGAACAAGAGCGTTATTTGGAATTCTCACTGCTGACAGACACTTGATTTAGTTATGAATGGAGATACATTGTAATTCAGAGTTGCACTCTGAGTGTAATCTTTTGGATCCACTTGATTTGATGGCTGAAGACTTGATTCCTGAATTTAGATTGACTGATCTGATGACCCCTTGTGATTGAAGAGAGTTGAATATAGATTGAGGGGATTGTTTGTAATCCGAGATTGAAATACTCTGCAACATGTTTCAAATTTAAATTAATATATAATAATAAAAATGTTAAGAACATTTAAGTTTTGCACAGAATTCACTACCACTCAATTCCTAAAAGTGAGCAATCTCCAATTAAGTGTAATAATAATAAATGATAAATTAAAAGTCATTGAATGACAAGATTGAAAATTTTGAGAATGTGGAAACCTCATTGTCGGATGGTGTCCTCAATGTGCATCTACCCAATGGGAAATCCTTTGTGATTAACAGACAGACTCCCAACAAGTAGTTGTGGTACTCGTCTCCGATAAGTGGGCCTCAAAGGTTCAACTATGTCAATGGGAAATGGGTCAATTCAAAACAAATAGAAATAGAGAATTAGTTATTAAATGAAATTAATGTATTAATAAAATGATGATTACATAAAATTTGGATATCAAAGATTTAGGACTTTTTATAGTACTTCACGAATAGGTTTCGATCTTGGTCTAATGACTTGAACTAATTCGATGGCCTATTCGAGAGTGTAATTCAAATCCTAAACCATATATAGTATAATGGTTTGAACACTCCTTTGAATCCCATCAGTGCAATGGACATAGACGCATTTACCTTGATCCAACAGTTTCCTGAGGGTCTAATACGCATCAATTCCATTTTGGAGATAGGATCTCTTATTACAATCCTTTATTGGACATTGCAAATAGATGATACCAAGAGATTGGCTTTGACAATGTAATTAATCGAAATAATCTTCCGGCAAATCCTTGTTGATTAGATCTTCAACGGTCTGTAAGTTGAGTATGGCATTTACACCCAAATCTTAGAGAATGCGGATTTCACTATTATATTACAATAAATAATTACTCTATATAAATAAATGAACCAACGTATAAGTTTTCAAAAACACGATTATAATTGATGTTGAAATCTACACTTGAGTCAGTTATATGTATGACATTATTGATAATTGGATGGGAATGGATCATTCGCACACCACCTCTTTCCCACTTTTCATTGGATTGGTATTTATAGGCCAATTAATGAATAGATTTATTCGGGATCTGAAAAGTTTATGTGCACTCACCCTCAATTCTGTTGAGTGGAATCTTGTGTCTTCCTGTTTGGGTGTAGAGATTGAGAGTTATGTTAGAATCAGGGTAATTCATGAATTTGAGAGTAATGCGAAGATGACCCCAAATATCCTGAACATCTTGATGAGAATTGAACACTCTGGTGATTCCATCTTCCCATTATACGATCTGTCTGCTGTCTTACTTAACAACTACATAACGGTAGTTCATAGGTAAACAACAGGAGTCCAGTGTGACAGTCCAAATATCATCTTAATTCCATTGCATTTAAATTCCATTCTACACATTCCATTATATCTTGTGACAATCTCCAACTATTAGAATCACCTCTCCATAATTAACATGTTTCTGAACAGAAATACAACTCATTAAAATAATTAATAATCTTTCAAATCAATATATGTATTTTTAATACTCAACTAAATTACCAATTTCCTGTACTATCTAATTATTCCAGATTAATTCCTTCCCCATACCCTATATATCCCAAATCAGTGAATGATCTATCAATCAACCGATGGTCAACGTACTTCCCTTATTTCTTGGGTAAAACCTCTACTTCAGGAGTCAAGGAAGTCGATCCCTCATAAGATCTGGTAGATGCCTACTCATACTAATTGTAAATACTCTTCTATAATTAATTAATAGAGTGGGTTGAATCCCTTCGTAAATCTACCCCTGTTCCAATTCTTCCGACTCTTAATTGATCTTCTTATGAGCAGTGAATTTCTTGTATTCCTCCTCACTCATCTTATGTCCAATCTTCTCATCTGTCTACTATTTGAACCATCCTGAAGGTGGAATGCACTCTCTGAAATTCTAGAACTAGAACACATGATCAATATAGCGTTTCAACACCTATTCGTTACTGGCATTGAAACATAACTCTCTCTTAAGTGTTTCCTGAGCAGTAGTACGGTACTCTGGCATCTGATGCAACATTGGCAACATAAAAGAACAGAATGACAATGCCTCATATGTTTTGAATCTGTATTTTTCAGTCAACACATTGTATAGATTCCAGAAATGCAATTGCTGAATTCTCTTCATCACTCCACTTTGAGAAAAGTAACGCTTATTTTAATTCTACATTCATACTTTAGCCTTAGCTCCTCTTGTTCCATACTCATAAGGAAACTTGCCTAATAATTCCTAGATCTAGGCCAAATGATCTTCATTCTTTGAGAAATTTGGTCCTTGTCTAGGTTCAAACAAATAATCTCCTGTAAGCATTTCAAATATCATGCATGCAAAACTCCATATGTCAGCAGTTGGATTGTACTTTATTCCCAATAATACTTCTGGAGATCTGTATTGTCTAGTTTGAATCAAGGTGGAGAAATGATGATGAATCCAACATGCATTTCCCAAATCTGCAATCTTCACTCTGAAATTGTCAGGCAAAGGCTTCTGAGTCTTGAATGATATCCTTCCAAATTTGATAATAATTATTACTTTTTTTGATTATCCTATTTAAACAAATCCTTAATTGATTTAGGCATCTCTTCCTCCTCCTCCTACTTCACATGTCCTTACTTCTTCTTCTTCTTTCTCTGCAATTTCCTTCTCTGAGTCTTGCTCATCTATGTCTCCTCCTCATCCTCATGATCATCCTCCTCTTCCTTCTTCTACTCATCTTTTACAATGCCCAACATCTTTCTATATATATGGATTCTATCTGAAAAGAGTTGATTTGATGTCAATTGCCCATTCTCCACTATATCTTTTATTTCCTCATCCGATAAACACAGCAACACATTCTCTGGCTTCAAATCTGTGTGAATGACTCCACAAATTCTATGTAGGTAATCCAACCCAATCAATATTTGCTTTGCCATTTTTCTCACAATATCCATTGGACACTAACTTTATATTCAGTCATTATACTCCTTTGTAATTGTATCTTTTTATTATCTCCAATAGATTCACTCCCAAAATCTCGAAAACCATACAAAAGTGATGGCCATAAGGTCCTTTGTAGACAAATGAATTTAACAATTGCACTGTATGAGTATCGTCTCTGTTGAAATGAGTACGTCCTTCCTTATTAATTACTTAGATCGAACTTTTACTTCTGCATAATATTCTTTTAATGATTATATCCAAACTGGATTCTGCACATTCTATGCCACTTTCTATAAGATTTCCACCTAAACAAAATTTGAACCACATATTTTACTTCATCGTAAGCTGCTTCCAAGTAATGTGATGCACTCTTCTGAATTTTTAGCGCCACATATGTGTCATATTTGAAATCCTTTGCCAACCACACAGTCGAGAAATGTCCCCAACCTAATTTCTGAATAACCACATAACGATTCAGCAACACTTCCCCAATATGAACTGGGTGATATCCTTTCTTATAGTCATATTTAACAAACCTCCTATCTTGTAATCTTCCATTCCCTCATCTTCACTGTCATGCTCCTAGTCCAGGTGATCCATCAACTCTCCTATCTGCTCATTACTCACTTTTCAATTACGAATAATTCTTACCACCACTTGACATTTTTATAAATATTTTAATATTAATGAGACATAAATCAAATGAACTAGCCAATCTTCTAATTCCTGATTAATAACCATTTGCATTTAAACCTCGTTTCTCCAAACATAAGAACTTTTATGCCAAATAACCAATCTTATAATTGCATTACATTACTCCTACCCAAAAGCAAGCCAAACTCATACTCGATAAGATTTGTCTCATTGATAAGAAGGCCATTGTTAATGACAGACCTGAGTCATCCTTTCAAAAACGAAAGCATTTCTCAGTAGATTTGTGTTTTAGTTCAAGACCATCATTTTTATAGAAAAAATAAATTAGAATCAAATCAATTCAAAAACCTAATTTTTAATCCAATGTGTAACCTAACTTAGAGAATCCCATATCAACTAATTTGTAGGCCAATTTATCAACTCACCATTAAATATCCGAAAAAGATTGGTTAGCATTTGTTTTAGAATGAACTTTGTTTATTGTATATTTATTTTAGACATCTAAATAATCAAAAATATCATCTGTTTTCCGCCAATATCGTCAAATCGCCATCACTGCATCCACAAAACAGAAATCTCTTATCCTTTGATGGAACAATAGACAATGGGACAGTCTCTAATTTGATCTTGGCCTAACATGGTTGCAAATACGGTAATTCTCTCCTCATGATCTCCCCATTCTCTGTTCCATAAATCTTCGTTCTAATATGAATACAATACCATTATATCTTGAAAAAGATTGTTCCTTATGATTTGACAATCAATTATGGAGAAACAGGTTTCTGTTTGAACTTCTAAAAAGAATCCATTTATTGAATAGCTGTATATCTTATGATCTTGGGCTGAGAAGAAAACTATGCAGAAGAGGGGACGACTACTCAAAAGGATGGAGTTGATGGTGAGTTTGTTGGGATGGGTAAAAGATCTCAAAAGGGATCCAGTATAGAGATTATACACATTGATGGATCCTCCTGCACAACCAGTGGCAAACAGCTTCATATTGTTTGAAACATAAATGCAATTGATCTATTAAAATAAGTAAATAACAAAATAATACTGGGTTTTGGTGTTGGAAGTACATTCTTTAGACCTACAGTTTGTAAGTAGATTTGTCTATTTTCCAAAGTATCACATGACCCGTTTTGTCACCTGATATGACCATGGATTCCTTCTTGTCAGTGATCAATTTGGTAATTGTACTTGTATGGAATTAATAAACATCACTGATCTGATTATTTTCTCCAATGGCAATTAATCTACCAAGAAGGTAACCACCACAAAGGAAGAGTTTCCCTTGATTCAATATCAGGATGGGATGAGATGATAGATAAACGATTGGATCCAACAACATAAAGGTTTCTCCCTGAGGCTTAGCAAAATTCATTTGTCTTTCCTTCTCGGCTGCAAATGTAAATGGGGTTTGACTTTATTGGGGATCACTAGGAGCAAATTTGAAATAATTAATTTTTCCATCCTTTCTCAAACACAACAATCGATTATTGGATATGAATCTGACCATTACTATTGCTTAACTGTTTAGAGATTGGAAATCAACTATGGGTTTTAACTAGTTGGGAATATTCTTTTTATGTGAGGGTCTAAAGATTGTTAATGTGGATGACGTCGAAACAAATTGTAAATCATTATATGTAAACTTCTCAGTGTGTTATCTAGTAAATAATTGAGTGGGCGTTATGCCGAAATTGACAATTTAAGACTCGATTCCCAATTTATTCTCTTCCATCTTCTACATCGTAAGAGGACTGTCGTAAGTGAGATAGAAGAAGACATTCAAGGATTTCTAGGCTTCTCTGCCTCTTTACTTGTATCCATAGATAAGATCTATCCAATCTGGGAGATGTTTAGAAACTTCCTCACTTTCCAAGGCATTCCTATAACCACTCACAAACAACCAAGGATTGCCCTCACACCATTTTGGAAGTAGGACATTATTCACCTGTTTGCCATTCTAAGTTTTCCCAAAATTAAGATTAGCAATATTAAGGAACATTTCTGGTAGACAGAAGAATTCTGGAATGAGTTCTCTGACATCAGCAATATCTTCAATAGCGCAACGATAACTCTCATTGAAAGAGAAAAATAATCTATCAGCCATATCAAACTTGTCTCCTTGTATAGCTTTGGATGCACTTGTGAATGGTTCCAATCTGATCAGATATTAAGAAGTGATGGCAGGAGATGAGTAATGCGAACCATAATGAAATGGAGGGATTTCACTCCCCTATTCAGCTTGCTCGAACCTATCTATATAACTTTGGATTCTAGATTCATTCCCCAAGGCTCCCATGGTCTTATGTAATGGTCTAAACCTTCCTTCAGGGTATAATTTCATTGGGTCTATTTGATTTTACCCGCTTTGATCATTCTCCTATAATATCCATGGGAATATTGGGTACTAAGTTAAATCATTATAACTCCTTGAGGACAAATTGTTAATAATTAGCAAGTACTTGAAATTACTCATTTAAGACCTAATGTAGATTTCATAAGTATACTTAACCCATTTTTGGTAGTACCCTTGTTTATCAATCAACTTAATTGGATCTGTGGTCTTGCTCTGATTGAAAAAAGGGGCATTGGAACTCTTCCTGAAACTCAAAATCTTAATTGAAATTTCTTCCAAATCGTTGGGATCAGGAACACTGAAAAATATAGATTTACTTATTATATTAACTTATGTAGATACCCATCAATAAAGAAGATTTCAAGTGCATTTCTTTTCTGCAAATATTTCTTCTTAATAATTTACACAAGATTGTAGATTGGGTACTTCTTGAGAAGTAATTGATCATCTCTTAATTTGAAATCACAAAGGGTAACATGACTAACTTTTTCGACTAATTTTTCATATTGCACCAAGAGTTGAGAGTTACTCAAAGTGAAAAAGGCATGATAATTGTATAAACCATCGATGACTAAGATTCTCTTACCTTTAAACGTATTGTCTGCAAATGATTTCACATTCAATTACTAAGCATATGGTTATTGAGAAGCAATGGTCATGACAACATTCTTAATATTGCTGCCAATGGCTTTACCCATATTATAAATTTATGTGGCAGCTTGAATGGCTTGTAAATTCCCAAAAGATTTCTGTTTAGATTGAGAGTACAACAACAAGGGAGCTTCTAGAGGAGTGTGGATGACAGGATTGTTTCTGAATTCTTCTGGGATTCTCACTACTGTTTTTAAGTAGGGTCGAACCAAGGATTTGGTAAGCATTCTAGAAATCTTGACTGACTAGATATCATCCATTTAGAATTCTATATCGAAGTCTTCTATTATGGAATCCCTTTAATAGAATCCTTTCTTATTTGTAAGCCACTCTCCCTCCAAAAAGATCTGTTTAATGCTTTTATAGTATTGATTTCTTCCGATTCGTTCTTTGTTGCTTTCAAGATACAACCACTAGGCTTTCCTTTCTTCTATTTAGATAAGACGGGCCTCACCAAAAGATTAGACTTCATAGAGTAGAGTGTTTAAGGAAACACCCGATTCCTTAGACCAACGTTAAGGGTGGACTGTCTTGATATCCACATTCTCTTGATCCAATTTCAATTTATTGATTAATTCTTCAAAGAGTTTTTCATTGTTGAAATTAGTAGTAACAAGAGCATCAAATAACTACTCAAAATCTTCATATAACTCAAGGAAGAATCTATACAATATGGAATTGTTGTTCTTTTGCTAAGTTATGCTTATCATCAAACACATTTAAGTGATGACTTCTCGAATCCTTTATCTTGGCACTTTCTTAAGTGTTACACTTAGGATCAATTATAGGGGATAGTATATTTCGGATTTACAAATCTCTTGACATAGAGAATGTACCAATAACAATTGAAGAAGGTTGTTCTCATCACTGACACTCAACAGAATTTCAAATACTTAGACTTGGTTCAAATTGGTGTTTAGAAATTAAAACATTCTATACGACAACTCTCTGACTGGACCATTGTAGAAATTGGAGATTTGAGCAAGTTGTTCTAAGTAATTCACAAATTAATACCATCAATTTGGCCTTGAAATACATATTCTTTATATAGAAAATTAATTAGGGTGTTGAATTTCTACAGGTAATTTCCATATCGTTCTTTCAATTCAAACAAATACATAAGAATGTTCATAATGTTCTTCCATGTTTATGAATCATAAGAGGGCGAATAGTTTTTACATTAATCACTAAAATAATGAAAGCATGCATATACTAGAGCAATTCAAAAAGCGCTTGGATTTACTTATCATTTTGACCTTCGAATTTTAGTAGATCATAAAAGTACTCTGCTCCATTAATCTCTTGTTTCAACACATTCAAGAGTAAGGTGGAATGCAAGCGATTTCCAATTTCGTAGATCTACTAATAGTAAACACTGATTTACTAAATTATTCTCTGCTTAAATTGATATGGTTCTTAGAAGGAATGATTGAAATTATTCCTCGTCCAACATGATCTTGCAATTGTTTTAGTGGGATTTGCATAGACATAATAAATCCTATAAGATTTGTGCTTTGAGGTTATCATCCTAAGATTACTTCAATATTTTCATTATGATATTGATGATGCTTGATTAATAAATTTGATCGCCTTCCTCTATCATTACAGACTCATAGGCACCTATTTTTAATTTATGGATCATCCAACCCATGAGTTGATTGTAAATCGGAGCCAATGTAGTCTTTGATTCAATTTGATCATTCTTATTTAAGCTTATAGAATAATTGATGAACTCTATGGCTTCTTCAGTTTATGAGGATTAATAGGGATTGAATTGTTGTTATGAGATCAAATTCAAGAAGTAGATGATGATAGCCCTAACATCATTTTATGGAGTAGTTTTGAATAGAAACAACAATTGATAAACGATATTGTTCTGATTCCATACTTGCAAAATGTGAACAGTTTTGATACCCTCATCAATGTTGTCAACTAGCAAACTCTATTAAATTAGAATGGATATACCTTGAGTTTTGTCAATAATTCCAATAGTAGACATGGAGACATTTTGTATAGGAAATATGATTCAAAGAGGATTAAATTCTCAGTGATATCAGATTGCTAAGTAAGTAAATACAGTATTTTTTCAAAGAATTATAATTGAAAGGAGGGTTTAGAATTTTGATAATGCCGATTGCAACATTAATCATCAGCATAAGAATAGATTAGGATGTCTAATAGATCTCTAGGAGAGATGATGCTAATGAATTGATTCTGCATATAAGTAATGCAGGATAATTGTAGATAATTAATAAATACTTTCTCTGAGGTACATAATTATTGCAACTTAGAATTCCATAGAATGTAAATAAAGAAGTGCTCCATCAATCGATTGTCAGTAATCAATGATTTAGTTTCATTCAGCAATTCCACACATTTATGATTAATCAAAGGTCTCTAAAAACTCATAATGATGGAAGCTATAGTAGGTATGAATTTAGAGTGATATGCTTCCGATTAAAGTTGATAATTGTTTTTCAAGATGATGTTGACAATTTCAAACATGGTTGCAATATGTTCAGGATAATTGGCAGCTAAATGAAGGAGAGCATAGAACAATTTGAAGCCTCCAAATTAATTGAATTTATTCTTCTCAGCCACCACAAAACCTGAACGATTCTGTAAAATTGCTTCATGATTGCCCATTATATCAATGATACGAGTGCCACTTGCAAACTCAGGTATGTAGATTGACATTATGCGATCAAAGTATCTATCCAAACAAGCCTACAGCGTCTTCAATTTATTATAATCCATCTATTGTTACCCATACACAGATTAAATTGTTTTGATTCTATATAATAAATTATACAAACTTAGTGGAAGATTGATTCATTACGATTATGCAAGATGATGTTCCAAAAAAATTCTGGCAAATGGTGAATCTAGTAATTCGTGCATTCTAATTCAAACGAGGGAACTCGAATAATTTTGAACTCTACTATTCATTATTATTAAAAAGGATCTAATTTTCATTTGAATCAAATTACTGACAGATGAGAAGATGAGAATGTCTTCTATGGTTCATGAGATATTCCTAGAAAATTTAATCCATCCTTTAATTAGCCAATGAATAGTGTTCCTTAACCCATCTAAGGTTCTTAATACTCATTCCCTATTATTCTGTAGTAAATTGATCCTCTCATTATAAAGCATTCAACTCCGCCTCCATTTGTTTTACCCTAAGCATGGATGCTCAGAATTTTTTGAACTCCAAAATTATTCTCATTAAATTAATCATAATTGACATTCTCAACATTAAACCAAATGCAAAACCCAATACCCTCTTGGAATGGCCAACTAATATTATCAATTCTAATTCCACTTCCAATTCCTGAGAAATAAAAGTTATTCTGAAGTCTCGGTCGTAGGGATTCCTAAATTTAATTATCATCTACTTTATACAATGTAAAAATATCAGGACTTGGATTCATTAAATGATACTTCAACACCTTCCTGGAGATGTAGCCCTTCTAAGCTGTGAGAATGGCAGCTTTCATCTTCGGATATATAATTAAGTGTATTTACATCATGTAATATGCTATCTTAGAATTCAGGCAACAACGTATTATACTTATATTGTAGGTATCTCTCATCGAATTTGAGTTCAAATGGTTCTGTAACAATATTGTATTTTTTATTGAATTCCTTAATCGATTATTCCAACATAATAATATATATAATAATATTATAATGGATCATTAACACTCCATATTCTGAATACACAATCAATAAACACTCCGAACATTTTTGAATAATTATCAAAAACTTGGAACTTAATTACAATCATTGAACCAAATTAGAATTGGCATTAAAGTAAACATTAACCATTAATTCTAAAATTCTAATCGATAATTTCACAATGTTATTGAATTTCAATTAGAGTGAATGTACTTAAATTATTTAGTTATGTAAATGCAAGTGCAATATAACTTTTAAATCTATATCATGCATTCCATATTGCTATAACAATCATTAATAAATTGCTTTCTGTTCTATTCTAATATGCAATTGAAATTCAGATATCATTTAAAACTTTCGAATCAAAATCCCACTAGAATCGCTGCTGTATTTCTCTTTTTTACTATCACAGTTTGAGCTAATTGTTTAAATTTCGTTTTTATTTCAAACCCTTACTTCATAACATCAAATAATTGCAAATTTTTAAGCGTCGAAGACTATTTTACAAACTTAATGCATTAAAATTCAATTCCATTTATCATACAGTGTCTAATCATGGTGAGAGTAAAATCTTCTTGGAATTTCTTGGATAATTTACGATTTACTTTAAGAGTTCTGATTAGCATAATTATCCTACAGTCGAGTTATAGATGAAGTGATTCAGTTAGGTGCAATGGAATTTCATTTATTTATGTATATATATGAAAATGTGTAAAATAATTAAATATTAATTATCTGATGGGATGTCTAGGTAGTCGTCCTTAGAATGAGGAAAAGGCGTCATCTGATAATTTGTATAATTTGTTGGATTAATTGACAGAAGGACAGTTTGTTGAGACCATCATCATATACACATCTGTTTATAACTATTGCTACATCAAGCAGAGAAAGGAGTGGGTATTATAGAAGAAGAGAATCATAAAGAGTGCAGATAAGTGGATGCAAAGCAATTTAGAATCTAGAAATTATATGCACTCATTCTTGGATTCACATCCTTAATCTATCATTTTATTGAGGCCTCTTCGAAATTTCAAACCTGCAATCACTTAAGCAACTATTCACACAACCCTAATGAAAAATGACTTCTTTCCCCAACAGATTTTTGTAAAGTTTGTGGATGTCAAACAAGCATAATTAATCAATTTTAGCAATAATGGAAAATACACTTTTTTTTTGCAATTGTAATTGTATAAGTTGCAAAGTCTTAAACAATTCTATAAATTCTAATAAATCATCACCATTAAGATATCCAAAATATTTAAGTTTGCTCAATTTGAGTTTTATGGTTTGATAAATTGGACCTCAACACACAAGTATGCAGATTTATAAAAGTTTATCAATAAGTATGGATGGCATATGAAATTCATAGATATAAGTGAAAATGTACCTGAACATCATTAGTGTATAATTATCACAGAGTATTTTAGATTTCAACCCAAATCAAGTATTTCACATCGAAGAATCAACCAAAGAAGATATATTCATCATCATTGATCCATAAGGCAAAGTAATCAGAGCAGAAACCCCTGAATTTTATGTCTCCAAAAAACCAGATTAAGCCTGTGAAGAATTTGATGACGTTAGTTCTCAGAAATCTAAGGCAATTAAATATGAAAAGAAGTTACTGAAAGAATTGCACATTCATTATTCATCATATATCAGTAAGAATAAACCATAAACACCAAAACCTACATTAACAAAATAATAGATTTTACAATAACAAATCTACCAATCCAGTGAGACTATCAGCTATGTGCAATACAAGGATTTCAAGTAATTGTTTAAGAGCGCACGTTTGCCTTAGATATTATCTAAGTATCATCCAGGAGAACCGTTTTAATTTGAACTCATTAAACAGATCTATTTTAATTATGATTTTGATGAGCAAAAATTCAAAGAAGTCTCTAAATCCTACTTGTTACCTTCAATATATCCTGCAGCATCCATTCAGAAATAAAAAATACTGACAGAAACTTGCAGAGAATTAAAAGAATCAATTGGATTGAGATGGAAGGTATTGATCTTGCATTATATTAGGACCCTGATTTAAATGTCTATTCCATTCCTCACACTTACACATTCAATAAAATTGATTTGATGGATTTCCTATAGGATTTCACCCAATAGTTCCACTTCAAATTGAAACTATTCTTAATTAAACGAAGAAGTATAGAATGGTAGACAGAATAAAAAAGTGAAAGTAAAATAATGAGAGTTAGAGATTAAGATAAGGTGGAGTGGACTAATCAAATGAGAGACTCGTTTGTTTTTCTGGACATATATGAATTACATAATAAATCTATTGCAATCAAGAACTTAGATGAGTTAAAGTTATTGAAATAACAATAGGAATAACATATCATTTAATTTAAGTCAATCAAAACTTAGAATCTGTGCAGTAATGGAATGAATTTGATTAGGAAATATATCTATCATGGCATAGATTACTAGATATCAATAAATGAGAAATTGATGGATTTCGATGAATCCATAAAAATTACCAATAATACTTTGCTCTTTGTTTTGTATGATGATTTTGAGAAATAAATACTCATAATCTTAAATAAATTGGCATCCGTTGAGGATGAATTCTAAGAGCCCACCAATATCATAATAATCACTCAATTAGAAAACCACAGTAATATAATCAAGGAGTTTATTACTTAAAGGATTCAAAAATTGCAAATTTAATTTTGTCATTTCAATTAAGTTTGGAATCAAAACACTGGGTTATCCTTTAAATCGGACATTATAGAAAAATACTTCAATGTTAGAAGAGATTACAAAACAGTAATATATTTTTTGATTAAATTATAGTTTTACATTGATAAATATGGTTATTTGATGGCAATTCAATCAAATGATGAGTTTATTGATGCCATATGGACAAACAATCAGAATTAAATCATAGTAGATTGGTTCATTCAGCAATTTGGGTAATAATCTACATGTTACATTAGAATGACACATAAGAATGATGATTCGGAATGGAAATAAATTAAACAAGAATGTTGCTAATTTAATTAGAAATATGAAGAAATTGTGAGTCGATATGAAATTCCAAAATAGATGATAGTAACAATAAAATCGATTAAATGCTTACTATGGGACAGTCACAATTACAGTTTTTTAGAATATTCAAATTGTCCAACTATTACTCACAATCTAAACGTAAAGTAAATAGCATTGTTAAATATTTTCATCCCCAATATTATTAAATTAATAATTTGAATACCAAACTTAAAATCAATAAAAATCATCATCCTACTCAAACGTATTATTACTGGCAACAACGGCTTATTATTTATATACATCATATAAAAATTATGAACTAGTGGCTTCATTAGGCTTCTTGTCCTCTCTCACTTTAATCAATCTAGGAAATCTCAATCCTACTCCTTTATTATTTAATTATAAGATGGTTGAACAAGCACTATAGATAGGTGATATTTGAATGTCGGCACTCTTGATCTCCCAAACAACAACAGGACTAAACCAAACATCCATATTCACTCCATCACATTTATATTCTGATAATGGATGAGGAATTAAGTATTCTTGAAAGAATTAAAAAAACTTCTCCAAATTTTCATCACTAAACCCTGTGCCAATTTTGCAAGTGGTTTCATATTAATCCATATCTTCATTATAACAGGCCAATAAATAGCTTCCATAAAATCCCTTTCTTTTGCCTGTTCCATAACAAGCCCCAATAGGTACTAAATCAAATGTGTCAGACAGTCCATTATCTAGATAATCCTTTTTTAATTTCAACCAATTAAATGATCTCTTAGCTGGTTCATATTGAGAATTTACCTCCAAAGTCTTTATCATCAAACCTTCACATCCCATTTTGATGGAATTTAAAAGAAATTCTTCAATTTCTTCAAAATTTTCAGAGTCTCTAGATGTTGCAAACTTCAACTTTCCTTCCTCCTCCTTAAACGTGTCTCTTAAAGTCGATCTTCTTTTTTCCAAAGTCTCTTTCAAAAAACTTTGCCTGTTCAAATATAGCAAATCAAATATGTATAAACAAACTTGAACTTCAATTTGATTTTAATCAACATTCTTTTTTGCTCTACTTGTTAGAGTTTGAAATGGTAAAATTCGATTATTTGCAACATCGTAAGCAACAATTTCAGAATCAATAATAAATCCATCCAAATGTTAATAATGAGTGTGAATATAGGTGACAATATCTGGGTATGTTTGGGTCATGTTTTCTAAATTCCTCGAAAAGATACTAACTTGGCCATTTTCAAAATGAATCTGACCTCTTAAACCGTCATATTTATATTCACAGGTAAATTTCATATTTTCGAATCTCTAAAATATCATCTGAATTGATTTCATAGGTTTAGCCAACATGGGTTTACAGGGCACTCCTGGTATAATATGACATATTTCAGGAACCTCCTTTAAACTCTGAATACTGAATAGAGTATCAATTATCTTTTTGTAATTTGGGCATTCACATAATGCTTGATTTATTATGCTTTCATAATCCCCTTCCACATTCCCCTTGTGATACAATTAGAATGCTCGAGCTAAAGCAGCTTACATAGTCTTTTCAGCTGCTCCAATCTTGAGATTCTTCTCGATGAATCTTATTATGTATTTAGCTTCAATTGGTTTAGCCATTCTTAATAGATTGGTCAGAATTCTCTCTTTCTCCAATGAACTCCCTGTGCCTTCTTATTTTTGCAATTACTACAAAGTGTTAAACACTTAAATCATTGTTAATTTAACTTCCTCCTTGACTGTCTGAGATACAAAAAACTTATTTAATGATGTTTAAGTTGATTTGGATTTTTCAATCGCCAAACCTAAATCTCCCAATGTGTTCATTAATTCTCTTACTTATTTTTCCTTTTCATAGTTATATTTTATATACACTCTTCCCAGACACAGCACTTATGGATTTTACAATGATTCCTTGTCCAATCCCCAATTCCCATGATTCATAATCAGGTCCCAATTTCAAAATGCTAAACAAATATGCAGGTACAAATTCCTCTCTATTTTCCTTCATGATTCTAATAAACAATTTGGCCACTAATTCTTTGATAGCATCCTTAGAATTCTACCCTTTTATTTCTCCAACCTTTTATATTGAAAGTAGACTCTACTTGTTCATATAATTCTGCCATATCCATGAATAGAACTGCACCTTTCACCTCTGGATTGAGTTGCTTTGATTTTGAAGAAGGCACTTTTAATTCTGCTATAAGTTTCTCCTTCTTGAGGTTTTCCTCTATAAATTGTTATTCCTTAATCTAATCATTAGAATCTTCTCCTTTCTTGCTTGATTTGAAGTATGAGGCTATGTTTTTTTGCATAAGGCGCGTAATAATTTAATCAAATTTTAATTATTTTACATGGTTTCCTATAAATCTATTTTAGACGGTTCTTTGATTCAGTCTCAAATATTATTGTAGTTAAGATTCTTATATTAAAATAACTATACAATAATGATTCATCTTTAAATCCATTATACTTTATATATTTTATATAATGTTAGTAGCTCATTGAGTGAAATTGGAGCTAAACAATTAGCTGGTTGTTACACTAATTTGAATTGATTATCATTTATGGATATTTCACTTTACAATACTAAAATCATCTGGGAAGGAATTGATGCTCTAATGCATGCTTGTAAGCATCTCTACAATTTTGAGAGATTTAAATTTAGATGAACCTTGCAATCCAATCAGAAATAAAGTATCCAAAGTTAACCTCAGATGAGGAGATTGTGGTTACATGAGATTCACGAGAAAAAGATGGATAATTACGAGATATTAGTATGATTATTTATAAATTATCATCATTCTTGTTACAATAACTAATGTTCTAATTTTCTATTATTTTAGCCTATGATTGAAATCTAAATAGTTAATTAAATATATATACTCTATCTTCAAGTTCTTTTATTTCATCATCATAATCGATCTCTGTAATTAAATTCTTTAGCTTCTTATTTTCCCCTTCTAGTTACTTAATCTAAGGATTGAATATATTATCATACTTTATCATTAAGTTTATCTAGCTGAGTATTTCTTTGAGAATTCAACTTTTATTTTTGCATCTTTTCTTCATGCAATGCTGAATCGTATTTGTATCTATACTGAACTTCATCATGCTTAGATTTTTAGTATTATATTTGTTAAGATTGAAGTTCCAATTGTAACTATTATACTTCTTAATCCAAATCTGAGAATTCAGAATAGATTGTGTTCAACTATTCATTTTCAATGATTAATCCTGTGACTTTGGATTCAAGGTCTTACACCAAGGATTGGAGTTTAGTATATTCATTCAATGAATCCAAACCCTTGAGATTCTCGCAATTGAATTGTTCCAATTTTTACAGTAATCCATCATATTCTTCTTGCATCTACAATAATTCAGTTTACTATTACTCCTTTTCTTTACGTAATCCTTCAATATCACTAATTCTTAACAATTAACTATTATCCTGATTCAATTTATCATTTAAAGTTTATAACATAATAATTTTATTTTCTAATTCTCTGATAAATTAGGTACTATTGCCTCTTTAAATTTATGATTCCAGTTTAAAAATAGTTTGTTGTAATTTCTAATTCTAATCTTTTATGAATTGCACTTCTGTTAATAAATGATTAGTTTTAGGTTGCTGTGAAATACCTCGATATCCTGGAGAGTGAATTTCGATGTGTTTCTAGCTGTAATTTTTTCGTAATGGTGAAGTTACAAGTTGCTGAATTGTGTTCCTACGTAAAGGAGCTGGACTCATTATGATTGAATTGTGTTGTTCTTAGATCTGCGGCTTAACCTTGAATTAAACATTATAATTTTGATTGCTTTTATAATCGCTATGAAGAGTGGCAGTTTTGAATTGTGCGTTTTTAGGTGTTGCTCCTCTATTATCTTAATTATAGTCAATCTATGAGAGTGGTTATCTTTGCATATTCAAAATAAACTGTTAATTATAATTTTTAATAAATCATGGTATATACTCTTTGAACAATGTCTCTAATAACTAAATTGGATCCTTGAACTCTCCAAACCTATCCAATTTCAAATACTGTTAATTAAATTGTCTCACGTCCTTTGCATACTTCATAGCCATTAAGTAGTTTTGTAAATAAAGTAATTCCTATTAATACTCCATGATATATCATACTTAATCAGACTTATTATCATAGAAATTCAGGATCGGAATACCATTTAATTGCTACATACAAAATGAATATGCGGCATTATCTATTAGTACCAGATCCGATAACTGTCTGTTTCCAATGACTCTAACCAAAAACAATCACTCAATACCTTAGATCTTTTACGTATGCTCCTTCTTCAGTCTATACACAACTCTCTCTGAAGAATCGATGCGATATCCATTGTTTTGTTGGATCCAAATAATCAATAACAACATTTGCATAACAAGAATGTGAAGCTGTGAATACAATCAATTCAAAATGTCTACTCAATGTCTATAACACCTATTGAGCATAAGGTCTGATGTTAATGGATGCCTAAGATGAATTCATATATCGTACCTCAATTACATCTCCAGTTGGAAATCTTATAGGCAATATTACATCACCTGGTACCTTTAATGATTCATTACAATGAATTAATGTTTCATCTAAATCAAACACTATTGTTTTTTTTAATGAAATAGATGGCAAATTTACTCTCTTCTCCTCATACTGCTGAGAATTCTTCACCTTAGAAAATTAAGCAGCTGATATTGATTAGACTAAATGTTCCCTCACCTATTATATGGGTTTTGTGATCTCTGGTGTCATATAGCATCTTATCACTGATGAAATATAGTATAAGAATTGAGTTTCTGATCTAGTTGATCTTTCTCTCTAATTGTTTGAAAATGCTATTTTCTATGACATTCCTTTAGCTGACTCAGGATGAATTTAGATTATTTTCTAGATATTCGCTTCGCTGCTTGTTTTTTATTAAGTGACAAAGGTTGATAAAGATGGCTTCTTATTGAGATTATCATTTGATACTACTCTTGGGTCATTTACCAAAGTGCTTGATTTCAATTTATTTTGCATTGAGTTCAAATCAAGATCATTCTTGCTAACTTTTGGTTTATTAATATTTTCCTGTTACTGCTATTATTAATCATTGGTTTTAGTATTAAAAAATCTGGATGCCAATCCTTGTTTTGTTTGTCTCTAACTATTATCAATATGAGTTTTGATATTTATGATCTTTTACTCCAAATATGATAATTTATCTTATAACTTTCTATATTCAAAGATTTCCTTAGTGTTTGGCTTCTTGTTTGCAGTCTCTTGTAAATTAGATCTTATTTCCATGTTCTCCTTCTAATCCTTATACTAAAAATTTTATTTGCTCAATTGAGTCGAACTCTTCATTTGAGTTAATTATTTCATTTAGTTAGCTGAGCTAGGTCTCGTTTGTTCTGGAATGTACCTTCCTAAATTCTTTTCAGATAATGGTCTTCTCAATTCATACATGTGAACGGTAAAATTTTAATTTTTAAATTAATTAGTGTAATTCATTTATTTTATATTAATCACTCAAATGAATCATATATTTTTTTACTAATAATGATGTACTCTTTTTAATAGATAATTAAATAAGATAGGGATATCTTTTTGTAATTTTTTGTACGATGTATATTTACATTACAATATATGGTGATATTTCAAATCATATTGATTACATAATAATTAATAGTTTATCAAGATCATTATTGATTCATTTAACTTCATAAAATTAGTGTCAAAAAACTCTTGAGTTAATTGATATCAAGAATCTTACATAACCATAAATTTAGAACAGGAAGATTTAAGTCTACTCTAATTAAGGAAATTTATGTAGTAGTAACTTTACAACAATAGCATAGATGAGATCATTTGCTTAGCCTATTTTTTGAATAAAATGCATTTAATAATGTAAAATTTCTTGACCACCTTTATTAGAATCTATTATCAATAAATGCTAGAGTTATTTTGATTGTTAAACCTTAACATAATGATAGTCTTATCTCTCTAAAACATAATTCCCACTATAATTATTTTTGATTAAATCTTATTCCTTAACAAAAGCTCTTAGCAATAATATATAGACTTAATGTTTGTGACATTTCAGTCAAACAGCATTTAATACTTTACTTATTTACCTTGGCACATCTTAAATAAGGCAATAAATATCACTCCAAGAATTATTAAAATCCATTATTTGAATAATGGATTTTTGATAATATTATTGTTTAATGGAGACTATATTGTTGTCATTTGTCTTGATTTTTTTATTTTCTTTTTCAATTTTGCATTAGCATTATTATTGCTATTTCTTTTGAATATTTATTTAATGCTCACAGTATTTCCATCCATTCTAATTTCGATCAGATTACAGAGATTGAATGAATTATCCCAATTATTTATACTAATTGATTAGTGTGAATCATTATAACCAATTTACTACTCTTTTTCATTCTTATAACCTAAGAATCTGAATTTAGAATAAAAGTGATAATTATAGGTGATTATAATAATGATGCAAATGATTAAATGTTTCATTCTTCATGGGCATGACTGGGTTATGTTCCCTTAATCATCCAACAGACATAAGCTGGGTATCCTAATTGGAGAGCTCTGAGCGATCTGAAAAACCACATGTTTGATTTATTCTAAATAAAAAATATTAATAATTAATCATTAATCTCCAGAAGAAAACTTGAATCTTTGTTTGTTAGATTTGACTTTTCCTTGATTTTATGATGTGAAATCAGGAATAGCGATTTATTACTAAGATTTTGTTATATTATTAATTGGAACTTCAATTTCCTAAGCATATTGCTTGTTTAATTCTTGAGTCAGAGACTTTGAATCCAAAGATAGCTTATCTAATAAGCCACAAAAGCTATTTGATCTGGAGATCTTCTCAGAATGACAGTCTTCACTTTTAATTGATTGCTCTCCCTAATAGTAATTATAACACATTTAATATTGCTGCTGTGCCAAGTAGTACTGATATTGGTACATCAAAAATTATTGTTATTATATATAATTAATATTCCTATCTAAACAGATTACTTTTTAGGGTTTTTGTTCTTGCATTTAATCGCTATTAGCATTACATTATTAGGGAACTAATTTTTAGATGATGTTATTTATAAGTTAATCCATATCTAATTACATTTGTAAACCTTTCGTTTCCTTGTTTATTAGACTCTTGAATCTATTTTTCACTTAGTTTTCAGTTCTATTTTTCATCTTTTACGAAATCTTAGACCATTTCAATCCTTCAGACTGAGCTAATTTCATCAAACACAAATCCTCCTCCGGTTTCCAATAACTCCTATTAAAACACCTCTCTTTGATTATACCTATTGATTCTGGGATCCAAATAATTATTCCATCTCTCTCTACATTGTTTGGCTTTCTTGAAATATCGACCATTTGATTTCATGAATATCTAAAACTGAATTTCGTGCCATTTCAAATTCTTACTATTTTCAACTTCCACTTTTAACATCTGTTCTTCTTCCTAACACCACTGCAATCTATCCTCTCTTCCGATCATATGACATAGCCATTTGTATTAACAATTTAAACTGCTTTTGAATTTAATCAACTTCTCAACCATCTCCCAATCGTTCTAATTATCAACATCCCAACATACCATTTTTAAAAGATTCATTTTATGCATCGTACAATATTATATCACTATCCAAATCAATATTTTCCATTCTTGGTCTGTCCATTAGGTTTGTGAATGCATTTATAAGAAATTTCTACATTAGCATTTACACTTACTTTTGATCTTCAAATGCATAAAACTCTTGCACTTCCCCAAATGTTATCACTTTCTAACTCAATTTAAAATCGACCAATTTCTAATATTGAGTCAAATCGATATTCCAATCCCCCTCCCCAAGACTCTTGAAGTAATCCAGAAGTACACTTCCATTAGATTTCATAGATTAAGATTACATTTAATATTTATCATAATAAAATATGACCCATGAATCTAAAATCAAAGATTTTATTCACTAAATCGGTTTAATTATTAGTATTTACACTTATATATATGATACAATTATTTATAAATCATTAATTAGGATGTTCTCAAAATCGATACTGATATCATCAATTATAACTCTCATTTGGAAATGCAATTTAAATCATTTTGTTTGACAATTGAAGATAAAAAGGATAATATTATATTGACCACTCGACTTTCATTTATCTAATTCTCAACATAGATAATTAATAAAAACGAATGTTTATTATAATTTAATAGCCTTAAATATCAATTTTAGGATGGAGTTCTTTTTTTACTCTTTGGTGGCCTATATTTTTGGACTAAATCGCTCTCCATTTTTTAAATCAAGTTTGAACTCTTCAACATATTAAAAAGTATATTGTAATTAATATCACTCTTGCAGTCCATAAACATCACTATATTCTCAATCTCTTCATCAATCAATTGTAAATGTTCTTACATAATATAATTGAAAATGATCTCATTTACAAATCCTAAAATAACTATTAGATCTAGTACCATTCTTATCATTATCATGTTCTTAAAAGATTTCTAATAGTTTAATCGACTTATCTTGCATTCTAACTTTTATCTTCGACATAATTCCCTCAATTATGACTGCACTAGGCAATTTCTTTTACTCCTCCTATAATTATGGCATTTTGGCTTTTAAAACTGCGTGCCCATAAAAATGTCTCTTGGTTCCTATCTATTGATCTGTTGGTTTCTCAACTGTATATCCAACAACTAAAATAGAATTCACTATTACAATTCTCAGGCGAATGATCCTTATTTTTCTTGCAACTTTTATTTATTGTTTTTATGTTTAATGGCTCATTGCAAAAATAGCATATCATTTCTGATTCTTTCAATTATTCAGTAAAGAATTCTACCAACTTTTGCCACTCTTTAATTTCATTCTCAGAGTGTCTTCTTAATATTTATTAAGACAATTCCTCTTCTTGCTTTCTTTCGTTTATCATTCTCCATATAATCTCATTCAGAACCTCAAGCATTTACTATTGTCCCTCCATCTTTCCTAGTAGTAATCTTAAGTCAGTTAATTCTCTAGGTAAATCATCCGGAATCTCATCTATTCCTTTGTTATAAGGTTTTGCAATCAAAAACTCAATCCTATCTAATAGACTCTAGCTATCAAATAGAAATTCAAGGTAATCATTCTTTTTTGTCAAATTAAAAAACTAAATTGCCAAGTCATTCATTTCATCCAAATCTCTAAAATCCAATATACTAGAATGCTTACGATTATATCACTGATATTTAATGTTGTAGAATTGTTTATTTCATTTATTCTGCTTAATTAAGGCGGTCCTCTATTCCATTCATCTCAGCTCTGCAATCTCGCTCAATTATATTTTTGACATATTTGATCTCTTGAATTCTATATTCAATTCTATTTATCTAAGCAAATATTTCGTCTCTCTTTGGTAAAATATTATGCAATATTTCTTATTTTATATGTTCAACTCTCATCTTAAAAGCCTCTTACAATGAATTAATTCGATGTAACTAAATTCATTCCTTATTGACATACCGTGTAATTATGCGGTCCCAAGGTAGTACAAAGCTTGCAGATTGGTTCTTCACATGATTCACAGAAATATGTTAATTCTCTATTGTGATGAACGCAATTTTTTTAATTTAAATTGCTCATTATTTATATAATGTTAAATAACTTACATTTCAAACGAAAATTATTATTATTTTAAAAATTGTCAGCCCTTTTTCAAATTTATTATCTTCTCTATAATTGTTTCTACATAGATTTACCTAAGTAGTTTAGCATACATTTACATAAAGATTGTTTTGAGGGTTTTTAATTTATTAAATTGTTAATTAAAGCTTTTCTGTTAGTAGTATTATATACGATTATGAGTATCTCTTGAGATTTCCAAAATATCAGAGAGGGAAAATTTAGAATAAATTCTGTTACTTTACTGTTTTTAAGAAAAAATTATTGTAAGATGAGATTCATTCTAATCAGCTAATAAAATGATCAATTTTTTATTCATTATGAATTTACAATATTAATTATTATTAGAAAGTAGAAAGAGAAGGGGATTTACTTTTAGTACTGATATAAAGTTAAAGATCAAAAAACTTTTTGAGTATAATTAGTGGTAAACCTACCCTTTGTAAAAATAAGCTTTAGTTATAACATGAAACCATTGTGTAAGTATTATTCTAAATATAAAATAATTTTAACTTAATTACCTATCAAATTTAATAATAATAAAAGATATTGTGTGCTTTTAGAAGTATATTTAATATGTTTATTATTCTTTTTATTTAATTTATAAGATACATATTCATTTTCAAATTGTAACAATCCATGTTCTAATTTTCATGGGGCCAACTTGATCCTCCTCATAACTTTCTTAAGATTTTTCATCTGTATATGTGTCAGTCCATTCTAAAAATAAATAAATATGAATATTACTATATCTGTTTTATTCCCAAGTCTTTAGTTCTTGATTGCCTGTTAAAGTTGTTTCCTTAAATTATAAACCACTTGGAAATTTAAGCTTTTAGATTCCTTCTTCTCTTAAATTGTGCACTCTGACTAAATATTAATTCTCTGTTAACCATGGTTCAATATAAAATTTGCATAAATTATAATCTGATTACTTTTCAATGAAATTTTCAAATTTATTTTCCAATTTTGAATATTCAATTTAATCTTAAGTAGAGAAATAAATCAATGGTTTCAGATCTTGTTAATATTATAATTGTCTGAGAATATTAGATTCAGATTTAGGATTGTAGAATGCGATTGTATGGGACATCATTTGTCTCATTCCAACCTTTTTGTTATCAACCTCTTCTTATTCATCAAGTCTTTCAAAGACTCCTTTATTATCATCATTACTTAAACGTCTTTGTAACATTAATTCAAGAACACCATTACTAAGACTAGTACCTCCTTAAGCTCTATCGTTGAGAACTGCACATGCTTAATTTCCATCCTCATTCTAAATCATGATTGCACCATTAACAGGGAAATAATTGCCTGAAACTGGTTCAAGAACTGTCATTTACCATGAATCTCTATGATTGACTTGACGCCTTTGTAATGTTAATCCATTGCTATCAGTATAAAATACTTTATTATTATTGATATCTGTAAGGACTTGTAGGACAACTTCCTTTCCTCTATAATCTGACATATTAACAGAATCCACAAATGAATCAACATAGAAGATGTTTTCATCGTCATCAAAGGCAGTAACCCATGCTTTAATTTAACTTTTTTCAATGTAGTATTATTTAACTAAACTTCCAGTAAATTTATAGGCCTTTACATAGTTTCCATATGGACGGGACTATCCATCTGGTCGAAAGACATAAGCACCTGAGGATGAAGCATAGAAATTATAATTTAGTTTGAATTTGTCAAATAGTTTTGTATCTTTATCAACAGTGATAGTTTCAGGTTCAATTTTGACTATATTGGTATTTTCTTATGAAGCAACAGTCTGAAGTTTATAATAATGAATTAGCTTAGAATTATCAACTATTCTTGGTATATAAAGAGTGCATTATTCGTTAACACATAGAATTTCTCCATTTAAAAGAGTGCCTTTTTCATCAGTGGCTTTGATGTACAAATTATCAGGTACCAATATCTTAAGGTATTCTTTGATTCCGTCATTATTAACTTTAGCATCAATGACAGTTAGTATGACAGTTTAATTTTTGATCAAGGGATCATGTAGAGAGTGACAGACATTGGATCCATTAAAATTACAGGTAGAATGAGCTACTGATTTAGTATTCGAAAGAATGTTGAGTAGGGAACTAATTTACTTGTTCATATTCTGATAAGCAGATTTGATCATTTTAATGTAATCATTGTTGACATATTATTTGGCAGTTCCAGTGATTGCATCGTGATGTTAGGCTGTACCCAATGCTTCAGCCAAATCCTTGAGGTTCTTGTCATCGCAAAGTGATTTGCATTGATTGTTAATTTTGATGAAGGAATAAAACAATTTGACTTATTGGAAATATCTGCCTATTCTTCTCACATAACCTTTAAATGCCGATCTACTAGTGAAGTAGCCTGCCCAATATTGATTAGGGTAATCAGCATATGGGAAGAAGTCCTCTTTTTAGGAGGGATATGTAATGTTCTATTCGTACAATGCTTAGATATATTGTTTAGGTGTTCCGTATTGAATAACCATTTTATATTTTTCTGTGTCGCTATTGACTTTATTCATGACTCGATCCATTTATCCAAAATAGGAGGCAGCATCTGACCATTAGAAATCCATACCAAGAGTGTGAGCTAAGATTTTGCCTTTGTATGAATTTTATTATTATTTGAAGTACCTAGCAAGTTCTTCTGTTTTAGATTACAAATTTGAATCTGTAACCTATTATCTATTGGGATTGGTAACATCGAAGTCAAAACCTCTAGGTGATGAGTAATATCCATAATAATTGACATGTGTCAATATGGAATGTCCTGGATCACAATCAGGATGAATCACAAATTCTAACTCTTTCCTTTTTTCTCTAATCGAACGATCCTCTTAGTCAATACGCCCAAAAAACCAAGCATTGAATCCCATCATGTTTGAGAATAGAGCTTGAGTATTGGAATGTCCAAATGGATCTACTTGCCATCCAACCGATGGGATATAATTGAAGTGTTGAAGTAAGAATTTATGTCCAAGAGTCATCTGATCTATTATGTCCTCATAGTATGAAGTGGCCTCATCATTCATGCACCACCCACCACTCAAAAACTCCAATTGTTCATTCTTTACTAATTCTTTGACCTTTTCTTTCATTGTGTCATTCTGTTCATTCCACCAGCTATCGTTTATAAATGAATTCCAATTACATAGAGAAGAAAGCAATCTCAACTTGAGAGAAATGCTTACTTTTATCATGTATTAGTTATTCCATATATGAACTAATAATTTATTTGACCCCATGTGAATCCTTGTAGTATTCCATCATTGTCCTAACCCATCCAACATCGTCATGGGAATGAGGAAATAGGAATACTCTAAGATAATCTGTTTCAACAGTGTTCACCTTCCCCAAAAAATTACCACATGCAGTTGATATAAGGGTTAGTAATAAAATCATAAACATTTATTTATTTAATTTTTGTAATGTCAGAACAAGGAGAAGAAGACTAACAACAGTAGGATGAATAATAGTAACAAGAATAATAGCCCTTTCAACTTGATACCCAAATTGTACTATCATATTCAAATTTTTCAAGCCTCCTGAAGATCCAAATGTGTTTATGACTCAATAAAAACTTGAACAGAATCAAGCCTGGAAGTGCTTTGATTTCCTATTCCCAGCAGGGAAATTAGCCAAACTTATCAAAGTTAATTATAACCAACCAAAAACCTTCCCGATGACTGAAATACTTACGAAACTGAAATTAGATGATGGATTGCCTGTGGTCAATTTTATTGGTTGCAGACACAACTTTGACAATCCAAACTCTAATCGTGGCAAATTCTATGCTGGTATTGCCAGAGCATGTCATAATACTGATGCAGTTATCATTGATAATGGAATCACCACTGGCATTGAAAAATTCAGTCTCAGAAGAAATTGCACTGTAATCTATCCTAAACAAGTATATATAGCTCATCGGTGTTGCACCTGAATAAGCTGTATCCTATCCAAAATTGAATCCCACCAAAATTGAAAAAAATGAATTAAGCAATGGGCACTCCCACATTTTCTTGATTGGAGGCGATAATGTCGATATTGGAAGCGAAGCACAATTTAAAATCAATTTATGCAAAGCGTATCATATCGTCTATAAATACAAGTATTGCAACTGGAAAAATCAGTAAAACTCAAGGAAGACCAAGATGCAAAATAGTTAATATTTTATTCGCAGACTCTAATGATTGTTTTGATGAAATCAGAGAAGCCATTATTAATAAATTACCTATTATTGTCGTCAGGGGATCTCATCTCTGCAATCAATTCATAGACCAAGAGAAAATACTTGATGCAGGTATCAATCCTTTTTAATCACAGAATTTGAGGACATTATGACTGATAAAGATGGATTCTTCTTCCCCTTAAAAAAACTAGATTCAGAAGTCATTGCATAAATGGTTCATTATCTATTGACATTTACTCCATCAAAACCTAAATAATAATAATGATTTATATATATATTTATTATATTCTATTAGAATAAGTATTAATATTTATTATAAATTCAATTAGTCAGAGAAACTATTTGAGATAGGATAAATTAATACTTTAAAATAATGACTCAGACATTTTTATGATCATATCTAGTTGAATTAGAAATGCTATGAGAAATAACTTTTAAAAGGATAAAGATATTCAAATAATCATAAAAGATGAGTATATAGTTTATTTGGAGTTAATTTAAATAAAGTATCTTTGAATATCTGCTAATTTTATCAATTGGCATTTCAATATATAGTTTAATATTATATAATAATAAAGAAATGAAAACTCAATAAGGATATCTATCAAATTTAGACATAGATATGAATCTTAAAACAAGCAGTAGATGTTATAAGAAGGTGAACGAGAATCGTAATTCATTGTTAGTATCCCTTGCTTAACCTAAGCGAAATAAGAATACTTCGTTTATTCCTGAATTACAGGAAATGCCTACCAAATAGAGAAGGAAGAGTTATCAGGAGGGCATTTAAGGATAGAAAATGAGTCGCTTGAATTGTCTCTATCCTCAATCGATTTGTATGCAACATGCAATGCAGAAACCAAAAATAGACAACAAGGCTACACTGAGGAAGGCTGTAAAGAGAGCTTCGATCATGATGTCAACGGTGAAGTATTGGAAGGATCATTCTTAAAAGAAAATTGAGGTTCCAGTAATGATTAAATCCATTAAAACCAGAGACAGCTGTTTATATGATCGTAATGCTCTAACTACGAGGAGTGTGAAAAGAAGCGAGTTGCCTCCAGTCCTTCTTAATTAATTCAAAATCAGAAATAACTAGCGCCTAATCAAGTACAGTAGAGATAGAACTGCAGACAAGACTAAATCAGTTAGTCATCATCACTTTTCTCATCTCCAAACTCCCACAATCCAAGCCTTTTCTTCACGATATAGCATTCAGCATGCCAATATCAGAATTAAGGAGTGATCATAATATTGAATATATGTTAGACTCATTTTTATTTTAGAAAACTTTATAAATCCATCTCAATATTTTAAGCTTGCCGTTTATACTCAGAATAATAACTCTGATTCGATATGTCAACTGATTCATTCTACGGTTCCATATAGTTTACTTGAGACCCTCCACTTTGTTGGGATTAATGTAACATCAAGTTGCTTTGTACACTCTAATTTTATTCTTCCAAAAGTAGATTGACGCCATTCGGAAATCTCTTTTACTCAAGCAGCTGGATCTCAGGAACATTTTATTAGTTGTTCATTGTTTATCCAATCTGAAATGAACTAACACTTTATAAACCACTGTTCTCTTGTTACATTCCTGATTGGTCTTCTTGTGAATTCAATAGGAAATCAATTAAATTTCTCAATCCTAACAAGTTATCAATTACCACTTTCTTATTTATTTCCATACCCTAAGCCATATTCCAAATGAAGCTGTTCAAGCATTCAAAACAAATTCTATCTTCCTGTGTTTCTGTTTGCAGATTGAAATAATTCTCTATTATCGGTTAATATGATTCTCTTTGTTATTTTAATGGACTCATTGTTGCATTAAATGATGCTGAACCCTCTTAAGCCTTTTATTACTTTACAGAAATCTTTTGATTCAAGAATGATGATCCTGTACTTAATCGAGAAAGAGCATTATAATTTTAATTGCTTAAATACATTATAGAATTTATATATAATTATTCAATATGCCATGACTATTAATACACTAATATGCTAGGTAGAATGAACTTTACAATTGATCTTAATCGTTTGATTATTAATATGCCCTAGAATTTATTATTTATTAATTGTAAATCTGTTTCAGAGGTATAAAAATAGAAAACTAAGACTGTTTAGATAAGTAAATATTAAAATTAATAAATTCTGATGAGCGCTCCAACTAAGATAGTCATGTTAGGGGAAGGTTAGATTAGATGAATTAATGATTAGGCAGAGTAGGGAAGACATGTCTGACTTTAAAATATTGTAAAGATTAATTCGATGAGAATCAGTAATCCTCCATAGATGCTACATTTTTTGAGAAGAGTGTAGACTTAGGCGGGGGCAAGAATATAAACTTGGCCATTTGGGTATCTATAGCATTAATAATAGGATACCGCAGGACAAGAGATATTTCATGCTTTGACTACCGTCTATTATAGAGATGCGTATGGGGCAGTGCTGGTTTACGATGTAACTTATAAGGAATCATTTCTGAAAGTAAAGGGGGGTTGTCTATGTAAATCTAGGTCGAGAAATGGGTAGAGGAATTAAGATCATTTGGAACTAAGGATATTTCCATAGTTGTTGCAGGCAACAAAAGTGACATGAAAAATCAGATGTAGATCGATAAAAATGAAGTTGAAGAATACTGCAAGAAGATTGGAGCTAAACATTTCTTTACTTCAGCTAAGTCAGGTGTTGGCATTAATGAAATGTTCAAAGCTTTGGGAGAGAGTAAGACTTACATTCATTCATAGGTATCTCAATCAAAGTCCAGGCATAAGAAAGCAAAGGTAAGAAAAAGAAAGGATTATAAATTAAAGATGTAAAAGAAACTAAGAAAAAAGACTAAAAAAATGAAATTTGTTGTTGAAATAAAAAATGAAAAATTTATATTACATCCTAATGTTTTTATTTGTTGTTATTCACTTATCTCAATGTTATAGCGTTCTTAATTGACGAAATAGTTACTTAAATAAAGTTACTAAATTAATGATAATAATTATTGATTCATTCACATGAATTTAATATTTGATATATTATAATGATATTAGTGATGGATCGAAAAAATCATTTATATTACATATATATATATTTAATAATTATTTACCATAACTATAGTAAGTATTTAATTCTTACAAAAGAACTAATAATCATCATAGATCGTTAATTAAAATTACAGACTTTTAATTGTAAGAGATATTGAATGTTGTTTTATCAAAAAACAAAAAGAAATTCCTGAATAACAGAATTCGATAAGTGAAATTCCTCCAGACTCTCAAATTGATAAGAATGAAAAATAACAAGTTGTTTAGACTAATTCGATTTTAGAATCAGAAATTATAAAGGTTACAAATACATCAGAAATCAAATAAAAAATAGAGCTTAGAAAAAACGAGATAAAGGAATTAGTCAATAATGATATTGCAATTAAAATCTAAGAGATAGAGAATCTTCAAAAACTTTTAAAACAACTCAAAAAAACAGTAGTACAAGAGGTAGATTAGATAATTGAAGAAGCTGAATAATGGTCCAGAAGGTTAAATTCTTTGAGGTTTGATTAGATTTCAAGATATCAAAATAGTAAAGGTGTGAAGGATAATAAAATTGCAGATGAACAGTATTTAAAATGGTAAATAGATAAGATCAATTAAAAGAATAGATATATGAAGGAGAGAATTATCAAAAGATTACAAAGATTTAAGAATTTCAAAGGAAATGAAGAGTGTCTTACTCGATTAAATAATATGTAAATCAAAGATAATAATAATGAATATATTTTGATAGAAGAAGATGAGGAAGTAACATCAAATGATTTCATTTCAGTCAGCGAAGAAAAGAAATAGGTGGATTAAGTCTAAGAGATGGTTGAAATGAAATTGATTGAGAATATAAATAACAAATAAGATGGTAGATGTGAGACTATAGTTTTTGATAAAACTGGATCAATTATGGTTTCAAATGATATGGAGTCAATAAAAATATGGAAATTTGAGAAAGGAGAATTAACCCTATTAAATCAACTTTAAATGCACAGTCTCCATGTTAAATGCCTAGTTTATAGTAAATTCAAAAATAACTTTATTTCTGGTTCTGCAGATAAGAAGATAATTTGTTGGAAATAAGCTAATGGTAATAAATGGCATTCAAATATATATTAATATCATAATGATACTGTTAATTGTTTGATATTAAATTAAAGAGAAGATGAATTGATATCAGGAAGTGATGATAAATAAATTATCATTTGGAGTGTGGATTTTGTCAATAATTACCTAACTTTTAAGTAATCGTTGAAATAGCATTCTGAATATGTTTTATCATTAAGTTATAATTAATCAGAGAACTCATTTGTATCTTGTGGTTTTGATTTATATATTATATGGAAGAAAAAATGTGACAATGGTAACTAATAAATACTGAATAACACTAAATCCAGTGAATCGCTATACTATTTGGATTAGTTAAAATATTTACCCAAAGGAAATAGAGTTATTTTTATTAATGATTAGTAATTTCTTTGGGTAACCTAAAATTAGGATATTTTGATCTTTGAAGAAAAATGGTAAATCTTCTAAAGGTGTAAGAACAAGACTATTCATATCAAGAATAATGATTGTGAAGATCAGTATTATTTCCCTATAGTATATAATAAAAATAGGAATTTCCTACTGATCAAACATAAATATCATATTTATTTAATTAGGGAGTTAGACAATGGAAAATTCATTATTCTATCATCAGTCGATTGTGGAACACAACACAATTATGGTACTATGACAAATGATGGATAATATGTAGTATTTTGGGATTAAAAATAAAAGAAATATTCAACATATCAGGTAACAAAAGTATGAATGTGTGAATGATTGAACATTATATATAAACCTCTCAAGAATAATTTTCTTTAAAATCAAAAAAGTAAGTAATAAAAACCTTAAAATCAAGAAGACTAAAAAGGAAAAGAGAGAACCTTTTTCATATTATTCTAATATAGAGTCCTAGAATAGGAAATGTAGATATTATTCATTAATTTTAAGAAATGAATAGTATAAGAGGAAATTGTATATAATTATTAATATTATTTTAGAATATAAGTCATTATCATCTAATAATAGTCATTTTGGTACTTTATCAATGGAAAATGAAGTAATAATATATAAATGGGATGATTAAACACTTTAATAAATTGGATCATCTGTATATATAGATAGTTCATATAATTGTTTTAATATTCATTTATCTGCATTTTTGATATTTTGGTTGATTGCTATTAAGATGAGTAATTTAATTTATTTATTGTGTAAGATTAATAATATCATAGTAAATATTCATGGTAATCATCTCTGCCTATTAAAACTAAATTCTTATCTATAGTAAGTGATAATAATACTTATATTATTTATGCTTAGTATTATTACAATTACTCTATGCTCTCATTATTTTCACATTAGTATGCAAATTTAACTTAATGGAATAATAACTTTGTAGATTTTGATATACCTATTAGAATAAATCCTTACATTTACATACTCACTTAACAACAGATCCTATAATGTACTATTTCTTCAAATTACACTTTTTAACTCTAATATTATTTCACATCACCTAATATCTCTAATTTTATTTCCATCAATCTTTATTACAACTTTCAGACTTATTCTTAATATACATAGTATTTAATACAACAAAAAGCATAGACAAAGTTGATAACAATTATATCGCAACTATTCAAACTATTTATATTTATAATTCTTCTTTACCATTTCATAAAGGTATAAATTAGTCTTGAAAATTTGATTATTCTTGCTATTTAGGCTATTGATTACATATTTTATTAACTTGCTTATAGGTCAAAAAAGTACATATACAATAACTTGAGCAACTCAAATTTAAGATAATTATAGCAAAAAAAATTTCTATGGGTTATTAAAAACTACTTGATTTTAATAAATCATTTCTCAGTTATTTAAGTTTCAAATTGATTGAGCTTATAATAAATTTATAAGAGAATTTAATTGGATTATTTTCATATATGCAATATCATAATTCAAAAATTTAAATTTAGTTTTTATGATTATAATTAATATTTGTATTAAAAATGAATGATTAATTATATTTATATTTATCAAATTTTATCAATCTCATCTCCATAATAATTAATAATTTTTATATACTTAAATTGATTCTTCAACTTCTTCAGCTTACTATCATTCATGGCATTGCATGATTCGAAATTTAGAATTCTTAATTTTTTAAATAAGTTGCGGAAATACAAATTTTTAGGTATGCATTCAGTTGTTAATTATTTACATCCAATTAAATATACTTCTTCTAATTGCATAGCTTCTTCCAATAATATCATGATCGAATGATCGAAAATATTTACGTTCCATGATAGGTTAATACATTTAAGTCTTTAACACCTCTTAATTATTTAAAATACCACTCTGTCTGTAACTCCATCACATTAATTTAAATTGATTTCCTCGAAGTACTTATTTTAGAATAATTATAACATAGAATCCTCCTAAATATTCTAAGCCTTAAAAATGGATAACCTATTAGATAAGGAATCTACAATACTTATTCAATTTGTAAAATTAACTTAGTTTGAGTATGAGGAGATCAGAGTAATCGTTAAAGTAATAAATATACAATTTCTCTATCTTGTCCTTATTCAAGCAATTAACGATTTGGATCATTTCGTCATGATTGTATTCATCGGCATCAATTTCCAATTCACTCAAAGTTTCATAAGAGTTCTGAATCATTTGTAGAACTTCTTAATGGTTCATTCCTTGCAATTGGAGGGATATGGCACTAAGATTGTGCAATTGGCCTAGTTTTAAATTCTCATCTGTTCTTTTTTGAATTCTGAGATGTAATTATTCTAAATGAGGCAATTAAGTTAGTAACTGCAATTATTAATTTGTGATGGGCATTCTTATTTCTAATTTTCTGAGTTGTTTTTGATTGACCAATAAATGGTCGAATACATTCAATTAATTTAATTTGATTGTGAGTGATTCCAATTCAAGTTTAGAAATGGTATTAATGATATCCTTTTTATTTATCTTGAAGTCTTCTTCATAGAAAACTAAGTCTTTGATTTTTAGATACTAGAATTTCTTAGAATGCCACTTAAATTATTAGAGACTATCATAAGTAAAATTACTAAAGATTTTCCTGTTTTGTAGTGTGTCCGAATTAATAAAGTGATGCCAATTCAGACAAACTTGTTCGCATCTTGCCAAATCGTTGAGTTCAAGATAGGTAAAGATTAGTAAGATTATATTTTTATTTTCCATCTTTAATTTAATAATATTCAATCCTTTCATACAATCAATATATATACGTTAAACTTAAAATTTGATTCGTATATTAGAAGTGGGTAGTCAGCAATGAGAATAAGTAGATATTATTATATATTATTATTATTACTACTTTTTAAGATAATGAATCACTTAATTACAATTACAATTGAGTTTAACTCAAATAATGAATGTATAGATCATACCCTTATTATGTCATTCAATTTTAATTTTTAACTGCGAAGAAATCTTTTTTTTCAAATAATATAATGAAATAAAACAACTTCTTACCTTCCTTGATAACTGCTTTACTTATAATATGTGCAAATTGCGTAACAAAGGATGATCTTATATCCTAAATAACCGAAAAGCTCGATGTGATGGAAAACAAAATGAGTATTCTGATCCAAGGTGCTGATGGCACTATTTACCTAAAGGAACACCTGAGCGCAAATGGTACCCAACCTTATGATGATGACTCAACCATTCACATTGCTTCTGGTTGTAAATGGATTGCCATGGCCACCATTATGAAGCTTGTAGAATTACAATAATTATCTCTTGATACCAAAGTAACTGACTTTTATCCTGAATTCAAAGATACCAATCCAACAATGACGTTGAAGAATTTAATGACTCATACCTCAGGTTATCAGTTGGCTGATGAGTGGATTTTTGATTTACAAGTTACTTTATAACAATCTATATCTGGAATAGCTGATGGAGGTCAATATCCAGCCAGCCAAGTGTACTTTCCAGGAGGTACCAAAGTTGGATACAGTGATATCGGAATGTAAATTGCTGGAGGCATCGCAGAAAAGGTGTCTGGTAAGACTTTTCATGAATTATTTAATGAATATATTGCGACTCCTTTGGGTATGAAAAATGCTGTCTTCACCGCCTTTGATGGAGTAACTGGAAATAACATTGCCATCGCTGATGGACTTCTGATTAGAATGATCGATTATGGCAATTTCATGAGAATGTTGTTAAACGAGGGTGCTTTTGAAGGGAAAACCATTTTATTAGCCTCCACTGTCCAATCAATGCTCTAAGACTACACAGGAGATTTGCCAGTCTCAGAAGAGGTCATGAAAGATGTGGTTACAGATGTTGGAGATTCATATAGCTTTGCTATTGGAGCATGGGTATATGATACAGATAGTGATGGCAAACCAACAGTCTACTCAAGTCCAGGTATTCATGGATTTGAAAATTGGATTGATGTTGAGAACAAATACCTATGTATCTTCTTCCTTAGAACTGATACTGAAAATGAACCAGATGTTACAGATTTGGCTGAGTCAATGAGACCTGACATTTTAGACTTCTATCTCAGTGAGAGTGGAAATTATTCAAATTTAATTGCCCTAGGAGTTCTATTCGTTTTCGGCATCATGTTTTGAGTTATTATCATACAATAATAAATAAAAACCTTCAAATTCTTAATTGTAAACAAATTTTTACACTTAAACTAAAACTTGTAATTTCAACAATTTTGTATTAAAAAAAGTGTGTTAATTTATTCTAATTAATAAATTTAACTTCCCTTAAACTTCCATAAAACTTCTTGATTTACAACAACAATCTATAATCCACCCCCCAACGTTGAAATAATACAGAATTACAGATTATTAATGCATGTTAAAATGCGGATGATAATTATTAATATAATAATGGGAGATTCCTTAGAGTCTCCATCTTAAAATCTATTGAAATAAGCCTAAGTTCATAAGAGTTCGGTTCATTTCCAGGATGGCAATCAATTCAAGAAGAAGGATAGATGTAAGTAAATTCAAAATGAGACTGATAAGTTTAAGTACTTATTCTAGATCCCAAACATCATTTCCGATCCTAAATTAGTGAGGAGAAGAAAGACTTTCGAGACCTTCACCAAGAATTCCAATTTGGATATCTATTATATGCATTTGAAGAAGGCATCAGGAATAGCAAGGAGCATATCTTAGAGGGCAGACTATCAGGAGGTGGTAGCCAAAATACACAATAATAAGATGCAAGATTAGTTCGTGCATAAGTTGCACAAGAACAAAGGGTACATATTGACAAATGAGTTGTGGTCTAATAAACTATTGAGTCAGGTGTCTGATCAATCCAGACTCAGAGAGTTGTCGTCAATGTTACAACTGCAGAAGATCAAGCTGAATTCTGAGGAACAACTCAAGAACTATGAGCAATACTTTAAGCAGTTCGTGTAGGCGAAATGTCAGGATAAGGGAGATGTGTCCAAAGCACTCAATGACATAGATGACTAGATCACTCTCGACTAGAGTAATAAGGATAGCAGGGTCCAATCGAGAAATCATAGTGTTCCGATGAAGTAGACTGATCAAAGTTTTTTCTCGAGGGAAATAATGACTGCGTAGATCGATAAGAAGAGAGCAATACATTCTTTGCATAGTACAATGAAGATGGCCGAGTTACTTAAGTAGTCAAGTGAGGAAGTGCAATCAACTTAGGAGGTTGTATCAAAATTGAGGAGGTTTGCAAAGGAAGAGGCAGAAATTTAGAACAAACCCAGGTAGTTGAGACTCAGGAGAGTGTTTGCCGAATAACTCAATAACGTAATTAAGAATTCAAAGAAAATAATTTGATTTTATTACTCATGTTATGATAATAATCGGGTGAATAGAGTGAATAGATTTGATAAATGATTAAATATATGCATCATGAATAGAAGTCTATAATAATCCCCAGGAACCAAATAAATTGTAATCCATAGTATGCCAACCAGAGAGTGTCTTTGTGATTGTTCAAATTTTGAAATTTGTCATAAATGCACAAATGTAATACAGCAAGGGGGACGAAGGTGAGCCAGGCAAGTATGGCTGAAAACACACTGCTTTGAATGGTAGACATGCTCAACAAGCCTAATGGATGGATATATAAATAACAGACCTGCGATTCCAAAGAGGAACACTCTCCGATTGACGTACTCTTTTTATTCTGGGCCTTTGAAGAATGCATTAATAAGGAGGGAAGCATAGTGGAATATGAACAAGATCAAGATGGCTATAGCAACTGCCATTCTTTTAGGAATAAATTCAGTCGTCTCCGTACTCATTAATAATAATAATCATTCAAGTTTTTGAAGAGGTCTTAAATTATTCCAGGGATTTGGTCATTCCAGATCTTGAAAAACTGATTTTTATCAATGAGTTTCAATCTATTGATGGGATGTATAACAATTTGATCTACTTCATCCTCGACTTGAGAGATCATCAAGCGTTTGCCCTTGGAAGTTCTTTTGTGGTTGATTACGATGGTTCTGAGTTTAGGTAACCTGGATGATTCACTCTTATCCAACTATGACTTAAGTAGACTCGATCGAAGTTTAATCATAGTTAGAATGTCATTCTCAATAATTGAAGTATTTTTCTCTATTGAAAGGATAGAGAGCAAGTTTGTACTAGTTATTACACCTTGTGCTGATAAATCGTATATTTAAAAGCAGAGATTCAAGTATTGCTTTCTGTCCAATTGTTATAATGAGATTACTAGTTATTCGTACATCTGCAGTGTCAACGTATCTGGCACCTTTAGAACTTTATTTATTTGTTCGACGATGATCTGACTGTAGAATTCCCTCAAGTGTCTCAAGAGCTAGTTCCTTTGCATTCGGTGTCCCACTCTATCCACATTGATGATACGATTGAAAGTGTTAACAACACATACTCGCTAATTTATTATCTTCAATCTTTGGGAATAGGTCTCCTCTGGAATAGAATCCTTCGATCTCATCACCACATCAATGGTTTCACACCTGTTCTTTGGTTTCTCAACAATCGGCTAGAATCTAAACATTGACTTAGATATCCCATCGGAATTAGAACGAGACTTCTTTCTCTGGTTTTATGGATGGACTCGGGAGTACTGCTGAATGAGAGTGGCTTGGAACAATTTAGATTTATATCAATACCATAGAGATTATGGCGAAATGCATTACTTGTTATATACTCAATTTAATTCATTAATCCTATCGAGTACTTTTTGCTTCTAATTTAAACATTATAATTTATAATCTTTTATGCATGATTCCATCTCGAATTCACTTACTAAGCTATAGCAATTCATCTCCTTCGTCAGAAATTCATCCTATATTTGGAGGAGTGCAACTATTTTACCTCAATCTGCATCATCTCGAATTCCGCTTACTTTAACATACCTCCCACTCTCTATAATTCAACCTTATAATGCTCAAAACAATCAGAAATCTATTCCAACCACTTGTTGTCCTTCTTCTCAATTGAATAGCATCTCTACCCCAATTCTGCCACCTCCAATAACTTTTTACTCTCGATCTTCTTCAACAAATTCAATTGAGCCAATTCCTTCAACACTGGATTTGCATAAGTAGATCTTTGCAAATCAAAATTTAAGAACTTCTTTTTCATTATTTTTATTATATTTATTTATTTATTTATTCTCCAGCACGATTACCATCACAGACTAAAATTTATAATAATCTCATTCAAATATTAATAATATTATAATACTTCACTTCGAAGTGACAACTTAAATTGCACACTCCAAATTTAGAGTAATTCCAAAACATTCCAAAAATGAGAATTAAATAGTATAATTCAAATTCGCAGTAATCAATTATCTATATTCAGCATAGATTACCAAAATGAAAATGCATACATACATACATATAAATAAATAAATCAATTAAAAAAGTCCTTTGGAATTCTCCCTATCCCTACACTTATTTAACTAGAAATCGGAGAAGGCATTCTTGTTCCTGTGTCCATCAGCAATAATTCGAGCAGATTATTTTATTTCATCTTCTGAAACTACACACACTTAGTTTTGACCAACACTTATGATTGTTAGTTGCTCTAAGATGCATTTCGTTTCCTTTGTGATGTAGCTCGAACAGAATTTAGTCGATTTTGAATTTAAATTTTATTCATAATAAATATCAAAGTTTATCTCAAACTTTTAGGTATGTTTGTTAATTAAAATCATATTCTTGGTATAAAGAGTAAGTTTTTAATCTTAATCTTCTCTTTGAGAAACGAATTCGCAAACATTCTTAAGCTTTAAATTTTTTCTCTATTTCATTATCTTTAAAGGAAATTAATAATTTATTGTAGATTTATGGCAATCAATTAGTTATATCAGGAGAAGCATTTTAACGAATGAAATTAAAGAAATAAAAAAATTTATTTTTTAAACTTCATTTAGGATATAAAAATATTTACCATTAAAACCTTTGGCTATTTAATAATACTGAATTTCTGTCTGTCTTAATAACTGGTGTAAGTTTAGATAATAGCGATATGATATATAGTAATTTACTTTATAATCACAATGACAATTACCTTAACATAAATGAAAAGTAGATAATTAATTTATGAATTAATAAATTAAAGTAACATAACTACTTTAATATAATTAGGATATAAATATATCTAAGTCAATTTTATTTATCTACTATAATCTTGGATCATAAATGGCAATATATCTAATTCTCCAATCATACTTTTTATTTTATAATAGAAAATCTTAATTTTAACAATTTTTTTTTTAATTCAGCAAGAATCTTTCAATTCCCCCAAAATGACTTTCTTTTATTCATAAAAAAACCTGACTATTTAATCTATCAATTTTTCAATTTCATTTTTTCTAAATAGCACGACAGAACGATATTCGTAATCAGATTCATTATTTTTAATTCTGACTGCATTATTATTAACAACAACACTACTCATTTCCTCTTAAAATAAAAGTTGGTAATTGATCAACCTTTTAATTTCCAATATTCTACCTCCAATTACTAATTCAGTTTCTAATATCTAGAATGTGGAACCTTTACAAAGGTGTTTCATGTCTTTAACAAGGCCTTTAGAATTTTTCATCTATTTCTTTAGGTTATACTTATGGGTACTTCCCTTTCTACTTCAATAATTGAATTAACTTCATAATCTTTCAATTTGATTGGCTTTTTCTTAATAATTAATAGTATCTATTTGTAATACTATTTCTGTTCCTTTAATCCTTTTGAATTAAGTGAAACAATATTTCTAAAACTGCTATAACTACACTTAAATCCCTGGAATCCCTAAATCAAGTACAGATCAACAAGATTCCATTTATTGTCCAATAAATCTTCATCCACATTACCTTGTAGATTCCCAAAATTAAGTTAACTATTTTTAATCCAATGCATTTGGGAAGTGTTTCTATAAAATTGAGGTACTTTATTTACCTTTCCTTACTCCCATTAGTAGATGATATTTATGGCTAGGTTGTTGCTTAATTTAGAGGTTCAAATGGGGCTAATTCTCATTAATAATTGGATTTCGCACTTTTCTAATATTGCTCGATTTCTTTAAGTTTATCAGAATCCACTCTACTTGTATTTGTTAGAGTTCTTCAGTAGCTGTTCTATATCATTAGTTTCAGAATGGTCTGGCTGCTTTTTATCCATTATTACTATAAAATATTAGGTAATGTTTTCATTATAATCGAAAGTGTATTATTTTCCACTTGTTACTTATCTTCAAAAGATTATCATTTATAATTATATAATTTATGTATATCTCTAATAAACTTGAACTTAATCGATTTACTATGGATGCCAACCTTCATGACGGAGAAATGGCTTCGAAAGTCAATTATTTAAACAGCATAATTCTCGCCCGAAATCCAATTGAAAGGTATACTCTCTTAAATCTAATGAACCAAGACTTGAAAATTAAAAACTGTTTTCTGACCCAACAATTCTTGGAAGATATAAGAATTATCGTGGAGCCTCTTCGGAAATAGCTACTTACATTAAGAATCTAGATCCAGTAGTTAGGGCAGTTTTTGTTGTGGATAAATCTCCCCCTTCAGTTCGATTTCACGCAATTCGTAACCCGAGAGCTTAGGAGAATCTTAAGTAGATGATTGACAAAATGAACAACTTTCAAAAAGATGATACCGGCAAGAAATATTTCAATCAACATCGGCGAAGTTGCAGTCCTCGACTTAAATTACCTGCAGTCTAAAGATATTACAGAAACCCTCCTAAATTCGGAGCTTATCCGTATGAATCCAGAACCATTGACGTAGATAGTACATTGTCTCATTCTGTACATTACCATTGAATTCATTATTTATTATAAGATCAAACTCAATCTTATCTTGGTTTAAATGTGGATAATTCTTTTTTCGAATGTCAATCCGACATGCAAATTGAATGAAGAGCGGAATAAAATTTAGTGGATTGCTTGAGTCTATATCCTTGAGTTCAGTGTATGCAGTATAATGTTTATTTATTTTCTTTAATTAAAATTCATCCTATTAAATATTATAATTCATTCAGATATGAGAAACAACTGTAAGAGTAGATTGAATATCCAATAATCATAACGTTTTTTTGTATTAGTTCCATCTCGACAGACGGAACTTCCACTAGTATTTTTAAAATCGCCACCTTTAATGGGAATTCTTAACAAATATATATTTGTGATTATATTTTTAGACTTTATAAGGTGGTAGGATAGAAATCGTTTTCCATATTTCGGTTTGAATCATTAGTATTAATGTTTGAATTCTATAAACCACTTGTTTTGAGATTACTAGGATTCTTCGTTTGGGTTGTTTGAGTTAGTGTTGTCTTAACAGTTGAAATAATAATAATTGAATACAAGATATAAATAATATTTGTTAAATATAAAATGGGTGCTTAAGAGAGCAAGTAGGAGGGACAAATACAGGATTCACGTTATGGGAAAGCCACTTTGATTAGGAAATACAATTAGATTTGCGCAATGAGGAAAGTAATCATCTAGGATGAAAGTTAACATGATGGGTTTGTGAGAAGGGCAAAGGTTGAACATCCAAATTTGGTGAAAATATTGGAGAGTGGAATACAGAAAGAATAAGAATTGTGCACTTCCTATCACATAATGTATGTTGTAAGCGAATATTACTCTACTTCATTGCATAAGGAGATTGCGAATAGAAAAGGTAGAGGAGCATTCTGGACAGAGTAGGAACTGTGGAATCAGTTGTTGGGCCTTGTTAATGTACTTTATATCATACCATAATTAAGTTGTTGATGACTATGCAGGAAGCACATTTAGTGCATCAGAACATCAGGCCTTTGACTATTAGTTATGTGAATGAACACACCTTAAAACTTTGCGACAATTACTTTCAATAGAGTGCATTTCAAATGGCTCAATAGAATCCAGAGAATTAGAAATTATTTGAATTATCACCAAAGTTATTGGAAGCGATCAATCAGAACAATCAATACCCCAGACATAATATGTATAAGAGTGACGTATGGAGTCTGGGGATGTGCATGTTGCAAGCCAGTTTGTTGGATCACTGTCGAGATTGTTTTGAGTATGATTCATTATAATTATTATCAGTTTTGAAGGGGGCCATGTTGATGTGTCAAGGAAACTAGCTCTATTGAGGAAGAATTATTCAATTAAGTATGAGTAGGTTATAGTGGCCATGTTGTCAATGGATGAAGAATCCAGGCCGGATTTCAATTAAGTAATGAATCTGATGAAAGGCAATCCAGATGCAGGGATATCCAAATCCTTGGAGAATTCTTTGATCAATAGTTCTGCAATTTGTATGGATTCCAAGCCTCCCATGAATTTAAAGGAAGACAGTTTACCAGAACCATTAAATCAATTGAAAGAACAAATCGAGAGCAGACCCAGCAAAATCATGGTTGAATTAGAGCAATTAAGAATCAAACCGAAAATTGTGATCAAGAAGACCAAGAAGAAAGAGTTGGGGTTTTATAAGTATTAGGAACAAATGGTTATTAGAGATCCTAGCAAATCAGCCATCTAACAATAGAAATTAAATAGTTACCCTTCAGTTGACTATTCGTTCAATAAACAATTGGTGAACTCTTCGCTATAATTTACTAACTCTTCCTAAAAAAAACAATTCACTGATAAGGAGAAGATCGAATAGTTAATAGGAAACGGGTTGTAATCCTACTCAATAGGTCCTTTTGTGGTGCCGACTGCATCTTCCAAACCTCAGATATCCTTAGTGGAATCACAAAAGCCTTTTTACTCAGAAACCACTAAAACTACCTAATAATCGAATCCTCAGGTAATCACCATAGACACTCATCCATCATGCAATAGCATCCCTTTAAGTTATACTGAAATACCAATTAGTTATGTTGCGAAGAAGGACATTAATTATAGATAGGAAATGGAATAGATGATTGAGTTGAATAGATCAAGATGTTTCAGGACTGAACAATATTAAGATGGATCATCATATGTTGGAGAAATATCTAATTAATTAAGAGATGGTTTTGGAAGATATTAATTTGTTGAAGGTGGTTATTATGAAGGCTAATGGAAATAGAATAAAATGCATGGTTATGGTACTCTATTCTATGGAGTTGGCTAAAAAGCATATGAAGGATAATTTGAAAATGATTAATTCTCTGGATTTGGAACATTGTACAATAAGGAACCAACCAAATTGAATACTCCATTTGATTGTTCGAATTTTGATCTCATTGGAAAGTAAGAGTTCATGATAACTAATTAGTTATTGGGTTAAGTATGTTGGCAATTTTAAGAATGATCTTAAGGATGGTCAAGGAGCATTATATTTATCGAATGATGAATGTTACAAGGGAGAATTCAATCAGGATTACGTTGATGGACATGGCACTTTTGGATCGATCATTGGAGTTTGGAGTAAAAATAAATTGATTAAATGATATAACATAGTTTTGTTTTCAAATTAGTTCTAATATCTACTTAATTTTTGGATCGTACAATATATTCTAAACCCAGAATCACAAAATTAAAAATTTGAATAAATTAACAAAACTATTTTTTATTATAGTTATCAGAATATCTTTTATTCAAGGATTTTACCAGCTAGGATTTGAACGTTAATTGGTAGAGTTAGTGTTAGTTTCCCCAGCATTCTAACCACCATTTAACATATGAGTTAGTATTTCTTTTGTGTACTGGAAATAATAGAATTACTATAGTTACCTTCAATCTTTTCGACATCTCTGTATTTTAACTATCAAGAGCTGTCGCCAAAGGATAATGACTTCGATCACCATTTTTATTCACATAAGTCACCATCTTGTGTTCAGAGGACAATATAATTTCAGTCTTATCTGTAAAATTAACCTAAGAATGTATATATGTATTAGTTACTTAGACAATTTTATTGGATAGTCTAAACATAATTGCATGTCTAGTTTTCATCCATTTCTTAACGTAAACTAACGATTTATTTTCATTTTCTTCACTTGCAGCAGTTTGAGGATCTGCTTCCAAGTAACTTTTGAAATGATGAAGAAGAGTAACCTTCTTGTGTAAATCTTCTGGATAAATATCAAGATTGTAAGTATCGCAGATGTCTTGCCTATCTTATCCTTTTCTCTCCATGTATTCGAATTTTGAGGTCTTGGTGTCCAGAACGATCTTAGTTGAATCGTTAAAGAAAACTCCAGTAGCACCATTACTTAACAAATAACCTAATCCGTATCTACTTGAGTAATCAACCCATTTCTTAACGTACACTTCTGACTTTGCCTAAGTTTGTTTCACTCCCAAATTATTGACAGACTAAGCACCTTGCATGCCTGTTCCCCCAAAAGGTTAAGAAAGAGTCTTTTAACTCTAACTATTTCTGATGTCATTGGGTTTTTGAGACTAGGGTCTCTAAGTTCCACCATAACCAACATTCTGTGCATTGTTAAGACCACTGGATCCGAAATTATCATCCATAATGTTTCCACTTGAACTTGGTTTCTATACTATTATTATTGAATTGGTTAGTTACAAGGGAAACGATCAGAGGATCCATTGGTCTACTTTTAGACATTCTTCGGATTGTTGGGAGTAGTCTCAGTTAATCTCTATGGTAATACATTGGTGGACATCTTCAAGTTGCTAGTATTTGTGGATGGTTAAAATTATTTATTATAAGATGCTGAGGGAGGACATGCCAAGGTGGACAAAGGCAATGTCTTAGGGATTGTGCCACCTGTATTCATGAATGGATGAGCCATAATCTCATCCAAAGTGGGTCTCTAAGTTGGGTCTAAGTGCAGGATTCTGGTTATCAGATTTTTGGCTGGGTCTGATATCAAGACATGTTCTGGGAAAGAGTATTAATTCAGTTTAATCTTCCTATAGGTAGTCTTGACGTCTGGAGTTTCAAAGGGAGGTTTGCCAATCAACATTGCGTACATTATGACTCCCAATGACCAGACGTCTACTTCAAAGGAATGACCCACTCTTCCATCCAAGACTTCAGGAGCTATGTAATTGGGAGTTCCACATATTGTCCTTTTCTTCTCTCCTTCGAATTCCAACTTTGTTGCCAAACCAAAATCTCCCAATTTCAATTCCATTGATTTATTCAAAAATAAGTTACCCAATTTAAGACTTTAATTTATAAGGAAATTTCTTACTCTCTATGGATAACCTTCTAGGCATGAAGATACTTTAAAGCGTTTATTATCTAACCCACGTAGCATTGGACTTCAATTTCAGTCAATCTTTTTCTTCGTTTTATCAATTCATTCAAAGTCTAATTTTAAATTTCATTAATTACTTAATTTGAACACAATTCCAATAAAATGTACACATTCTCATGATCCTCAAACACATGTTCAAATTGCACTATGTTTGTGTTCTACAAACTCTTATGTATTTTTATTTCTGAAATAAGCTAACCTCATTTAACACAACTTACTTTTTAACGGGCCCTATTCTTGGTTAAACTATTCTTAACAATAATCTTGGCTGCAAGAACCCTCTTCGTTTCAAGGTTTGTAGCCTCATAACACTTTGCAAATCCTCCTTTCCCCAAAAACTTCCCCCTTTGATATTTCTTAATTGCCACCTATCCATTCACTGTTGTGATTTTCTCCTCGAATATCACTAATTACTCAGCCCTAAACCTCATTCTAACTTTTACCCTTCCTGATTTGTTTTGTCGTCCATTTTTTTTTTAAACTATTTAAATTATTATCTGATTTTTATATCCAATATAAAACCCTTTGTTCTCATAATCATTAATCAGTATTCACCCATCCCCGATATCCATAAATTCCAACTCCGAATTTAAGAAAGCTCATAAGTGCAGCCAAAAATAGCTACATCCAATAACACATGACTTATTAATATATAATATCTTAAAATCACTCCACTCCTAGTTCAGTGGCTCAATCAATCATTTCAGATTAAAACTTATACACTTAATCAATCACAAAAGCATTAGAATCAGGTTTCTCTATCAACCGCTATCCTTTTCAAATGCCATCCGACTTCAGTTCCATATATAAAATATTAACATTTCTTCTGATAAGAACTCATCTTAGAATATTGAAATAGATTTAATAATATTAATAACATCCTCCCTTAGTTCCAAAATATTCAACATCTAAATACTTACAGTATTCTACTTTTAATTTAAACTTACTCCAATCAATCTTGATTTCTATAAACTTTAACTGCAGAATATAATCATTAAAGAAAATAAAACAACATTTAGAATATGTACCCGCCTTTAATAAGGGATTATTTTAAATTCTTATTGTAATCCTTAGAATATATTTAATACTCAAATAATTTTATAAATTTCAATAAATCTGATAATTCATTTTGAATCTTCATCCAAGCTATGTTCATAACAATTGTGTAGTGCTTATACAAAGATTCCGCATATACCAATAAATTCAGCAACTGGGTAATTAAAGGTAAAGTCAATTTGACCATACTAAGTGAATATTTCTAATTTACTACCACATCTTTTGATGTCTATCCAAAACCCATACCGATTGTTATCAGTGTTTATCCGAATGTAAGACAACAAAGCTAACCCCAAAATACACTCGTATGCAGTATGCATGCTCTGAATAGTCCAAATAAAAAGGAAAGAATGAATAGAGATCCCCCGCCTATGGTTAGTGCAAGGTAGGTAGAGTAATCATCTAATTTAAAATTATCCGTGTTTAAATTGATTTATTGAACTTAAAAACAATATTGAGATATCCAACAACTTATGTAGAGACACATGGATATGTTACTCAAAAACGCACTATTGATATTAGATTTATATCTTACTAATGTTTGGGTGCCCTAAATTGATTTGTATAAATAAAACTTACATTTTTTTTGAAGAATGTTAAATATAAATATTATAATTAATGCCAATACTTTAATTAGACTTTTAACTTCATCTAGTTCAGTTTCATTCCAATAAAAGTACCTAATTGTTTCCCACCATTTAATTTATAGATAGAAAGATTCCTACAATGGTTTTACAAATTTGTGTATTGATATAATTGATAGATTTAAGATCTCAATTAAATCCTATTAAGGATTTATCCAGCGATGCCTAGATTTCTCTAAAATCTATATATGATTTCGTTAAAATAACTTCATATTCCTATTCCTACTTAATAGTTAACTCCTTTTAACTGTATCATTATTTCTTTTCACAACTAGTTTTCAATAAATTACTATGTTAATTACAAATTAATATTTATACTCGATTTCTCTTCTCAATTCTCGAAGTAAAGATTATTTATAATAAGTTATCAATAATTTATAAGTTAATGGCTAGTCTTTCTAATTCTTGGAATTTTTAGATAAAATATTACAATCATTTTATAATAAGTACTATTGAAGTTCTAATTAAAGTAGCCCTTCTCATATTTAACAGGGTCATTTATTTTCTAGATAATATTTAATTCATGCGATGTATTAATTTAATATTTAATCTTATATTCTAGTAATTTCATGTTTGTTATTAGATAATTATAAATTACTGAGATTCTAATGTTTTATAAAAATATATTAATATTTTTTGAATATTTTATCTATTGNCTCATGATCCTCAAACACATGTTCAAATTGCACTATGTTTGTGTTCTACAAACTCTTATGTATTTTTATTTCTGAAATAAGCTAACCTCATTTAACACAACTTACTTTTTAACGGGCCCTATTCTTGGTTAAACTATTCTTAACAATAATCTTGGCTGCAAGAACCCTCTTCGTTTCAAGGTTTGTAGCCTCATAACACTTTGCAAATCCTCCTTTCCCCAAAAACTTCCCCCTTTGATATTTCTTAATTGCCACCTATCCATTCACTGTTGTGATTTTCTCCTCGAATATCACTAATTACTCAGCCCTAAACCTCATTCTAACTTTTACCCTTCCTGATTTGTTTTGTCGTCCATTTTTTTTTTAAACTATTTAAATTATTATCTGATTTTTATATCCAATATAAAACCCTTTGTTCTCATAATCATTAATCAGTATTCACCCATCCCCGATATCCATAAATTCCAACTCCGAATTTAAGAAAGCTCATAAGTGCAGCCAAAAATAGCTACATCCAATAACACATGACTTATTAATATATAATATCTTAAAATCACTCCACTCCTAGTTCAGTGGCTCAATCAATCATTTCAGATTAAAACTTATACACTTAATCAATCACAAAAGCATTAGAATCAGGTTTCTCTATCAACCGCTATCCTTTTCAAATGCCATCCGACTTCAGTTCCATATATAAAATATTAACATTTCTTCTGATAAGAACTCATCTTAGAATATTGAAATAGATTTAATAATATTAATAACATCCTCCCTTAGTTCCAAAATATTCAACATCTAAATACTTACAGTATTCTACTTTTAATTTAAACTTACTCCAATCAATCTTGATTTCTATAAACTTTAACTGCAGAATATAATCATTAAAGAAAATAAAACAACATTTAGAATATGTACCCGCCTTTAATAAGGGATTATTTTAAATTCTTATTGTAATCCTTAGAATATATTTAATACTCAAATAATTTTATAAATTTCAATAAATCTGATAATTCATTTTGAATCTTCATCCAAGCTATGTTCATAACAATTGTGTAGTGCTTATACAAAGATTCCGCATATACCAATAAATTCAGCAACTGGGTAATTAAAGGTAAAGTCAATTTGACCATACTAAGTGAATATTTCTAATTTACTACCACATCTTTTGATGTCTATCCAAAACCCATACCGATTGTTATCAGTGTTTATCCGAATGTAAGACAACAAAGCTAACCCCAAAATACACTCGTATGCAGTATGCATGCTCTGAATAGTCCAAATAAAAAGGAAAGAATGAATAGAGATCCCCCGCCTATGGTTAGTGCAAGGTAGGTAGAGTAATCATCTAATTTAAAATTATCCGTGTTTAAATTGATTTATTGAACTTAAAAACAATATTGAGATATCCAACAACTTATGTAGAGACACATGGATATGTTACTCAAAAACGCACTATTGATATTAGATTTATATCTTACTAATGTTTGGGTGCCCTAAATTGATTTGTATAAATAAAACTTACATTTTTTTTGAAGAATGTTAAATATAAATATTATAATTAATGCCAATACTTTAATTAGACTTTTAACTTCATCTAGTTCAGTTTCATTCCAATAAAAGTACCTAATTGTTTCCCACCATTTAATTTATAGATAGAAAGATTCCTACAATGGTTTTACAAATTTGTGTATTGATATAATTGATAGATTTAAGATCTCAATTAAATCCTATTAAGGATTTATCCAGCGATGCCTAGATTTCTCTAAAATCTATATATGATTTCGTTAAAATAACTTCATATTCCTATTCCTACTTAATAGTTAACTCCTTTTAACTGTATCATTATTTCTTTTCACAACTAGTTTTCAATAAATTACTATGTTAATTACAAATTAATATTTATACTCGATTTCTCTTCTCAATTCTCGAAGTAAAGATTATTTATAATAAGTTATCAATAATTTATAAGTTAATGGCTAGTCTTTCTAATTCTTGGAATTTTTAGATAAAATATTACAATCATTTTATAATAAGTACTATTGAAGTTCTAATTAAAGTAGCCCTTCTCATATTTAACAGGGTCATTTATTTTCTAGATAATATTTAATTCATGCGATGTATTAATTTAATATTTAATCTTATATTCTAGTAATTTCATGTTTGTTATTAGATAATTATAAATTACTGAGATTCTAATGTTTTATAAAAATATATTAATATTTTTTGAATATTTTATCTATTGATTTAATTATTTTAAATTTATTTTTTAGTGATATTTGTTAGAAAATAGTTCTAACAAGCATTTATAGAATATAATTGAATTTTAAGAAATTTTCTTTAATATTACTTTTATAAAACATCATAAATTAAAATATCATAATTCTTCATCCATATTAAGCTAATTTAGACTCCTCATCTTGGAAATAATTTTATAGAAAAAATAAAATAGCAGTAATATTATTAAACTTAGCAGAAAATACATCTATGCTTTGCTATTATGCTCTTTGCTTTGGAGATTGAATGTAATGTTATAAATGCCATTAGAATAAGAGTTAGAGCATTTCAGGTAGACAGAACGTTATAGTAATTTTTTTCCCAAATTACAAGTTATATTTTAGGTACTAAATGAGGAAAAAATTAGTTTATCCTTAGGGCCAACATATAGAGAAATGACACTGGGATATTCTTAATTTACAATCACAGCATATTAGTTTGATGCATTTGTCTAAAAATAACCTTACATCAAAATTGGTTCATAAATACTTTTACTTTCATAGCTATCTAAATAATAAATTCCCATAACATATTCGTTCATTTTGGTAAATTATTAAATCAGAATACCTCTAAAATATACAGAATTACCAGTATAAAGAAAATTCAAATAATTTGGAATTGTCCTAATAACATTAGCTAAAGAATTAAACTATTACATCTTTTCTGGGTTTATTATGATGCTTACTAGATGACTAACACTATATGTATCAGTTACAAGGAAAGTTAATTGTCTATCAATTATTTTTATAATTAGAACGTAATTAAATTGATTCAATTCAATGCAACTGTATTAAAAATTGCAATAATGAACAATCACATAAATAAGAGGATTTATGATAACATTTTCACTTTAAATTTCCATTATTCGATAAAAGAGTTGATTTCTAATTACTTAGAAAATTATTATCATATTTTGTTATTTATAACCTTCGAAATAAAATATTTCTACAGAAAAATCTTGACAATTATATTCATTATCATTTAGTATGCTAAATTCTTAAGTTAATTATAAAAAGCTGTTGTTGGATTAGTTAAACCAATACAAGTTTTGATCTTAATTATCAAATTTTCCAAGAATGAAAACTTAGCTTAGACTGATTCTCATTTTGAATATATTTTAAAATGCTATTGGAAGTTATAAATATGTTTGATTTGCAATTTTGCCTGAAGAACTTAATGTAAAGTTAATTAAATATTATGAGGTTTTATTTTAACAAATTAAATAATATGTGTAATTAAATGATGTCGAAGCTAGACATAAAGAGAAATTGATCTTTGTATAACCAGAATTTTAAAATCTATTATTTAATATTGTAATTTAATTGTTGTTCAGTAATGAAACAAACTAGTTATTTATTGATGTTAATAAAGAATTTTCCGAAACTTTAGTATTTTACATAGAAGTACTATAAATACTTTTATTGGCAGTAATAGCGCAACCCTTAGCTATCCATTTTGTAACTGAGAAAAAATTTATTGAATTTGAGTCAGAAATATTGAGCAATATTTTGCAAATTTAGTATTGTCTATCAACCAATAGATTCAATGGATATGAAAAATGATTATCACGGTTATCTTATTCATCAAGAGTTAGATTAATAGTAACACTTTTATTTTTAATCACACTGAAACTTGTTAATTAGGTAATACTTTAATTAGGAGTTCTCTATATGGCTGATGGATTTAATGCAGAAGTAACAGTGTAACTATAAATGGTTTATGGGTAAGTAAAGTTATATTGATTGCTTTACAGATATTATATCAGCATTCCTTAAGTTTAAGTAAGTGAATAAAATGTGTTGTACCCAAAAATAATTGATTAATTAAATGATAATGAATTTTAGTTTTAAAAGGCAATACTATTTATTGACAGTTATGTCGTTTTAAAATATAAACTCATATGATATGGTAATGAAGGATTATAGATGTAAACAGTGGAATTAGGAAAAGTGACATAAAAGAACAAATTATCTGATTATATAGTCAAGTTATTGTCATTATCAACTTCATAAAGATCCTTCTCATAATAATAATATTTTGGTAAATTTTAAACGTTCCAAACTTGAAAACAAATGGACTAATAATTATTGCAAACAAAAGTTAAAATTAGCTATTAGTTAACTAAATTGATTTGCTTAATTGCGAAATTCACTTAAATCAATTAAATTGGGATCGGCTTGCTATTTTATTGTAGTGAAATTATGATAACTTCATAGATATTATTTATAAATAAAAAGGATGATTATAATTGTGTGTTCATAACAATCTATTAAGGGTTGAATTAAATGGTTTTGTTTTAAAAATGTTAATTGATTTAATCCTAGTTTAAGGTTGAGATATTTTCGAAATCTAATGTCATTATTTAAATCTCTTTATTGCTAAATAGAATTACAACATTATTTTAAGTAACTAAAAAGTTTATGATTTCTTATTCAAAAGTTTAATTTTAATTACTATAAGTGCGGTTAACTTCATATTATTATTAATATAAATAGATTGTCTAATTATCACTAAGTCCAATTATTAGAATCTCAGGGTATATGCTATAAGCTGTTTAAAGGGAAATTGCGTTTACAGAAATTTTAATTACATTAAATTCTTTATATTATAGCTTAGATTGCTAAGGATAGTTTGAGCAATAAAAAATAGAGAGCTAAGATTTATTGTACCCAATGAAAAATAATAAGGTTTCTGAAGAATTCTACATTATTGAGAGTTATTACACTAAATAATAATAACTTAAACTACCAATGGTGGTAAAAGTTGTTGAACTAAATTAAAAATAATCTATATCATAATTTTTTTAAAAATTTAAGAAAGATCCTGAGTAGCTGGAAAAAGTGATCTTAACATTATTATTCATAATTGCATATTAGTATTAAGGAAAACTCTAATTGAACATTACATAAATATTTGTATCATTCTTAGGCAATATTATAAGATTAATTTTTAAAATACTTTAGCTTTAAAGCTCCTTTTTTTAATTAAAACACATCAGAGTAAAATTAGAATTGTTGCCTGGAACTTATATGTTGGTTAGGTTGACCTATAAGGATGGAATTTAAATCTTATAAGCAATTATTATTTCATTAAATGAAAATAATTCATTATCAAAGTTAAAATATAATAGGGAATTGGTTTCAATTTTATTATTATATTAGAAGACTAGTGCTTTTCCAATTTAATAAAGATGTATTAATTGATTTTATTAAAATATTATATACTAGTTATTCTAAAGTATTGTTTAAAGTGGTTCATTAAATTTGTATTGATTATCGATATTGTTTATTATTATTTAGTTTGTACATCCCCATAAGGAGGTAATCAAAAATTACTCTCCAGAATCTGATGGGTATTATAGTAATATTTGATCACATTAAGAATAAGTCTGAATGTTGTAATAAAGATTGATGGAAATAAAATTGGAGATATTAGGTGATGTGAAATTATATTAGAGTTAAAAAGCTTAATTTGAAGAAATAGTACATTATAGGATCTGTTGTTAAGTGAGTATGTAAATGTAAGGATTTATTCTAATAGGTATATCAAAATCTACAAAGTTATTATTCCATTAAGTTAAATTTGCATACTAATGTGAAAATAATGAGAGCATAGAGTAATTGTAATAATACTAAGCATAAATAATATAAGTATTATTATCACTTACCATAGATAAGAATTTAGTTTTAATAGGCAGAGATGATTACCATGAATATTTACTATGATATTATTAATCATACACGATCAATAAATTAAATTAGTCATCTTAATAGCAATCAACCAAAATATCAAAAAATGCAAATAAATGAATATTAAAACAATTATATGAACTATCTATATATACAGATGATCCAATTTATTAAAGTGTTTAATCATCCCATTTATATATTATTACTTCATTTTCCATTGATAAAGTACCAAAATGAGTATTATTAGATGATAATGACTTATATTCTAAAATAATATTAATAATTATATACAATTTCCTATTATACTATTCATTTCTTAAAACTAATTTATAACATCTACATTTCCTATTCTAGGATTCTATATCCATCTTTATTCATAATTCACATAAACTCTCTTATTCATATTTTATTATTCATAATATTATTCTCCTTTTTCATACTCAATATATGCATTCTAATACATAATCTAATACAAGTCATATTCATAGTATTCTCCTACTGTTGGATACAATGAAATTTCATTTTCCATAATCGTATATGCGTATATCTAGAACAAATAGTGTATGAAGAAATAACAAATCATTCGATAAAAATATTAAAGATCTTGCAAAGTGTTATTTTGAAATTTATATTACTATATTAAAAAAATGACCATTTTTGGTCCCATGGCTATGCATTTTGGATTTGAAACATCCACTTTCTTGGATATTTATGTTCAATCAAATGAATTCATGAGTTGGATCAATGCTATTGTTTTTTTCCTTAGAAAATAATAGAGTTCTAACATTATCGTGTCAATATGAAATTTTGTGCATAATTATTTTAATGTAAATTAAAAATATTAGGCAAATATTTTATTAAATAATATATTTTCTTATTAAGCAATTAAAATAATAGAGAAATATATAAATAAAAATTTCAAATGAAAATGCGGGGTATTGAAAAATTAATTATAGAAAAATAATATAAAATATTAATAATGCAGAATAAATGTGCGTCACTCTTTCAAATGATGAATTTTAAATTTTGAAATTAATTTAACTATTAAATTACAGAATATATTAAACAAATCTTTTACATAATACGTTGATTTAGATCACCATATCCATTTAATTAATTTATGAATCATATTATTCAACAACCAAAGACAACCCAAAAGTAGAAGAAACCTTCTAATGTTGTATCAAAACACCCAGAAATTCAGTCAAATAAGACCCTTGACGATTTAAGAAACAAGGAATGGAGTGTAGCCATCCAGAAAGAAATCGACCAATTCGAATAGACTATCGTATATTATATCTCCATATCATTAGCATGAAGTTGAAGCCTTATTCAAGGAGGCATCTACATCCTAACATTTAGTAAGTTTAGGAACTTTTAAATTGGTTCAGGATGAATACGAATTCGCAGCCTAGAAATTACAACACTTGAGAGAGATGCTTGCACAGTATTCTGATGATCGCTCTAAATACCATCAAAATAAACAGAAATTGAAGGCTTTGACAAATAAATAGGAGAAAAGTGCTGAGGATAATGAAGCCATATCCAAGATTACAAAGGACCAATAAAATTTCAAATACACCATTATGAATTAAAGAGACAGGATCCAATTCCAACTTGGAGTTGCTTAAAGAGTGCTCACCCTCATCCAAGCCTATATTAAATTGAAAGATTAATATTAAAATCAACAGGAATTACAAAGACACAGAGACTACATCCTTTCGAAGATTGACAAGATCAAGAAGACAGAGGAGAAGCATACCAAGAAGATTGAAAGACATTACAATAGAATATAGGTAGAAGATCCTGATGCTCCTGAAGAAATCGAAGTTGAAGATGAGCAAAGTGAAGAAGAGTAGGCTGGTGAGGAAACTAACACAGCCAGAGAAGACTTATTAAGTAAATTAAATTGTTTTATAGTTTTTTAGAGTTGTGCGATAGTGTGATTTCTTACCTCTAAAAATTCGAGAAAAAAGAAGGGGTATTAATTATCTACTAAATTTAGGATCAATTCATATAACATGATTTAACAACTTTCCAATATTTTGATCAAATTAAAGTGGCTGCCCCATTTTACCTAAATTAAATTGATGTGGCAATTGATCTGATTAAATCCAAAAGGGCATTTTATGAGAATGCCCCTGAAACTGAATTTACCAAAAAAGAGGCCAAATAAGTCGTCTAGTAATAAGAATAGAAGGTGGATGTCACCAACGAGTAGGAATTTCCTAAATTATCATGAGAGTATTTTATAATCATATAAAAAAACATACATAAATCCGACATAATTATGAGCAAAGCAAATCAAATTTTATTATATAATGGCTAAGCGATCCAAATCAATTGAGCGAACTATAAAAGAAGCTGAACAATACTTGAGCCGATTTCCTAATTCAATAGAAAATTAAAGACAAAACAAGAATGATCAAAAACATCTAAATTAAGTTCAATAAAAATGTGGTCCAAATATCTAATAATAAGCTAGTAAGAAGGAGAAGAAACAGGAGAAATAAAAGGTTAAGAGTATATAGACGACTTAAAAAACATTGAAAGAGTTCTTTAAAAAAACAATTGAGAAGGATAACAATATCTAAAAAATAGTATAGGATAATCATGAACAGCTTAAAGTAGTGAAGGATTAGCAAGAATAATAAGAATAAGTCGATGTAAATTAAATACTGGGAGATGATTAATAAAATATTAGAGTGATTATATAAAATGATAAAAATAAGGAATAATAATAGAATGCAAATATTAACAAAGTTTCATAAGACTGGTGGAAATCAATTTTTCATTAAGGAAATAAATAAAATTAAGGTTCTGTTAAAAGCAATTCGTCGACATCTTTTCTACAACCAAAAACTGAGAATCAAAATATTAGTGTTTAATAAAAAGTAAAGTAAAAATGCGAAGAACTCACCAAAGTAATTAAAGAATAGGAATCCATAGTTACATCAAATTAAGCATAAGGTAAAAAGACATTACTGAGTTTAACAGACTTGTTTGTAAACTAAAAATCAAAGATAAATTCAACCACTAAATACTTTAAATCAAATGAAAAATTGAATTCAATATAAGTAAAGGATTATGACCTAAATANTATATAAATAAAAATTTCAAATGAAAATGCGGGGTATTGAAAAATTAATTATAGAAAAATAATATAAAATATTAATAATGCAGAATAAATGTGCGTCACTCTTTCAAATGATGAATTTTAAATTTTGAAATTAATTTAACTATTAAATTACAGAATATATTAAACAAATCTTTTACATAATACGTTGATTTAGATCACCATATCCATTTAATTAATTTATGAATCATATTATTCAACAACCAAAGACAACCCAAAAGTAGAAGAAACCTTCTAATGTTGTATCAAAACACCCAGAAATTCAGTCAAATAAGACCCTTGACGATTTAAGAAACAAGGAATGGAGTGTAGCCATCCAGAAAGAAATCGACCAATTCGAATAGACTATCGTATATTATATCTCCATATCATTAGCATGAAGTTGAAGCCTTATTCAAGGAGGCATCTACATCCTAACATTTAGTAAGTTTAGGAACTTTTAAATTGGTTCAGGATGAATACGAATTCGCAGCCTAGAAATTACAACACTTGAGAGAGATGCTTGCACAGTATTCTGATGATCGCTCTAAATACCATCAAAATAAACAGAAATTGAAGGCTTTGACAAATAAATAGGAGAAAAGTGCTGAGGATAATGAAGCCATATCCAAGATTACAAAGGACCAATAAAATTTCAAATACACCATTATGAATTAAAGAGACAGGATCCAATTCCAACTTGGAGTTGCTTAAAGAGTGCTCACCCTCATCCAAGCCTATATTAAATTGAAAGATTAATATTAAAATCAACAGGAATTACAAAGACACAGAGACTACATCCTTTCGAAGATTGACAAGATCAAGAAGACAGAGGAGAAGCATACCAAGAAGATTGAAAGACATTACAATAGAATATAGGTAGAAGATCCTGATGCTCCTGAAGAAATCGAAGTTGAAGATGAGCAAAGTGAAGAAGAGTAGGCTGGTGAGGAAACTAACACAGCCAGAGAAGACTTATTAAGTAAATTAAATTGTTTTATAGTTTTTTAGAGTTGTGCGATAGTGTGATTTCTTACCTCTAAAAATTCGAGAAAAAAGAAGGGGTATTAATTATCTACTAAATTTAGGATCAATTCATATAACATGATTTAACAACTTTCCAATATTTTGATCAAATTAAAGTGGCTGCCCCATTTTACCTAAATTAAATTGATGTGGCAATTGATCTGATTAAATCCAAAAGGGCATTTTATGAGAATGCCCCTGAAACTGAATTTACCAAAAAAGAGGCCAAATAAGTCGTCTAGTAATAAGAATAGAAGGTGGATGTCACCAACGAGTAGGAATTTCCTAAATTATCATGAGAGTATTTTATAATCATATAAAAAAACATACATAAATCCGACATAATTATGAGCAAAGCAAATCAAATTTTATTATATAATGGCTAAGCGATCCAAATCAATTGAGCGAACTATAAAAGAAGCTGAACAATACTTGAGCCGATTTCCTAATTCAATAGAAAATTAAAGACAAAACAAGAATGATCAAAAACATCTAAATTAAGTTCAATAAAAATGTGGTCCAAATATCTAATAATAAGCTAGTAAGAAGGAGAAGAAACAGGAGAAATAAAAGGTTAAGAGTATATAGACGACTTAAAAAACATTGAAAGAGTTCTTTAAAAAAACAATTGAGAAGGATAACAATATCTAAAAAATAGTATAGGATAATCATGAACAGCTTAAAGTAGTGAAGGATTAGCAAGAATAATAAGAATAAGTCGATGTAAATTAAATACTGGGAGATGATTAATAAAATATTAGAGTGATTATATAAAATGATAAAAATAAGGAATAATAATAGAATGCAAATATTAACAAAGTTTCATAAGACTGGTGGAAATCAATTTTTCATTAAGGAAATAAATAAAATTAAGGTTCTGTTAAAAGCAATTCGTCGACATCTTTTCTACAACCAAAAACTGAGAATCAAAATATTAGTGTTTAATAAAAAGTAAAGTAAAAATGCGAAGAACTCACCAAAGTAATTAAAGAATAGGAATCCATAGTTACATCAAATTAAGCATAAGGTAAAAAGACATTACTGAGTTTAACAGACTTGTTTGTAAACTAAAAATCAAAGATAAATTCAACCACTAAATACTTTAAATCAAATGAAAAATTGAATTCAATATAAGTAAAGGATTATGACCTAAATAACAAAGATGAATGCTTCAAGTAAGACACCTCTCCAAAAGTAACAGGGAATAATGAGGATTCAAAGATCTAACTTTAAATCCAGAATAAAGAAGAGAAGGAACATGCCAAATTATAAAGCAATATGTAAAATGAGTAAAAGGTGTTATAATCTCAACCAATAATGTTGTCATAAGTTCCAGAATGTGAATTCGGAATGGTAGATTGTGTTTTTGTTGTTGATACAACAGGGTCCATGGATCCTTACCTTGAGAGAACTACGGAGGCTGTGGAGATGATTGTAAATAAAATAAAATAGCAATCTTTGGAGGAATAAGTTAGTGTGAAGTTTGGTTTGGTATGCTATCGAGATCATCCTCCACAAGAATTGACATATGTAACTGAAGTTCATGATTTATGTTCGAGATCTGAGATTATTTCAATTATCAAATAGGCAGATTGCTATGGGGGAGGAGATGGAGCTGAGGCAGCTTTGGATGGTTTGAATGAGGCGGTTAAGAAGATAAGTTGGAGGGATAGTTCCACTCTGCCAAGTTTGAGATATATTTTTCATATCTGTGATTAGCCTCCTCATGGGAAGGAATTTGGAGGGTATAGTGAATTGTGGGACGAGGGATGTCCCTGTGGATTAAAACCAGAAGAAGTAGTGAATAGGATAAATAGGAATGAGATTCATTACAGATTGATAATGGCTAATGGGCCTATGCTGCAGAGATTTGCCTAGTATTTGAGAGGGAAAATCCATAATTACGATGAAACCACTTTGGATGTGGCTATTGGGATGGAGATCAGGATAAGTGATATGGTAATTAGAGAATTATGTCCATATACTTAATAAGAGTGATTAATTAATTTTATTTATATAATGAAAATTCCATGAAAATTGTTGAAATTTGTAATGAAAAATTTATTCAATTCTAAATTTTCATATGAAATTTGATTATTAGAAATAAAATGTAAGAAGATTACACTTATCAAGTATGATCTATAATATTATTTTTAGATTCTTAAAAAATGCAACGGGAAGGTTATACTACAAATAGATGAACAATTATTGGATGTTATCAATGCTCATTTCACTATAAAACCACAATAATAACAAAGAGAAGTGCCTTATTCAGTCAAGAAATAACATAATTTTTAAAGACGAATAGTGCCTTTCTTTATGAACCAATTCATGCATTGGGCGGAGGAGATGGGATACAAATAGGTGGATGGGTATCTGAGAGCCATTCATAAGAAGAAGACCTCGAAATAATAAAAGTTTGAGTTGGGAGATCTAAAGAAGTTATTTGGTGCCATAAATCCTCGAACCAAAATTATTCAGATGGAGACTCAGACTAAGTGGATTGAATTCTTGGGTACTCAGGCAGAGATCTGTGTACTTGTGAACAACAAGATCAAGGATCAATCAACCAAGCAAATGTACATACAAGCGATTGAGCATTTGAAGGCTGAGTTGAAGAAGGAACAGCCTTATGATAAATTCTTGAGTCTCCCAAAGAAGGAGGAATCGAATGACTCTTTGATGGAGGAATCAAAGGAGTAATCAATCAAAGAGGAATACTCAAGTGGGGAATTCGATGAATATGCTCCGACTTATAAGGAAGACCCATATTCTTATTTGAGTTGCGCATACAGCAACTACGAATGACTTTGTACTCATGTTTTTTTAATAATTAACTAATTATGACATCACATAGTTCATTAATTAAATATATGTAATAAATAGTAGATATAAAAGAAATACAAAAATCTCCACCTGATTAATTTTCATTCTTACTCAGGATCGGAAATAAATGTGAATCTACTTCCCTTACAAATGTTTTTACTGGCGATCCAGCAATACCTGTTATTGGCAAATATTCCAGAAATCAATATCATTTTTTGACTGTCGATGTGTTGATTTAAATGGATTTGAATCTAAATGAAGGCACCTACTATAGCAAAGGATGTAAAGTAAATTTGCCTGCCAATGTGCTTAAGATTTTGCATGACATCCCTGAATAAATAATTCATAACAAGCCGCCTCCAAAAGAAAACAACAAGAAGGGAGGCAAAAAGTAAAATAAAAAATAAGGTAAGTAAAAACAACAGTAAGAATAATAAATGCAGTAAATTGAGGTTGAGCCTTAATTGGAGTAGTAAAATTAAAATGAAAATGAACATGAAGAAGATTTTAAGATCATGCAATTTCATCCATTGCAGTTTCATTAATCTCCTAATATCAAATTCAGTTGGATTATAAGTTCACTCTCCAATAAGAAAATACTTGAACCAATGAAGTAGGAACCCTGTTTAAGTTATGTTAATCATAATTGGGTTTTTGAAGTGATTAATTTTGAACACACCAAGAAACTAATTCAACATCTACCTATTTGTGTTGTAGACCCTAAAGGAGTTTTTGAGTATTCAGATCCTTACAAAGGATTGAGTTTCACAGGTTTGAGATCAGAATACATGTCTGTGCATTTGGGACCACAAGGATCTCTTTGTTTTTCACCGAACAATATGAAAATGATGGTGGATATGAAGAGACCTTTGATTTCATTTTGGACTGTGATTTTATAAGAGGATGGAATACATTAAGTGAATTTGCATTGGGTGATCTTACATGAATTATTTTCAGAGATGTCTCATGTGATAGCCAAAGAAAATCAGACAATTCAATAATTATTAATAAATTATGGAGAATTTAATGCTGAATATAAAGCAGAATGTGAACAAATAAACAAAGTTTTTGGTTGATAAATTCATTCTGCATTTTATAACAATTAAATTATTTTATCCTTGTAAATTCTTTCTTATGCCAACCACTAATCTTCTTTCTCCTACATTTATTATTCCAATCTCCCAATTTAATTCTTCAACTAATCAATTACATTGATATTAGAATTCTTCTCTAACTCTAACAACTGATTAGATAACTCTTTGATGATTTAATTTTTCTTCTCTATGGTTTTCTCATACTATTCTTGATTCGATGTAGTGGATTGATTGAGGGCATTGTCATTCATCTGCTTATAACCAGATTGAGATCTCTGATTCATTTTCTTTAATTGTTCACTCTATTATCTGATAATGATAGTTAGGTGTTAATTTTCATCCTGAACCTTACTGAGTTTTTCTTCAAGTTCTGCACATTTCAATTTCCATTACTAGATTTCCGAATCTTAAGAGCTAACGTCAAAATTATTGAAGGTAGAATCATCAAAAATCTTTTAAAACTTCCCATCAGATTTGATATGAATGTCCAGTTGCTCAATCTGTTTTTCCAATTCAGCCTCTTATTAAGACAGAAGATCAGTGATTTCTTTGAAATTATCATATTCTTACGGAGGTGGCGATTAAGGTTGTTGTATGTATTATTGCTATTTCTATTACTGAAATTTCTCACCCAACTACACAAACTTTTAGGTAAGATTATCCTATTATGTCTGCTATTATTATGATTGTTAGAATTAGGATTAGGATTATGAAATAGTTGGTTACACTTATTATTCATTTGCCTTACTAACCATTATATTGCTCTTAAACTCTTTAGGTGGGGATTGACTACGAGCTCTGGTTGTTCTAGATTCTATCTTCCTTGTACTGGAAGTTCTCGCTGTCTGAGGAGTAGGCCCAACAACTGGGGCAGGCACATCTGCAATTGGAAAATCTAAAGTATCGATCGTTGAATCCTTAATCACTTTAAAGAGCAAGGCAGCTCTCTTATCTGTTGTAGATGTAAGTGGTTTTTTTTGTTTTTGATCTTGAGGTGCTCCACCATCGAGAAAGTATGCTAAATTGATTACACAATCACCAAGCAACTGATTGCCAGCCAAATAGAAAAGGAATTTGATCTAGCTAGATAAGGAGGGCTTACATTAGAGTCAGCATAAATTCCATCCTTTTTCACCATGCGTTATTGAAACTCAACTACTTAATCTATTGGAAGTCGACAAGTTGTCATTGTCCGCTCAGGGTTTCTGATTGATAATTTGGCAATAACTTATTGAACAGCCGTACTGCGTTTCAATGAGATTGTTAATTCGTACTACTATTGATCTGATTTGGAACTGAATTCTAGATATTAGAGTATGAATTTGAAATGCTTTTGCTAATTCATTATAAATTTTAATAATAAGTAAACAAGAAATATCAAATATTGACTAGCTTATGGCAAAATAACATAATCTTTATCTAGTTTAAAGAGTATATGAAGTGCTATTCAATTTTTTCAAAGAAAACAACAATAAAATTGAGAGTTACCTTTGGTTAAATTCTTTAAATGATTTCAATAATAAGTAATAGACTGTAGAAGAATACACATCAATAATTCATTTATGAATGAGATTGTCTTAAATTAACTTTATATGATTAGATAATCTAATATTCAAAGCAAAAATGAATATTTTTGGATAGAAATGAAAGGAATAAGAACTATAAAAAATAGTAAATCTATGAAGTAATATCAGAACTAAATGAGATTTATGTGAGAGACAATTTGTAAGGGTATTGTAAAATGGTTAATAAAACACAACTTTGATAAGTAACATTGGATATTTATTGCAAAGTGACTTTTGTAATGATAATGAGAATACTGGAATGCACTACTGAGGGGATAACAATCTTAATTTGAATTTATTAGATAGAAATTAGTTTTTGAATTAAATGAAGACAGATCTAGAAAGAGCGAATAAAAACATATTGATAAATACATAGGCAATTTAAAAATTCAAAGGAATATTTTATTGATAAATATTGTGAGTTGGTAATGTTAATGATTTTGTATATGATTTTATGCCTAAGTGAGGTCTATCGAATAAGAAACTGAAGCTTTTAAAATTATTGAAAATGATTGCTGCAGACAGATTCTTCATTTTCATTAAAATTTTCGATTTCCAGTGATAAAAAGGTTTTGGATGAAGAAAAGGGATAGAAATATGAATATTAAACGAATAAAAATGTTGACAGTGGCACAAAATTGTTGTATTCCTTGGTTTCTTAGGCTTTTGAATTTTATTTTGGATTATAACCATAGATTTGCGGAGTTGGATGAAGACCTTGAAGGTGTGGATGTTGAAAATGATAAAATGAGATCAGCATTAATGCTAATAAAATTTAGATTGATAGTATAGGAGGCGATAATATAAAAGTGGAGATAATAGATTGCAAATTACAATGAAATCAATAGAAATTAATTAAAACAATCTTCTATTTCATGTTAATTAATAATTATGCAAGGTTTATTGTAGCCATCTCAACAAACTCTATTGGTGCGATCACCAACCGAAGGCTCTATGTAGAGTTACAGTAGATACGAGAGCAAGGGGAAGAAAAGAATTGTATACAAAAACAACAAGGGTGAAATTATTGATCCTCATGACAAATTGGCTAAATCGCATCATTCTCGTCCATCTCAACCTACTCATTCAGTAAAATCTCGAACTACCACTCCCACTCCTTCAGATAGTGTCAAAACTCAAAATGCTTCCATTTTAGACCTAGTACCAATTGACGATCCCATTTGGTTGGAGTTGATTCCCACAGAAATACAACAAGATCAAAACTTCAACCTGGAAAGATTGATTATGGATAATCAAGAGTATTTCGTTAATCTACTTGGTTTGTACATGCAAGAGAGACAACAAAACAGAATACAAGAAATAAAAGTGTCCCTTCCCTAGAAAAAGTAGACCACCTATGATCAAGTTTATAAAAAACCGAATGCCATCGACCATTCCAATTTCAACATCAAGATGTATGACTAACTTCCAATGGCTTAATCTCTCCAGTTACAAACGCAATATGAAGTTTGATATTTTAATATCTTTAGACTTCTTTTCGCACTCCAAAAATTATTCCCCAGGATAACTTCAAACCCTCCTACATTAAGGATAATGCTGAAATGCTCACACTCACCAGTTATAAGTAAAATTATGTCAATTGGAAGACCTGTCTTACTGAAAGAGTGGGACCATAAAGAGGGTAAAGCACTGGAACTCTGCCCTTTATTGGCAGGACCTCTTATCAAGAGAACTATCGCGCTAATAATTGGGAGCCCACAGAATCTGCCAAAAAGACATCACTGTATATTGCCATTTCTTTATTTCAGAGGTCCTTTTGCATCAGGGAGTTCCATGATCTTCAAAGAGGCCTTGTCTAAAATCCACTATCCCAATTATTAAATTGAGGAAGCACCACCTCGATAAGAAAATAGTAATCATCAATAAGGAAATGGATCGTATGATGGACAATTCAAAACAACTTTTAAAAAGTACTTTTGGCAATTGATCTATAGTTCGTTTGTGTATAAAGTACCAGAGCCTATTATGCAGGATAGATATTGGAAGTAGAAATTGATACAAAAGATTTTGGAGAAGAAATAAAATTGATATTGACTTATTTTGTATAAATTTAATATAAAGAATGACGGATCTAGGTATAGCTATTGAGCGCATGGAACAACTTAAAGAATCCATAGACATTGTAAAATACATCAGTTATTTTAGGGATATCTATGTATTTGTGCTGCTTTCGTTTTGTTGATGCAAGTTGGATTCGCATTCCTTGAAGGTGGGTGTCTTCGCTATAAGGACATGCAAAGTATTATGCTCAAAATATTTATGAACACTTGTGTTACTGTTGTAATATGGTGGCTAGTTGGGTATGGAATAGCTTTTGGAAACGATTCAAAAGAATTCGTTGGATCATCTGTTTATATCGGATTTGATATGAAAAACTCTAAACATTTGGCAGAGTTTGCATTTTAAACAGCTGTTGCCTCTGCCGCTACAAGCATAGTTTCAGGAGGCGCAGCTGGTCGAATGACTTATATTGGATATTTTATACTATCCGTAGTGTTTTCTTCAGTTATATACCCATTTTGTGCTCATTGGGGATTCGGAAATGGTTGGTTAATGAAATTAGGATATCATGATTATGCTGGCAGTGGTACCATTCATGCTTCAGCTGGCATGGGGGCTTTAATGACAACCATGTTATTAAAACCAAGAAATCAAAGATTCAATCCAAAGTATTCAGAACACTTTGAACCTAACAATCCAATCTACATCACTTTAGCTTGTCTTTCTCTATGGGTGTGTTGGTGTTTCTTTAATGGTGGATCCTCATTAGGCATTGCCAATGGAGCTAGTGTTTTTATGAGTCGTGCTATCATGAATACTTTCATTGCAGGAGCTTCTGGTGCTTTAACTGTTTTCTTTATTTTCTATTTAATGAACATTGATCAAGGCAACAAATATTCCTTAGTCATGATATGTAACGGCAATCTGGCTGGGTTAGTTGCCATCACTGGGTACACTAATTTTCTTATCATCCTAGTCCATGTGACAATGTTGATGCGTGGGCAGCATTTGTAATTGGAATCTTGGGAGGCATGATGATGGTCTTTGCAAATAGAGTCCTATTCAATCTATAGATAGATGATCCTGTTGATGCTATTTCAATTCACTTTGTAGATATTTTTATCTTATTCAGGCATGTGGAATGTTGGGAGCCAATTTAGTTTCATGGTTTGATATGGATACAGGAATTGTCTATGGCAAAGGAGGCTATTAGTTTGCAGTTTAGATGTTAGGATCCTTTATTTACATTGGATGGTCTGCAATCATTCATTTAATAACTCTTTTATTTATTGAAAAAATAGGTTACTTACGAGTTTCAATAGAAGAAGAACATGAAGGATTAGATCCTGCCACAATGGGATGTTGTGCTTACGAAATGGTTGAATTATAATAATGATTCCCAAATTACAAGTTGCATAATTCTAATGAATTTTAGAATATTTAATTATATCTAATATTTATTTTGGGACATAATTCGAGTGCTAATTATTACTTATATATATATTTTTTGGATATTTTATGGTTCAATTATATATTAATATATATATATAAGTATTATTATATATGATAGATAATTGATATTTTATTATTTAAATAGACTGCTATAAATTCACTCATAAGCAATGATAAATTAGAATTAATTATGCTATTAGTTTAGTATTGGTTTAAATAGTCACGTCTTTGCACTACAAATCTGAAGTTTCTTAAACATTTATTTTCTATTCTAATAATATTATTAAAAAATCTAAATTTAAAAATTATTTAAAATTTAGGAAAGATGCAAAACAAAAGGAATTCCTAAATTTTTAAATTACATAGACACCTTATGATTTTCAGTAAGATTTAAGATGCATCTACTGTCATTGAATCATCAAAAAATTAATAATTTAGGAATAGAAAAAATAAGTAATATCCTCAATTACATCTACTTCCCCATCCACCTCCAAGATAGATCAAAACAGACATAGATTCAGAAACAGAGAGATATTTCATGCCATAGAATATTAAAATTGATCGTAGATGCTCACATTCAATAAGAAGAAACCAAGGTGAATATAATTTCAATAGAAGTGCTCTTAATTATTCGTTTTAGAAAAATAAAAAGGATTAAGCTTGCTAAACTTATTTCTTAGATGAACTTTTGAGTGTTGAAATTTGATTAAATTAATTGTGTATATAGTATGTGGAATATAAAAATAATGATTGTCTAAATATCGATGCTATCATTAAATATATAAGTGTAATATTAAATTATAATAAATATGTGACAATCATGTACATAAGAATAGAAATGCTAATATGCTAATATTTTCTACTTATAATGAATAAAAGATATGTGACTTGTCAACAATTTATTCCGGCTATTAAGAATTATATGGTGTAAATTATTTTTCGTATTTTTATTTTAATTTTTGTTTAATGTGGTTTAATGACTTATTAAAATACATAATAGAAAGTATATATATAATATATATCAAATATTGTTATTTACTTTATGAATTATTCAACTCTATAATCCGAATAAACGCAGAATCTAATTGTCCTATCTAACAATTATGAATTATTTAAGTTTTATAGTTAAGATGTATAATTTAGTTTATCTTTTCAAGAATTTCTCGATCTAATTAAGCATTATCACTAATGAAAATCAGATAACACCTTATGAAAATTATTTAACTTAGGAATATGATTATTATAATGGTTTTTTAAGATTAAACAAATTCAGGGATTCAATACAGAGTAAAACTAACGAATATTAAGATTAATCTAATTAATAAACATTTCAAATTCTTCTTTATTTAACTATAAAGAATGTCTATTGATTTTAGTTTAATGCTTTCATTAATATTTCTTGAAGTAATTCTTGAAAAATGGCTCTTTGATTCTCAAAAGTTATTTATGATGGATACTGAATCTAAAGTTAATTTGATTTCATTTTTTCAAACTTTTTTAATTAAATTTAGAGAATAAATCATTATTTATGAAATGTTTTATATGTCTTCTTAATTTAACATTTACAACCTGATATTTTATAAAAGTTATCTTACAAACTTGTAGGAAAAGGATAGGTTGTTTGATTAGCAGTTAAATATTGTATCTTTTGCTAAATCACTTTAGCCAAGAACAATGAATTTTAATGAATTGTACATAAATAATAATTCATTTATTCTATTAATATAAATTATTAAAGCAGTAATGTTAAATTTTTTTAGATAAATTTAGAGAAATATTTTTAAAAAAGGAAAGCCAATGACACTATATTTAACTTTCGTTTAGATAATAAAATTGATTATGAATATTTTCTTAAGAAGTGAAATCTAGGTGGTCTAAAAAATGCAAGTAGAAAAGCTAAAATAAAGTAGGATAATCTGAAAAGACAAATAATATTTTCTTAGGATCTAGTTAAAAAATTTAAGAACGCATCTTTAATTTTCTAAATATAATAATTTTAGAAAAGAAAATTATTTTGAAGTCAGATTAGAATATATTCATTCACTTATTTTGTTAAAAGTAGTGAGAAATTAGATTTAAAATTCATGAAGCCAATTAATAAAAAATGGTATTTATTAATCAAAAGAATGAAGTTTTACACTGAACTTTTTATTATATTATTCTATAGTTATACTATATTTTATACAAAGTTAATTTTGATGATCCCCAATTAAATTACATGAAATAAGATTCGTTTTATGGATAGATAATCGAAACAATTTCCTAAATTTCAATATATAATTTTTCTTAAAAATGAATAATGAAATTCAATCATTTTTTGACATAAAAGACCATTAAAAGATTAAGATTTGGAATAAGTTCTGCAAAACCTAATATAAAGTATATATTAACAATATTTTAGAATGACATCATAGAGTATGAGGGCCAATGTTGTCGAGTAAGCAAAACTAATAAATAATTAAAATCATTTAGTATTTAAATTGGTCAGGAAACTTTATATGCCTTCAAAAACAATCAGCCTTAGGGTATGCTGCTACTCTCTGTTGTAGTATTATTATATAAAAGATATGATGATAAAGAAATTGTTAGACTAAAAAAAAATGGCTAGTATGTGGACATTTATAATGATAATTACAAACAGTTAAGAGATGTTCTAATTTCAAAGTGTATAATAACAACTTTTCATAATGATTTTAAAGTTATCAAGATGATAGGAAAGGGAACCTTTGCCAGTGTATATTTGGCAGTAAGAAATGTTAATGGAGTTCAGTATGCTGTAAAAGCTTTCAGCAAGCAATATATCAATTAATAATTTAGAGGAAGAGAGGGACTTGAAAATGAGATCAGAGTCATGCGAAGATTGAAATAGAAGAATATTCTCCATTTGCATGAAGTACATGAAACTCAGCATTCAATATATTTTATATTAGATTTATTAGAAGGAGGAGAATTATTTAATAGATTCTAAACTACGATTTATTCAGCTTTGAGAATTCAACAATTAATGTACAACATTTTAAAAGCACTCTCTCATATGCATTCTAAATAATGCATGCATAGAGACCTTAAACCTGAGAATTTGTTACTTAAAAGCAAAGATAATGATACTGACATTGTCATAGCCGATTTAGGCCTAGCACATATTATGGATTAATAACCACTTTACAAAAGATGTGGGACTCCTGGATTTGTGGCTCCTGAGATTTTGAATTACAATGATTAGACTCCCTTTTACAATGAGAAGTGTGATATTTTTAGTGCAGGAGTGATATTTTATTTTATGGTTACAGGCCTTAATCCTTTTAGTGGATAAAATTATAAGGAAATATTAAAATCAAATTAGGAATGCAAAATAAATTTTGATATAAAATCATTAAAAAAAGTAGATGATTTTGTTATTATTTTCAGGGACCTTAGAATTTGAGGAGGTTAATGAAGAAAATGTTAAAGGCTGATCCAGCAGACAGATATACTGCAGAGGAATGTTTAAAGCATCAATACTTTTAAGAAATGTTACAATCAAATGATTAAACAGATAAATTTGGGTTAGAATAAGAAGCTGAATTTCAGACCCAATTATAAATATAGAAGTATTTTAATTTACAAATTTTAGTTCTGAAGATAATTAAGGGGGATCGATGTAATTGATGACCAAATTATCTCAATGGAATGGCGAAACCTAAACTGTAGGTTCATTGTCTAATTGTTCTAATAATAGTTCTGCTAATAGTCCTAATAAATCAGATAAATAATAGAGTAACCCATCTAAGTTCAGTTAATTCTGTAATTAAATGAAATAAGAAGGATTACTTTAAAATAATCTAAATTCTCAAAAGAAGAAAAAGAATCATGATCTTCACAAATTCGCATTAAGAAATAGTTATTATTAAAAGTAGGGTAGTAAAGATGATTAATATGCCATAGAAGATGAATAAATAAGTATAAGTAAACAATTATCGTAATTAAATGAATAAAAACCAAAAATGGGTTTTATAAAGAAGAGTCAATCTTTGGATGTGGATTGAATAAATAAAATAATAGTTAACTTATTCAATCTTGAAATAAGGTTTATTCGAATTTGTTGTACTTTTTTCTCAAAAGTTTTGTTAATCTTATCTACAGCTTTAGATTATTTATTGCATTTAATAATGTTATTTTTTTAATTAAATTTTTGTACAGGTATTGTTCCATTTAATGTTATCAAAAATTAAACTAAATATTCCTAACGAATTTCAAGCTGATTCTTTTGACTTTATCCAAATGTTCTTTCATGAACTACTTCTTCTTTGATATATTGTATAGTGTAATTTACTTTGGAGAGACAAGATAATTATCAAATGCAAAATTTTTATCATTTACATTGTTTAGACAGGATTTGTCTTTACTTAGTATAAATTTTCATCTATTATGTCTGAAAAGCAGGAAATCCTCTCGGAAAAATCATAAAAATTTGATTAAAAATGAAAAAATAATTGTGGAATCCTTACACAAATGATATAAATATAGGAGCGCATTTGATAAAGTCTGAATTCATCATAGAAGGGAAATCTCAGTATTTGATGGGAACAGACCATCTGCTCATTATATTTGAGGTTTTTAGTGAGAGTTTAACAAAAAGGACCCGAGTTTTAAAAAGCCATTGAAATATACGACATTCAATTTTGATCTAAAGTATGAGATAGTTCGAACACCGCCTAAGTTGAGGCCAGGATGTCCATTAGTTAAATTGCCGAAGGCCAATCGAGAGGATGAAGTGGAGATTGGAAATGTCGAAAGATTGGGGGATCCATTAAAATTACTTTTATTTATAGATGAATAAGACAAATTTGAGATGATAGCTCATCAGTTGATAATTACGAAATGGAGATGGTTTTTGGCAAAGCGAATTAACTAGTATGGGTTCCATCATCTATTCAAAGTGTTCAAGAAGATTGGGAGGGGAAATTTTGCATCTGTGTACTTGGCAGAACGAGTGGAAGACGGTTAATAGATGGCAGTTAAAGCATTTTCAAAGAGTATAGCTTATGCAGAGGAGAATGGCAAAGAAGCTATAATAAATGAGATCAAATTAATGAGACAAGTGGATCACCTCAACATCATAAAACTTTATGAGGTCAATGAAACTGCTAACTCTCTCTATGTTTGTTTAGAACTATTGGAAGGAGGATAATTATATGATTATCTGAGAAAGAGGATAATATTTACAAATAAGGAAATTCAAACTATAATCAGAGGATTGTTAGAGGGTTAATCGTTCAAAATTATCATTAGGTCTTCGGCACATCCATTCAAAAGATATTATGCACAGAGATATCAAACTAGAAAACATTCTATTTAAGTAACCAAATGCAATTGACACTGTTTGTCTTGCTGACTTTGGTCTAGCCACATATGTTCATGAAAAGGTCTACTTATACTGCCGTTGTGGGACTCCAGGGTATCATATTAATACACTTTAAAAGGTTTGTGGCTCCTGAGGTAATAAACATCAGGGATTTAACAACAACATACGATAAAGTTTGTGATATCTTCTCTTTAGGTTTAGTATTCCATCTCCTTCAGACTAAAAAGACTGTATTTCCTGGTCGTAGTTACACTACCATAGTAACTTAAAATATGGAGGCCAAAATAAAATGGGACTCTTAGATTTATGAATAAATTCCTAAACCTGCTTATGATTTACTAAGAAGAATGTTAGAGGTGGATCCAAAATAACGTATTACTGCTGAGGAAGCCTTATAACACCAATATTTTACGGCTTTTAATGCTGAGGAAGATGGGGAATCTGATGATGAATTTTTCGACATTGAGGATAATTGTTAATAGGATTAATAATCACAAAAAATCAATGACCTGAATAATAACTTTGATAAAATGCGCATTAACTCCATATAGACTGCTTTGATGAAAGAATAAATGAAGGAGAGAGTTCATTTGCAGGAGGAATAAATCGTAATGAAGATTCCCATAATTACTGGGAGAACCCACAGCATTGCTGGTATTGCATTAATATATGAATATGTAGATTCGCCTGAATAAAAAATAAGAATCCAGAGAAACTTAAAATAGCAATCGCTAAACTTTTTATACTCCTATAGCAATTAGCAATAAGAGAAACCAAAGGAAGAGGATTCTCAATAGAAGGAGTTCAGAGTGCCTGCCATTGAATAAGTTAAGTAAAGTTCAAGAATAAATTTGTGATCATATTTAATCATTAAACCAATCTTAACCATATAACTTCTTGACCCAATCCGAAAAGGTTTATAAGCGGTAATGCTTGGGCACACGATTTATCTTGTTAATAACAATAGGTTTTTTGACCTCGAGTTATGGTTCCAGAGTAAAGAAATTGTGAATATCATATTTACAATCCATTTGACTGATCTTTCTCTGAGTTTACTGTACAGGCTTAAAGACCTGTGAAGACGCATCCAACAGTTGGCTGCCACAACGGGCCAATCGATTTGTTGGCATCTCAGTAATCTATTTTGGTTCTTGTCTCAATTGGGGGACCTTATTGGAATCAAAGGGATTCCTATTCCTTCCAAATAGAAAATCCAAGGAATCTCGATTAGTCTAAATAATGTAAGCAGAGGGCTTCTCGATTCTAGGAAGTTTGAAGCCATCATTCACTTTTGTTTATTTGAACATCATTTTACAAATGTAGACACCTATATTTATATAAATACTTTATTTAAATAATAATTTGTGCTTATTGCAATACTAGATCTTCTTCCTTATGAATATCAAAATAAATATTATCATAATTATTCGAAAAGTTACATAAACGGTGCCAAACACTCAAAAGTATATCGTTGTAACAACAATTCCTTAGCCCGTCTCTCCAAGTAGCGTCCCAAGATGATTCGCTATTGTGGCTGATGCAATTTGTACATCCTCATAAACAGATCCCTTTCCGATGCATCATAATTATGACTCCGAATTAACATCAACTTTAATTCCACCTCTCTCACTCTCCACAGGTCCATGTCTTTAAAATACTAAACATCATTTCGAGTCAAGTATTCATCCAACCCTTGAAGCAATTGCAATTCCTCACAAATTATCGCAAATCTCTAAAACGAAATGTACTGAACTTATTATTATTCTATATCGCATTCATTGTTGAACATATTGACGATCTGCTGTTCTTCCCTCTTGTTCTCCAACTCCAGCAAGAGCAATCTGAATTGATTCTGAGTCAGTCGTTCTCCATCTTCCGCAAAAATCTACAGTATTGTCGAATATTTCAATAGCAACTCCTGAATCTTGATATCTTGCATAGGTCCTAAATGATGCGAGATTTCCACATCGTAGTCCACATATTGCTGCTACTTCTGCATCCCCTTGATGTAATCAGCTAGTTGGGCTTGGAGCACTTGAATGCCAGTGTCTGTGAAGGTGGCACTCTGTAGATTGCTCAAGATTTGCAAATAGATTTGGAAACTTAACTAGCTTTATTATATCGTAATACATCTCCAATGAGCATCGAATGAAATAGTCTAGCCGTGTCACTCCTTCGCTTATAATAAATTAAGGATTTTATCACTCTGGCCACTTTCCCCAGCCATACATTCTGAGGTTGAGATTGATTCTCACTTGAAAAGTACTCATACAATTGCACATGCAATGGATAAGCGAACTTATTGAATTTCAGACACCACTACACGAAATTGGACAAGATCTTTATCAACGTATGTTATGTGACAATATTCTCTATTTTGTCTCTTCGAAATTGTTGGATCTCCTGCAATAAGGTCTGTGTGGCCAATTAAGTATTCTTGCTGCCACATCTACTCACGAATAGCTTCTTCTCTATTGACAATAGGTTCTTCACTGGATTCAGACACTCAGATAGATCTACCTCCTCCTCAGAAGAACTCTAGGAGTCATCAAACTTATTGTCCGGGAAGACTACATATCAAATTTAGTGTTCTTACAATTGAGTGCTATGATAGGTTTAGAAGGGGAGAATGCTTCTGGACCATCTGGAGAATCACAACTCAATTCTGCCATTGAAGTTCTCTATGGGATACTGCTGTCTTAAAAGGGTTCTAGGGGAGTCATGGGAGGGAAGTATCCCAACGAATTCTTGGGATTGACGGACAAGGTTGGTTGAACTTATTGAGGAGGTAGGAGAGATGCTGAACTATTATTGAAGTTTTGAGGAATTGGGGGGTTTAAGTTATTGGTACTTATTAGCATAGGAGTCGGCGAAATACCTTTGGGGAATTCAAAGTTAATTTTGTGACGAATAGCTTTTCTTCTGATTTAATCCTATTAATATTATGGTAGAAATCGAGAGACAGCTTTAAGTTGTTTGGAGATGAAATTAAAATTCTTAACTTGCTATTGATACTTGGATGCCAAGAGATCAAATCTCTTCTGTGTCTGGATCTTCTGTCTATTGGTTTGTTTACAATCGATCTAGGTTTCAAAGATCTATATTTTTCGAGTAATCAGTTCCTCCTTCAACTTTTTGATGATGTCCTAGAAATCATTGACCAAAAACAGAAAAACCGAATAAGAGTTCTGGAAATACTTATCGGCTTCACGAAAGTCTTCTTGGAACAACTCCTCTTTCATTTACATGATGCTGAAGATTTGCAGAGATCGAGATTTCAATTGATCTAGGATACTATCCAACACACTGGGAAATGTCTTCTTTTCAATCTCCACTCGTTCAATATACAATTAATAGTAATCATCCGTGAAAGTCTTGATTGGATACTTTGACATCTCCAAATAGGTTTGTTCTTCCTGATTCCTAGGTATGCATTCTCTTTTGATTAGAGCATAATTGGCTTCACAAGCTTGACTATTGCTGGGAATAGGCATGGTCTAATTTGCACAATCGTAGGTTCTTCTCTTTTGATTGACAGTTTGAGTGAACATTTCAGTTTTGAGAACCAAGCTTTAATTAATGAATATATTACTCGCTCGTATCTACCTGGATCTCACTGAACTCAACAGTGTTCCCAACACATTTATCCTTAAATAGAATTTCTTCGTACTCCTCAATTAGGTTCTCATCCTTCTCAGCCTTGTCATCTGATCCCCTTTCCAGATCCTGTATTTTGTTTAGGTAAGCTTCTTCGAACTTTTTAGTCTGTTCTTCGAAGACCAACTTAAAGTCATCAAAGATTTCCTTCTTGGCCTTGTAGAGTTCCTCTTCGAAGTCAGCAGTGAAGTGTTCATTCTAATGTCGAACTTGCTAAAATAATTTGAGAGTCTCATTCTCCTTACTCAAATCCTACAATTACAATTTAAGTAATTCGATGTCGTTGTTGTGACTACTAAGTTCAGTTGACAATTTACAAGTCTTCTTTCTTAGGTATCGATTCTCCTTGTTCATTTTCTCCGCATATTCAGCATTCCTCTTCAATTACTTTTCAGCCTCGTTTAATCTTTACAATTTCTCACTCATCTGAGTTTGGTATCTTTCATGTATTTTTATCGTGTTTGTTAAGCTTTCCTTCTCCAATTTTCTATTGGTTCGTGATTATTTTTCAATTATCTCCTTCACGATTCCAGTGAATTACGTCCATATTTTATCAATTAATTAGGAATAATCATTGCACTTTACAGAAAGTTGTTGACAAAGCTGCCCTATGGATCCAGAGTAAATCAGTTCGATCTTATCGTAAAACTCGGTGATACTGTAAAAATTTTGCTGCTGAATCTATTACACCATTGACTGTCCTTATTACGTATGTATATTACATCGGTCCATTGCTACAACAATTGCAAATCCTTCCTCTCACTTTATTCATTGGTGATTTTCTGTAATGTTCTAACCGTCTTGTTGCTTGTACACATATTGGCTCGACTCATCAACTGCCGCATCTCGAAAACCTTTTCATTAATTTTAATGTAAATCATTTACTGTCCCATCTTCCCCCTAAATCGTCTTATTGATTTATTAAATTGACGGAAACTTGAGAGGCGATAACCGCTCGTCAGTAAGAGTGTGCATGCGTATTTTTTTAACTCTTTTCATGTGATCTATATATAAACTTTTATTAATAATAGTGAGCATATCTGATCTCACTCATAAAACAATTTAGTGGATGTATATATAACATATCCAAATCGAAGAGGACTTTTATGAAATCCGAATGATATTTTCGATATGGTTTCCAACGTTGGATCCTCACAAATGCTCTTAAGTTAATTTAGAGGCCAAATATAGCACTCTATACTCGAATATAAAATATATGTAAAATTATGGATTTTATTAAAGTATTTTTTATCAATTATTATTACATTTGCTGTTAACGAATAGACAATATCTATGTTGACGGCCCCTTAATTAAGTCAAGATAATGTTGCGAATCAAACATATTAATTATAATCGATCGAAAAAGGGGAATCAGATAGGCTATATTGAGGGGGAGTATCAAAATGGACTAGGATTCATATTTAGTTATTTATGATTATTAATAATTAATAGTATTTCACACATGAAAAAATGGTAATTTGAGATACAAATATTTTGCAATGAATGTGATTCACAAAAATGAAGGACTCACAAATAACCATTGCAGTTGGTCTTTCTGCCCTGGATTTGATTCCATTATATATTTATATTTAATAAAAAAAGGCAATTAATAAGAAATTAAAATGTTCGATGGTTATTGTAGGTAAATTATGTAACCTAAGCGTGTTGCTTATAACAAATCAGATTTAGAATGTGGTTATCCGAGATAGGATTTCTAGTTGCAAGGATTACAATGTTCTCTATATAAATGCAATAAGTACACACAATCATGCGTATTATATTTGCATGGGTACAATGGATCAAGGTTAGAAGCTGTGTAATATGCTTCCTTTGTATGCAAGAGTGATTTCGATTTTTGTTCATTTGATTTTTAGGCTGCTGGGTAGTCTGAAGGGGACTTTGTGACTTTTGGGTAATTAGTTATGTTGATGAAGTTTGAAAGAGGAGGAGAACGTGGCGTTAGTGATTCGACACTTGAAGGAGAAATATTTTCACATCATCTTGTGGGGCAGATCTATGGGAGCTACGACAGCCTTGATGTATACTCAGAAGTATGCGAATATAAAATGTTTGGTTTTGGACAGTCCATTTTTGGTTTTGGAAGACGTAGTGATAAATTTGATAAAATTGAAACTCAACACTCCAGACATCATAAACAAAGGGTTGTATGAGTTGATCAGAAGTATTTTATCTTGTGTAAAATTCAGGATGCATAGCCAAATTGTTCCAGTTTCAAATAAGCAAGGTCCAATTGCCTTTACATTTAAACGTCACCTGCCCAATGATACTGTTGGCATCTAAGCAAGACCATCTGATTCCTCAATACCATTTCGATTCCATCTACAAGGGGTATGTTGGACATAAGAGAATGGTGGCCTTGCAAAGCAATCACAACGAACAAAGATCAACTGAAATCATAAAGACTATCATTGCATTTTGTCAATCGATGACACCGCAAAGTCGATTCAGTCCAACTAAATATCCAGATCGTCTTATGGGGGATTTGGATGAACAAAAATACATAGCTACTGGGATTAAGATCAAATAGAAAATCATGAGAAATTAATCAGCATCCACTCATACTAAAAACTCAGCTTAGATCCAGAAGGATAAAGCATTGATGTAATTGTCCATTCTTAAATGATTTTATAGATACTAATTACTAATAATCTTAACATAAATATCCATCAATAATCTCATCTCTTTATATTACGAAGTACTCTTTCAATAGTTTATGACAATTGGAAGAGTTAATTGACATAGCCTCGTGACAATTATCTGATTTCCTCCTATTATGAACAATCTAATTATCTCGATATCTCCAATAGTTCAGATAGAGGAACGGCCAGATCCACTCTCTTGGATAGAGTTTTGCTGGTGTTAGATTTAGATATCAAGGATGACTGAGGCTGAGGAGCGGTGAACTACCAACTTCCCAAATTCCCAAGTGATTGATTCTTCTTTCTGAATGAGGACAAAAGATCTTCATTGGTTGTATGAAATCTGCTTGGGTTATTGCTAAGGATGATTTTACTCATACCCTTCTTAGATTCCAAATATTTTGCTTGGAGATGCCAAATTTGGGTTGTGCTCGTCTCTGCTTTTATTAATGATCGTATGATGAAATCGATTATCCGATTTATTGTCTATCTATTCAGCCCATTCTGTTGGATACCTATAATATAGTTGTGATTATCTTACCTTCTTAACTCTTTTTTTTAATTGTTATCTTACACGATAGAATTGGTTCTACTATTTGTACTGAAAGCCGAAGATGAGTTCAAAAAGGTTGTTCGTTTTATAATTTGAGATTTCTACCCACTAGATTACATTGTCAAATAAATTTTATTTTAAAATATAATTCTTAATTTTCATAGTTTATCAATCACAAATTTGTTTAGCAATGCAGTTCTGAATGAATTATAGATGACCTCATGTTATTCAGTTGAAAGTTGAGAGAACATATTGCTAAGATCATCTTGCATTGATAGATACAACATACTAATTTTATCAATCAGAATAGCATTCTGCTGACTCTCCACCTGAAAATGCTGAGATCTAAACAATTTTGGATTTTGATGACACACCTACTCCAATTACTCTAAGTCAAAAGTCTCATCCTCTGATTCCACAAACACCATCATATTCCTACTCGATTTACAGTGATTGCTTATTAATTCAGCAATCCTCATTTGATCCTTCACTTTGAGCAATCTCGATCGTGTCTTACCCAGAACCAAGAAATGCTTAAACTCCTAATTACAAATGCAATTGAATTGAAATTAACCCTTGTTAAAAGATATGCACTTCCCATCCAAATATAGCTCATAAACATTTTATTTCCCCAATGCACAATCAAAAAACTCCTACGGACTCCTATACATCAACATATCCGACTCTGGGATCACTGTAGACAACAATTCTAGGTAATCGATTTGTTTCCACTATATGATATCAAATAGATCAAGTAATTTCATTATTACTTCGTTGATATCATAAGATTATGATTAACTATCCAGGAGTAAATTCAAGTGCTTATAGGGAATCCACTTAAAAGTCAATGTTGAAAGTGGATATACACAATTGATCAATTTCATCACATTAACAAAAAGGTCAGGCTATTGGTTAATGTTGCCCAATGATGAGAATTTAAATATGTAGGTGATTTAAGATTGATTTACGAAGTAGTCCTCCTACTTTTAAATTACTTAACTAAATTTATTGCTGTACAAAAATTGAACTGAGTTTTCACTCTGATGTATGATAAATACATCATAGAGTTTGAGTAACTCCAACAGTCTCGAATTATCATGTTTTACATTATCCAAAACCTTAATCACTTTAAAGTACTTTTCAGATATAATCCATTACTTAAGACATTTGATTAATAGTTCAGATTATTATTCTTATAGTTACTTTAATGACATATCAATCATTTCAATTTCAGTCTCAAGTTTTATGAACTTATTTGATTTAACACTAAGTTATTCTTCAAGATGATGATGAATTGTTTAAAAGATACTAGATTCTAAAATTTGTTATTTAAACATTATGTGATTGAAATAGAAAATTATTTAATTGTACTTAATAATGAATAAGATATTTTTAAATTATGTAATTGGTTTTAATTTATATTTTAGAATAAGTTAAGGAGATATATATTACCAAACATGAGAGATTATTTGGCCTTCTTAATTGCTTCACCATCTGAATTATAAACAAAATCATTTTTTATTAATTAATAGAATATTAATTATACGTTATTGTTTTTTAAACAATACATAATAATAACTTTAAACTATAAATTTATACCTAACATCGTGAAATTCCAATATTTTAAAACTCTTAATTATTGATAATAATATTTATCCACTCAATAGCTATATAATTGATTATATAAAAAAAAGCGATCATATTTATATATATCATATCAATGTGATAAATTTTTGTTTCTCTCAAATATATGAGTAAGTTCTCTACTCTAGATCTCATTACTAGCTATAGAATTCAAACCAAGATATTCGTCTTGATTAACACCCGGGCATCCAGTGATTGAGTCCAGATTTAAGAGGTATTATACATTCTACATCGAAATTTCAAGTTAACATAAAGAACACTTTAATTAATTTTGATTAGAGAATATGAATATATAAATAAGTTAAAAAATTGACTCACAATATTGACTCTTTGATGTTCAGATTTTAATGGGTTGATAAGTTGGTTAAATGCAATAATTAGAAACTACTAAAAAGTTTGACAAGAATATATAATAATTATATAATGAAGAAATCAATAATTAGACCAGTTAATCAGCTTTACTCTCCCTCTATATCGCACTACAGGTCTCAAACAAGTGGTTCTGGTGTTTTTGATCAATCTCGTATATTGGAAGAGACGTCGGAGAAGTTCTAGCGATCATGGATGATGCTTGAAAGCGTGGAGGAATTGAAGAGTCTTCGTTATGCATTGAAGCAGACGGCCACTGAGCCCAATTTCCATCCAGAATGCCATTTGGGGGGAACACTGGTGTCTGGGAAAGTATATAAAGTGACTCCGATGGAATTTTATTATTGCAATATTCCCACAAAAGGTTAAAAATCTCCTCTGAATTGCACGGTGTACTGTGACGGTGACTTTCAGATAATGATATCTTTTAACTCTCCATTTCCAACCAAATTTAATTGCGATCAAGTGATAAGAAATAGAACATGGACTGTAAGACATAATGGGGAAGAGAAACTTAATTTGGCATTTGTGGCTCGTAAACAAACAGACATCAAGTTCATGATATACTATGGGTAGACAGACTCTTTCAAGAAGTTGATACGAATATCAAGTAATCACGAGAGAGTGCAGATGAGTGATGAGATTCCCAGAATGCCCCAATTTATAGTGAATCAGAATAAGATACAGGCGGTTAAGAAAGTAAATAAGTATGAAGTGGAGGTGAGTCGATCAGATCGTTTCATGCAGGTGCTCAAGACGAGAAATCTATAAAAGAAAGCCATCATAGAGGCTAATCAATAGAAGAATCTTGATTTTCAAGCCAAGGAGTGGGCTCATGATGAATACAAGTTGATTACATTGACTTTACGAAATCGGGAGAGAAGGAGAGAGTAGACCTTCCTTTGGGGTGAATTGCTTCATTTTTTGAAGTTGGTAGACAATTTGTATAGCATATTGCAACAGAGAAGGAGATAATTGAAGAAAAATAAAATGATGATCATAAGCATTTAATTGAGGATGAGGAAGTTCAGGGAGGATTACAAACTGAATCGCGAGGACTTAGGTCATAGGACAGTGGGACAAACAATGATGACGTTGACAATGTTTTGTAAGCAATCGAAGAGGAGGATCATTCACAATTCTTTGATTCTTGTTCTGCCACTGTTGAAATGGCGAGCGAGTCTGTACATGTTCAAGAAGAAGGCTTTGGTTACAAGTGGGAAGTTACAGTTGATCAGGGTGAATTTGAATTAGTTCGTTAAGAATGTGAGGGAGTACAAAGCCAGGATGATTCAGAAGTGGGATCAGTATACCATGAAGATTCACTAGTATCAATCTATGCACAAGGCTGATAAGCGCTTTTTGACTTGGGCTAAATTCCTATATGAGAAAGGATACCAATTATATTTTTAGAACTTGTTCATCACTTTGTTGATGCGAGAAAGGTATCGATCTCACATCAAGGAACAAAGGGAAATCATGAAATACAGGTAAGAGATGAAATCTGCAAAGTTGCAATTGAAGTTTGCCAGAGAAACTGTGGACATCTTGACTTTGCGTCAAAGGATTTTCAAGTTGAGCAATGACATTTATGCTATGTAATTGAAGAATCAATTTTTTATCCATTCAGATGTGGAGAGATTCGTGTCTTCCATTATTGAATAGAGTTCCTTCATCTTTATGGATGAAGACAACAATCAGATGGGTCAAGAAAAGTCATCTCGTCTTCGTGTTAGTTTGAAGAGATAAAAAACTCTTCGTATCTCTAGAAAATCTTGAAGAATTCATGAAATATACATATTTCAATTTTTTGTCATAATTAAATTATAAAAATGAATTATCCTGAAACTAAGTAGTATAGGAGATTGACATTTTGGAAATGCATGGCCGTGACCACATTTTCTTACGCTGTCAGCAAGACAGCCACCGCTCCTCTAGAAAGAGTCAAACTTATCCTACAAGTCAGTCCCATTCTTAAATGCGAAGACAAGATTGATCGAACTTGGTCAGGAATCAAATAGATTTACAAAACCCAAGGCTTGTACTCCTTCTGGAGAGGCAACGGTCTCAATGTCATCAAGACCATTCCCAATGCTGCAATACGATTTACTGTCTATGATAAATTCAAATAATATGTTTCCGAATATCGACAAAAAGAGAATGTAAATATGTTATCAATTACCGATGTAGTACACAAGACAAGTCACCAACAGATTGGTGGCAGGATTTTGCACTGGCTTACTTAATCAACTGATACATTACCCCCTCGAAGTCTTACGTGTTAAATTGACTGTCGATATGAGTCATTTCAACAAGGCTCGTCTGTACAATGGAATCTTTGATTGTCTCAAGAAGACCCTCAAAACTTAAGGGTTCTCAGCTTTGTATCAGGGATTCCTCCTATCCTCTTGTGGCACTGTACCATACTTGGGAATCAGTTTTCTTGTCCATGATCAATTAAAAGACCTCATACCAATAGAAAATAATTCCGATTAGATCTGGATGTAATTGGCATAATTCATTGGAATCGGATCCATTTCAACCATCACTGCAACTGCACTCACATATCCCATTGATACCATACGTAGAAGAATTCAAATCAATGGGTCTTTGGGAGCGTAAAGAGCATATGTTTCATTTTCTGATTGTGTTAAAAAGATGAGAAAAGAAGGATTGTTGTCTTATTACAGAGGATTCTGGATAACACTCATCAGAGTGGTTCCAGCTGCTACCATTCAATTTGGTTGTTTTGATTATTTAAGAGAGTTATCAACATGAGTTTTTGTTTAATTGTTTATTTATAATTGTAACACAGATCAAATGTCATCTTCGTCATCACTCGACAATTTCCTTCTCTTAAACTATACCAATTATATTGCAAAATTACAGTCACTTTAGTGTCCTGCTTTTTCTATCCTTCTGCTGCTTCAAGTAATTTGATCAATTCCTCCTCAGATAGTTAGTTTGTAATCTTCCCTTGCTTTGCCCATTAACAAAGCTGCACCTCAATCAACTCTGCCTTCTCTGGTTTCACCAATTTGATATTTGCCACTATAATTGAAACATCCAATATAAATACATCTCTGCTTAGCTTCGGGTGTCAATATCTATGTCAGAATGGACTTCTTGATTTCTTCCATTTGCTCCTTCTATGCCTACTATTGCTTTAGTTATTCTAACTATTTCTAATCCAATTGATCCATTAATTAATTTATTTTATATATATATATTTATAAGTAATTTAATAAAAACATAAATACATTATCACATTCTCAAGTATTAACACTTTTCTGAAATTATTATTAATAATTATTTTAGAGTTTAATATCAACTTAAATGGCTACTACCATGTTCAAATAAAATGAGAACAATTTCAAAAACAAAGTGGAAGAATTTAATAATCTTTATAAATAATATGCACTCACTTAAAGTAAACAACTAGTTTTTGAAAAGATGAAACTCGTTTTTGTTCAAGCTGAACAACAAGTATTGAAAACATATCTATTTACAAGTTCAAATTCATGGAAATTGAATTTGGATCATTCACAGAAATGCATCAAAAAGACTTTGCTCAGTCGATGAAGGCCAACAAACTCATTTACGTAGAATGCCAAAAAAAGCTCAGAGACCTCCAACTTGATCTCGAGAAACTGCCATTCTCAAATTCTAACAGCAATAGCAAAAAACTAAATCCATCTCCAATCAGAGGACTCAACTCGGACTTACAGGTCTAGACCAAATAATTAGATACTCTGGATTCTCGTTTATTGGAAGCCGAAGATACCTAATTAACTATTCTAGATAACATAAGAAATCAAAAGGAAAAACTGCTTAAAGCCATAGAAGATGTATATATCAATCTCAATCCTTCTAGACCAAAGAAATCCAAGTTGGAGTTTAAATGACTCAAAGACATGCCACTATGGTTAAGAATCGCCAATCATACAATAAGGGAATCCTCCTCTCCTTAATTTGCATATTGACCATAGGAAATATACTTATTTTATATTACAAATTCATGAGTTGATTATAATTTGTAATTATTATTTACTTTTCATTAATGTTTAATACAAACTATTAGACAAAAATATAATATAATATATAATTTAAATCATCGATTAATTCGTTACTACTCTATTATCTTTTTATCCGAGATTTCTTAACTTAAAATAAATGTGTTCTATTTGATAAATTTCCGCTTTATTTGATTATTTTACATGATAAGCATAACCTTTTGGTTTTTCATTAAAAGCTAAAATTGTGCAACTAGACTGTATCATGTAGTTTTGACAACCCACAATTCTTCAAATCACATTGGATTATTTACAGAATACTTTTCGACTTTCACTAGTATGAATATTTTATCTATCTTAACTAAAATCTTTCTTTAGAATGATGAATTTATTAAATAAAGAGCCAAAATATGCAATCTCCTTGGTCTACATGATGTGCAAAATTTACCATGATCTCCTGAAATGAGTTGATCCTTTAGTTCAAATGACCTTGAAATAATATTTGACTAATGAAAAAACAAGAATACCAATTAATTTGAAACGTTTAAATTCAATTATGTGCTCTATTTGAATACTTACTTATCACTATAAATTGGAAATTCGACTACCATATGGTACCTTTCTCCTATAGAGATGAATTGAGCAATCTTTATTCCACTGAAAGTTCAATATTAAATAATTATGATTGAATATTAAATGAAGGTTAAGATTTGACATTTATAGTTATGAAATCATTCTAAAATTTTATTTTGAAAGTTATTTAAAAAATACATTAACACACATTAAAAGATATTATATGAAATTAAGTTATTGATATTCATATAATTCAATAATAATTCAATTGCATGGTTATAAATTATGATTAATTCTTGGTTTGAACTTTATAAGTAGCAACCAGATATTTTCCATCATTTGTAAGTTGTCCATAAAACTCTGGATTATCAAATATTTGTATATTTGATAGAAGAGTGATATTATTATCCTCTTCTTTTTTATATATATATATAGATTTCCTATGCTTAATAACCACCACATTCCTCTGGTTATTATACTATATTGGAAAGAAATCCTTATCCTCACAATCATCCTCACCCAAATTGATTTATTTATTCTATTTTTCAATAAACAATCCATTCTCAAGTTCAAAAAAACATAAACAACCTTTACTTCCCTTATTAATCCAAATAAATTAAGTATCGCTAATAAATTATATCCTAAATCCTAAATCTTAAATAGATTACTCAACCTTCTGTTTGAAATTCCATTGATTTCCATTTCCTTTCTCCCAAAGTATAATTTATTAATCCTATCCACAAGAAACCAATTAAGATTCCGAACTATTTATACTCAAACAAAAGACTAGGTTAGTGTGACTTTCCAAACATTAAACTTACTATAATGAATTTACTCTAAAATCCAATTTCCACACTCTAATTGTTCTATCATAACTCCCCGAGAATAGAAAATCCTCGTTCTAACTCAAGATCAGACAACTGATAAAATCAGTGTGTTCCAAAAAAGCCTGCGAACTCTCCCATTTAAGTAGACTCTTCTCCTTCCAAATTTTAATTGTAAAATCCATGGATCCTGATATAAAAGAATTTGAATGTTGGCTAAAAACTAAACATGAGATATTATCATCGTGTGCTTCAAACGTATCTATTTCCACCAATTATCCATTATTGAATAACCATGTTTTAATGCTAGATCCTGAACCAGAGATCATTATTTAATCAGATTTATTAAAAGCTACTGCAAAGCATGATTAATCGGCAGCTTCTTTTGGATTGTTGTTTTAAGAAAAACTTGTAATCTCCTCAAGTTTTATCGCTTTAAAATCTTACAGAGTCACCTTTTATGTCTAGTCTAATCTGTGGAGTATGCGATTAATTTTAGAAGTTAAAACCTGATAATCCTCATTAATGTTTTACACACAAAACTCTACACTCTCTTACTTACTCAGCTTTAGAGCACTTTCTTTTAATCCTTAATGATTTAATTAATAGTTCAACTCCTAAATAGATTGGAATTACTTATCATAACTAGTCTTTAACATTTCATTATTTTATTTGATTTTTTTATCAATAATTTGACATAGTTCTGTTCTAATGGAAATCAATTCATTGTTTTATCTTTCTACCTAAAATTTTAACTTTTAGAATTAATCCCTTAGATACCTTTTACCTTCTTAACTATAGCTTTCCCATTTCTTTAGAAAATCATCAAGGTTATCTCCATTTCTTCTATTACACTTTAGGCAAGATGTTCTTAGTTCTACATCTATATCTTTATCTGAATCGACGTAAATAATTTCTTAATTATGGACTTGGCATAAAGGTTTCTTCCTTACATCATTCTTTTATTGAAATACAAAATACTTTGATGTTGCTTTGGATTAGGGTACCACTCTCTATTATATCATCTGAATCCATTTGATTTATATCAAGCAAATATTATTAGCAATTTCTGTATTATGTGGAGTCCATCACATTATTCAATTAGAGTTAGATTTTATTGGAATAATCGTAATTCAACTCTTTTATCGCTCTTGTTAATCCTAATAGGTAATCCACCTTGCTTTCATTTTATATAAACCTTTCAACTTCATCATGTATGCTATATTTAGAGTTCTTATCTCCTAATTCTATCAACTATTAATTCCATAGTGAAATCTTCTCCTCGCAATCCTTCAATTTTTAATTCAACTGAGTCTTAATAGAATTAATTGAAACTTTTAGCTAGTCAATGATGGATAAATTCTTCAGGATTATCATGTTTAAGTTTTAACAAAAAGAATTTTGCTGCTCCTTAATCCTCTCCATAAAAGTGAGGAATGGTATTGCATGCAAACCTGTTTAATTGCTGTTCCAACAATTGGCACATTGTAATCTGTCTTCACTCTTAAAATTCTACTCCGTAACTACCATAGTGAAGTGAGAGTTGTGTTTCAAACAATTGAATGAGTAATCATTTTCCAATATTTATGATGTAAATATCTGCATAATTTGTATTCAAAATTAAATAAATACTTGAAGTCTTTAAAATTATTTTAAAATTTTATATATATAAAAATTAAGAATCAATCAAGATCATTTTGATCTTCCAAGAAATCCTCAACTTCCTCATTATTATTTTCTTACTCATTTATTATCTATTATTCATGATGTTGCTTGGTTTCATTTAACTTCTGAGTGTCCTCTTTGCTGTCAGCCTACTTGATTTCTTGGGATGAATTATCTTGAGGTTGTGCCTTCGTTTATTGTTATTAGCTTTCATCTAGTTCTTTAATTTCATTGAGTTCATTCTATTATTTGATGGAAATGTTTTCCTGAGAACCTGAATGAGTAGATTTTTTATGTCCACTAACTTAAATTGGTCTCTTAAAGGAGACCTCACCTGAATTGGCAACTTTGTTTGGAGTAGTATTGTTTGACTTTTAACTTGACGATCTATTTTCTTATGAATGAGTTGATGTATTTTCTTGCATGTAATTCTTCCTTTATGATAAGAGACTCATCTAATATTTGGTAGGATTATTTGATATTGCTGATAGATTTTTGATATTTTATTTCTATTTGGTTTATTCTAAGATCTCTTGGAAGAGTGTCTCTAGGTTATTCTTGGATTTTAATAGCTCTGTGTTGTCCATTTCCAATTATTTAACTCTGGCTTTGAATCTTGTCACATATCCTTGACTAGTTTTTAATTGAGTAGCCAATGATTTTTGTTGTTATCTAAGTAATTCCAGTTCTTGATCCTTTTCTTGTAATTAATTCTTCAGATTCTGTAATTCATTCGACTTACTTTTTGTATTGACTTGTAGATAATGATCTAATTTAGTTTTTAAATCCTGATTTTCTTGCAGTAATTTCAATTAGAACTGCTTAGTTTTTTGCATTTCTTCGTCTTTGATAATCATTTATTCTTGCAATTTCTATTAGTTTGATATTGCTTTTTTGAGCTAATCGTATTTACAAATATATACTTCAATATCAAGTGCTTTGGAATGTTCAAGTTATTTTATATATTGTCTATTACTTTCTTGGAGTTTAGATTCAAGTTCTCTTAGTTTGAATTCCAGATCTGAAATCTTTTTCTGCAAATCTGATTGTGTCTTTGCAGCTGTCTATATTTAAGTAATTAGAATATTATTTTCTCTAGAGTATATAATTATTAAGATATACTTTTCGAATTGTTTAGTAGTTTATTCAAATTGCTTTTTGGCTTCCTTCAAAATGTCATCTCTTTCAAGCATTCTCTACTTGTATTATTCCTATTCATGAGCATGCTTAGAATATGATGAACATCAATACTTTCTCTTTCATTTTCTCCAAAATTTGCATAATTTTAGTCATTTCTTCTTTGTACTCCTTTTATGAATCTTTGAGAGCCACTTGGAGATTCTGGATTTGAGTCTACTAACTGTTGGTTTGATCTTCTAATTCTTTGACTCTGCGTTGGAGTTCTGAGTTCTTAGAAGCCAATTCTGATAGTTAAGACTTAAGGGAGGTGTTCTCGTTTTGTAATTCTTCGTTCAATTATTTGAATGTATTGAGTTCATTGGTTAGGATGGCTAATTTTTCACTTTATTAGGTGAATTCGGTGTGTCTCTTTTCCAATATTTTCAATTGTTCATTTAATTGTTCTTGAATAGTTCGAGAAGTCTGTTCCCTTTCGGAGGCAAGAGACAACTCCTTTTGTAGATTGTTTATGATGAGATCTTATTCTGCTATTTTGAGATCTCGTTCTTTGATATGGGAATCCTTTTCGGAGAGGAGATGTTCATAATGCGAGGTGATTTGCTGTAACTGTGATTGTTGATCAGAGGACTCACTTGATTTGGTGATTAATTGTTTGTTCAATTCTTTAGTCTCATTGAGTTCAGACTCCACTTCACCTAACTTCCGTTGTAATGATTGAATTTGGTTCTAGTGTAACTATATGTATGATACATTGAAATCACGTTCCTTTGATCGCCACTCCACCACGTCGTTTTGATTCTTCTCAATCAATTTGATGTTCTAAGACTCAAGCATCCGAACCTTTTCATTGAGTTCAACCACCTATTGAAATGTGAAGTTATCCATACTTCGGAGTTATTCTGGATGGATCTCTGCAATTCTTCCACCTTGTCAGTCAGAGACACGATTTGTCGATGTCGATTCTGGATGTCTTCCTCCAAGGATTTCATCTTGGTGAGTAATTCTTATTCTTGGGACATATAATTTTTAAAAAATAATGTAATAAGAATAAATAATTCAACCATATCGAATAGCTAAGCTGTATGGTTTGAGCAGACTCCCAAAGTAGTAGGAACTGCAGAAAAAGTAACCAAGTCCGTAATTAGTATATGAGTTAAAGCAGATGAAGGTCTTTGAGATGCCGACTTTGAGATTGCCCAAGATCAACAAGCCTTCAAAATCACAGCACATCACTCCCATGAGGTTCCGAAATGAACGCAACAGTCTAATCTATCAGAATTTGTCGTATAGGAAGTTTGATTGCTACGACTTTATGGTTGGGAACTCCTCCTGTCATTAATGAGTTTGGCAATATCAATTTATTAAGATTTTAAGCATTATCAATTTATTAAGATTTTAAGCATCTATATATATGTGATCTGAATTGAATTATTTATTGTGCTTAAAGATAATCACATTTTAATAACTCATATGACGCATTTAGAAAATGGTCCAATTAAATTTTACAATCTTTCGTCAGCAATTTATTATTTTAAAAACACAAGAAGTTTATAATATGACTGAGGACATCTACCCTTTGTTCGGATGGGATGACCCTGTTCCGAACGAATTCAAAGAGATCTTCTCCAAATGCGCCAAGTAAGAATTTAAATGATTGTTGTACTTTTAGTGAGTCAGACTCCCGAAAGTGTAGTAGCACATTAGAAGAATCCTTAAGTAGTTGAGTTGTGTGTATGTTTTTAGTAGTGGACGAGGATTACGAGATAATAGGAAGAAGCCAAAATGAAAATTCAATCTGCCCGCTCTGCTACCAAACTGTGCAATCAGGTCACACACAATTGTACTCCAATCTCCTTTCCCAGTACTTTGATGTCCACACTCAATGCGCCCTCACTTGCAAACATAAAACAGCACAACTTGCCCTCTTAACAGATTCAATCTAGCATGCGCAAATTATGGAACGAGTCCCAGTAGACTACGACCTATTGGATCTGAATGTCAAAGTCTTCGTGGAATTCAGAATATTTCACACCATCGCACAACAACCCTACCTCAGCCTCACGCATTCCACCACACTCAAACAGAAGAAAAACACATCCATCCTAATCGATTACGCAAATCTGAGAGAGTACTTCGGTAAAAGACAGAAACACCTTGTCCCGCTGATGCAAGGTCGCATTCAAATCGACGTTCACATCATGGATAGCAATCTCATGCAAGAAGCCAAGAATGTCCATAGCTACGAATTCTACTACAATGCAAACAAAGTTACCAGCGATTACATCTGCATCGGATATGATGACATATGCATCTCTATGTAACTAGAAGAAGAACACAACCAACCTCAATTGTGCTTGAAATCACTCCAAATCAACTTGTCTCCAGACTTAGCCAAACAACTCACCAAACAATCACCCAAGTCCTCCCCCATTGTTGATTCATTCCTCTTCTCACCCAAAACCCGTATTTTCACGCCNAAAGCAGATGAAGGTCTTTGAGATGCCGACTTTGAGATTGCCCAAGATCAACAAGCCTTCAAAATCACAGCACATCACTCCCATGAGGTTCCGAAATGAACGCAACAGTCTAATCTATCAGAATTTGTCGTATAGGAAGTTTGATTGCTACGACTTTATGGTTGGGAACTCCTCCTGTCATTAATGAGTTTGGCAATATCAATTTATTAAGATTTTAAGCATTATCAATTTATTAAGATTTTAAGCATCTATATATATGTGATCTGAATTGAATTATTTATTGTGCTTAAAGATAATCACATTTTAATAACTCATATGACGCATTTAGAAAATGGTCCAATTAAATTTTACAATCTTTCGTCAGCAATTTATTATTTTAAAAACACAAGAAGTTTATAATATGACTGAGGACATCTACCCTTTGTTCGGATGGGATGACCCTGTTCCGAACGAATTCAAAGAGATCTTCTCCAAATGCGCCAAGTAAGAATTTAAATGATTGTTGTACTTTTAGTGAGTCAGACTCCCGAAAGTGTAGTAGCACATTAGAAGAATCCTTAAGTAGTTGAGTTGTGTGTATGTTTTTAGTAGTGGACGAGGATTACGAGATAATAGGAAGAAGCCAAAATGAAAATTCAATCTGCCCGCTCTGCTACCAAACTGTGCAATCAGGTCACACACAATTGTACTCCAATCTCCTTTCCCAGTACTTTGATGTCCACACTCAATGCGCCCTCACTTGCAAACATAAAACAGCACAACTTGCCCTCTTAACAGATTCAATCTAGCATGCGCAAATTATGGAACGAGTCCCAGTAGACTACGACCTATTGGATCTGAATGTCAAAGTCTTCGTGGAATTCAGAATATTTCACACCATCGCACAACAACCCTACCTCAGCCTCACGCATTCCACCACACTCAAACAGAAGAAAAACACATCCATCCTAATCGATTACGCAAATCTGAGAGAGTACTTCGGTAAAAGACAGAAACACCTTGTCCCGCTGATGCAAGGTCGCATTCAAATCGACGTTCACATCATGGATAGCAATCTCATGCAAGAAGCCAAGAATGTCCATAGCTACGAATTCTACTACAATGCAAACAAAGTTACCAGCGATTACATCTGCATCGGATATGATGACATATGCATCTCTATGTAACTAGAAGAAGAACACAACCAACCTCAATTGTGCTTGAAATCACTCCAAATCAACTTGTCTCCAGACTTAGCCAAACAACTCACCAAACAATCACCCAAGTCCTCCCCCATTGTTGATTCATTCCTCTTCTCACCCAAAACCCGTATTTTCACGCCTCAAGTTGGCCCTGCACAACAAAGAGTCCGTTTCCAATCATTCCAATTAGAAGAGCAAACCCAACCAGATGAATGGACTGAAGATTTGTAAAGCTTTGAGCAAATACGAGGCAACATCGTCAATTTTGTCAAGACTCAACATGGTAGTCGACTCATCCAAAAGCATTTCACTACTTGTACACAAATGGAATTGGATCAACTGTTGCAAGAAATAGGTCCACACATAGGCGATCTGATGATTGATCCATATGCCAATTACATGTTCGGCAGTCTGAGTCAGAGTTGTGCTCCACATCAACGATTATACATCTTACAAACCGTAACCTTTTATTCATATATATTGTTCAGATTTCCAATCACCTCGTGGATATTGCATGCGATAAAAAGGGTACTCATGCTATTTAATCGTTGGTTTCTTTGATATCATCTAAACAAGAAGAAGAAATGGTTGAAAACAGTATAAAAAATCATATCATCTTTCTCACTCTGGATAGTCAAGGAACACATTTGATCAAAAAGATCATTGCCAGATTCTCAGAAGATCGTTTGAATTTGATATTTTGCAAATTAATGGAGAGATTCATTTAGGTCGTCAACCATCAATTTGGACTTTGTGTCTTGAAGGATCTCATTACTAAATTCAAAAACAATCAAGAGAAATGCAACTTTATTTTAATCAAGATGCGCGATCAATTAGATGATATTGTGCAAGATCCTTTTGGTAATTATGGAGTCCAACACGTGATCGATGTAAAATCTGCGTATCTATTTATTTATAGGTCTACGGTGATCAGAAATGCACTCCAATAATAGATAAAATTTTGTAGAAACTAGTGCAACTATCAATCCACAAATATTCTTCGAATGTTGTGGAGAAATGCATTTTAGAAACCTCTGCAAAAACATAAAAACGATTCATTAAACAATTGTCACAAGATGGCATTTGCTTGGAATTGATGAAAAACAAATTTGGAACCTTTGTTCTACAGAAAGCTCTTTAAGAAGCTGAGAAACTAGGCGAAGGAGACATATTATAGTAAGCTCTTTAGCGGAACTTGCCTTCCATCTATGCTTAGAACATCAGGCAGAAGTGGATGGAATACTTAGCTAAGAAGTGATTAATTGACCTATATATATTAGTATTATTGTACATTACAGTATTAAAAGCCTCATTTTATTCTACATTACATAATCAGAATACCAGCATTTTTTGGAAATTCAGAAAGTTCACAATTGAGAGGATTTTACATTAAGCTTTTAGAGGAAGAAGATTATAAGGTACAAGAAAACTGGAGGCATTTAAATATATCAGTTTGTCAAATGTTATAACATCATTAATATACATCATATAATTTATGATTCACTATTACTATGTAAACTAATATGGTGAATATAGAACTATTTGTCTATCTCATCGAGAAAGGTTATTCAATATTAACATCTTTACAAAAAGATAGCTAGCCCCCCACTTAAGTTACCTTAAAAACTCAAGAATTAAATGTACCAACCACTCCTTAGGAAGTAAAATTGAGATGTGAAATCTTATGTGTATGCCTTGCAATAGAAAGTTAGGAGGAGAGTAGAACAAATTAGAACCGAGGATCAAAACTTTGCAATTTCATTTTTAGGATTTTAAGAATAACACTATAAATAGTAATAATACAATTAATGCACTTTCTCCAATCGAAGAGAATTGTAGTTATAAAAATGAGTAACATTATAAAACGATTAAATTATACAATTATCATGCTCTTTTTGACAATTGGCAAACTACTATTTGCTAAAGCACAAAGTACACAAAAGTATTTTCGCAGAAACTAACTGCACTTTTTGTTATTAATATCAATATTATTTGAGTTTAATTAAACAAGTAACATGTTAACTAATCGGTGAACCTTCTGATTTTGTGTGAATTTAGATACATCGGACAAAAATATCTGAAATTATAATCTTGAGATCCCCAGCTAATAGAGCTGATCATTTGAACCCTTATGGTAAAAATAGGTTAATAAGATGGTTAAATATATGATTGCATCGAAATCAATTCAAAAATAATAAAAGTATATGAATGGGTAGATTGGGATAAAATAGGGTAAGAAAATTAATTTTGGATTAATTTAAGAGAACTTGTTTCATAATGTGAAAAAGAATTCCACTCATGTAAGTTGATAATCGGAATATGGGAGATACTGGTGATACAGAGTAATATTGTGCATTAAATAGAAAAAATGGGGAGAGAGTTTCTTTAGAGTTATTTGATTATAGAAATTTTTATGTATATTTTATCAATTATTTATAAATTGGGGTTAAATGATGGAGTTATGTAAATGAAATTATGTAAGCAATAGTAATGGTATTTATTATTGATGAGCACTCTTGTGGGGATATGGCCGACATTAGTAATGGTTGTTTAGGCCTGAGGACTTAGGTAAGAGGGTATCATCAGTAAAGAATAGATATTATAATTGGATGGGGATTTAAATTTAATAATTGAAATTAACAGCATATTAGTTTAAGTTGACCAGAAGATTTTGGTGACATGTGTAGAATTAAATGGAGTGAGAGGGATAATAAATGGGGTTTCTAATTTTGATTAATTATAATAATAAATTTAAAATATGAGTAGAAACAATAGTGATGAGGATAATATCATTTAATTTGATGATGATGATAACCAACAAGAGTAGAAGTAGAAAACAAGTGCTTAGCAGCAAATGAAAATAAGGAAGGACTTCTAGGATGAGGAAATTATACACGAGCCAGGAATGCAACAAATCAATCAATAGACTTCGGATTTGAATTAACTTAGATTGAACAGACCTAAGACATCAGCATAAGAAATGAAAATAAAAGAATCACAACAACAACAACAGGAATAATAGAATTAGTTTCAATAGATATAATACAAAAATTCCAACAATTTCGAACACTAATCAGAAGAATCATCCAACAATTCTGATGAACGAGAGTAGCACAATTAATCAGTCGTCAATTTCCAATCAGAGATGGGAGAACAGGTTGATGTGGAGTATATAGATCAGCAAGTACAACCAAATCCTCTTTAATTGCAAAGGATCGAAGATAATGATCAACAATCTTAATTTCATGAATCCCAACAACAACAACAATCCAACATACAGCCACCACTGTCATCTTCCAATCAAAGTCATGTCCAAGTGAATCCATTCCCTCCTAAACTCGATTTTTAGTATGTGAGAGAATAAATGGAAGGTTAGGATAAAGGAAAGGCCTTCCTCACATCTCCCTTGCTGCAAGATAAAACCCTGCAATGCTAAATCAAAAGAGATAAGAGTGGGCTTGCCAGACTGTATCCAGTTTATCACGTCTACACAAGTGAAGGGGATGTGTACTTATTCAGTGCCAAGAAAGTAGTCATGAACACCACTTCCAATTATGTGATTTCCATGGACAAGAGAGAATTCTCCACCAGGAAATCATACTTCTTGGGGAAGGTCAGATCCAATTTCCTTGGAACTGAATTCATACTTTGGGATGAAGGCAAGAACTTAAAGAAATGCAAAGACACAAGCTAATTCAGAACTCAATTGGGAATAGTGTATTACGAAAGTCACATCATGCAGAATAAAGGCCCTCGAAAAATGAAAGTTCTAATACCTAGAGTAGGAGATAGGAACATTCCAAAAGTGTTCTAACCTCTTCACAATAATGAAGGCATTCAATATGACTATCAAAACAACAAGCGTGAGTTCATTGAGGAATTCATCAATAAACCTCCTAGATGGGATACCAAAATGAAAGCGCACGTTCTCAACTTCTTTGGAAGAGTAGACAAACCTTCAGTCAAAAATTTCCAATTAGTAAAACCAAATAATCATTAATTCATTCATCTACAATTTGGAAGAGTCGATGATCTCTTGTTCAACCTTGATTTCTGCTACCCCCTATCACCTCTTCAAGCATTCTAAATCTGTGTGACGTCCTTTGACTTTAAATTCGCTTGTGAGTGAGACCGACATTAAATATATTAATCAATTATATATTATTTATATGAATAACCCAAATCAAATTGATAAGTCATATGTCCTCTCCCAATTGCACTACAAAAAGAAGGAATTTCCTCAATCATTCAAACTTCTACGATAATCAATTGCATAACAAACCTATAAAACCAACCACGCACTTTTACAGCGAGTATTCCCCAAGTCATGGCAATATTAATGTATTCCCTTCACGCTATCAACTTATTGTAGTATTGAGCAAATATCTGGAAGAGGATGACAAATTCGTTACCCTCCCTTTGAAATCCATCCTTCTAAACTGTTTGGAATTTACACTTCACAATAAATTCCAATGTTGCATAACATCAAAATAAAAGGAAAAACTATTTCGCTAAGTCATTAACGCAGCCAAATAATCCTTATTCAGAGATAAGCATTTGTTGGTTCGTAAATTATGCTTGTTACACAGCTATTTTAATCAAGATTATTAATCAGTAATCGACGACTTTTTGCAGTAACCAAGAGTGCAATTAAAATATTACCATCAAGCATGTAAATTAACTTTAATCATACACAGTTAGATTTATGGCTGATTTTTTGGATCAATTTGAAGAAGGCATTAATCTCTACAAATAGTACCTAAGAGAAAATCCAGATTCCATCGAAGGTTACGATTGTCTCTGTGATTTAATGCCTACTCTACAGGTTGAACTTTGGAACTAGTTCATAACCGATAATCCAAACAATAGAACTGGGTATTTGAGATTGCTGAACATCCAAAATGAAGCTACAGTGTTGAAGTTGTTTATAAAGAATAATCCCAATGATCTCTATGGATTTGAATAGCTGTGTCTTCTCGATAGAGATGAGAATCAATTAGATTAATATTTACTCAAATTTCCTGGCAGTTTTGAAGCCCATAATAAAAAAAGTTAAATTGCTTTTCAAATAAAGGGAAAATTCAATCCTCAGATCCTTTCTGGTTACTTAAACAGTTTAGATATTAAGGAGATATGCTAAATAATTTATTCAGACATTGAAACTTGTAATCTTCTCTTTATATTTATTAGATAAATCGTAAAATTAATTGATCAAAGGGTATGATTTAGAAAAATTAAAGTATCTTCTTTCCACTTACATTTGTAATCAATCCATAGTAGAAAAATTGGACTTGTTGAATTCTATTGAATAAAAGAAGAAACTTATAGTTCAGAATGAAATATTTAATGAAAGTAAATATAGATTGATTAATAAGTGATGAACATTATCATACCTAAGATTTATGATATTAATCAAATGGAGCAATCGATCTTATAAAATCGAAATGACATTAAATTCTACATTGATAAGGGTAAGGTATAATCTTAACATTTAGCCAATTATTATTATAAATTGAATCAATTGGATTTGGCATTGAAAGTATTTGATGATTACACCAATTAATTCCCATGTTAGTTCAAAGGATATGATGAGAAAGGTTGCTTTGAATTTGTTATTATTTAAAGCCTAATTTATGAAATACAAATGCAAGCCAATTCAAATCAAATAGCATTGGGAGAAATTCATCTAAACATGCCCAAATGAAGAGCAGAACATATTGTTGAGGAAGGCAGAAATATTGACAACTATTTTGAAGTAGCATGACAAGGCTATTTCTTTATTGGATTAACATATTAAATTCTACCCTGGAGATGAAAATGGTTATTTAGCAAAAAGTACAACAATATTGCTTATCTTAAGTCAAACTATTGCACAACTAAGGAAGATAAAAAGAGCTTTTAAATACGATAGATGAATACTTCCAATTAAATCCATAGAATGAGGAGATTCAATTATTGAAAGGTGTAATTTGCATGTATATTCTAGTTTAAATGCTCGTAAAGATATATTCCAATGACGTAGCATTGTAATTCATTGATTCACTGCCATATTAGCATTCATTGAAGTTGGTGGAGATGAAGGCTAAAATACTAGGCGAGAAGAAGAAGGAGGATGGACTAAAGGTATTGGAAGAGTACTAAAAATGTAATCCAAATTGCAGAAAAGCGAATAAATTAAGGAGTATTGAGTATAATTAATGGTAGTTTAATTTATTCGAGATTTCTTTGGAAATTCGTACATTCAGTGTTTGAGAGAATTAATAAGGAATGATCCAGATTCCATTAAGGGTTACAAGCTATTTTGTATTTATTGAATTAATTCTAGACAAGTTGACTTTGGATGAGCATACATTGTACGACGAAGCAAGAGATTGGATCGATTTCTACATAGAGACTCATCCAGATTAGAAGGAGAATCATAAAATTCTATTAGATATGTTGACAAAAAGGAGATGTGACACTCTTAATTAAGGGTGATTACATAGAGTAGTTATTTATATAGCATGTTGTTTTATAATATGATAAGTGATTATTTATATATATAAAAATGGGAAACTCTTTGATTGATCACAAAGGTAGGCTCAATCAGATGAAATCTTTTGAGACTCATAACACCGAGTAGGACATTGGAGTCCGATAAAAACGATTGTCGGATAATAAATTATTTAAAACCATGCATTACAAAATGCACCATTAGAATTTAATTGTCAAAGTGCACCTAATACTCAAACAATTGACGCATCTTGAACTTTACATCCATTATTAAAACTTTCAATATTTGATTGAAAAACTTGAGCCTTATCCAAATCTAATGGCATTTCGTGGATTAATCAACTTTGGTAAATTAGAAAAGCCCTCTCCATAGGAAATGTAGAATGAGTGTAATAAAGACTATTTGGCAGTCTCTCGTCAAATGTTGCACATGACCCTAGAAGAGAGATTGCAATCCAATTATAAGCTTCCCAAGTGTTTGTTGAATTTCTACACCTTGCAATTATTGAGCGCAGTAAAAACCTTACATCAACAGAACTTATACCATGGACACATACGCTCATCGAACATTTTACTCACCAGTTTGGATTACCTTGTCTTGACAGACTTCGCTTCTTATAAACCCTACTATAGCAACAAATTGGAAATCATTAGGAATGTCTATGAATCTTCGATTCAAAAATGCACATTGGCTCCAGAGAAATATGCAGAGACCCAAGATATCCAATACATTCCCAATCTCACCAAACAATAGATCAATGACTTATAGAAGATGGACATGTTTTCAGTCGGGTGTGTCATTTACGAAATCTATACTGGTGAGACCCTATTCACATTTAACTAACTACTCCAATACCTTAAGCCAGATCAAGAACCCCTCATCTCAGTTGAAGATTTCGTTGGAGATCTGATTTGCAGTCTAATCGAGAAAGATCCCAATAAGCGTTACTCAGCTGAATAAGCATTCAAACAATTTTAAGATTAAATTTGTGCTGATGAAATATTTGAATTGCTACAATAGGTGTGTTATGCCATCAATTTCAAAGGCGAATTTATGCATCCTGATATCAGAATTCAACTATTTAGGTAGATTATATCATTGACTCAATTCAAATAATGGAATTATGTTATGCCAATCCCTCTATAGTTTGTTCCCTTGGATGCATTTAACGAAATAGATGTGGAATCCAGTAATCAAAACAGAAACACAAAAATCCAATTCAATACTCCTCCAAGCAGTGATATATTGGCAGGGCAGATAGAGAATTGTGAAAACTTGATTGCTAAAGATTAGAACTACGATCAAAATTCAGAAGACTAGCTCAAATCAAAAGGGAATCTAAGGGGATCTCCAAATGTTAGTGAATTGATATGTTGGAAATCAAAGTAATTCGATCGGAAATCTCTGATGGAGAGTGTTAAGACAAATACCAATTAGAGGTAAAATGAGTACATAATTTTTATACTGTGGGTATTTAATTCAATGAGGAATTGCAGATTCCTATAAACAAGACTATGTGGTTTAGAATTAGTGGAATACCTGCTTGAATTCATTGATGACTCCTCTATGTATAAACTAATCATTCCTAATTTGGGTTAATTTAGTGAAGATTATGAAGGTTAGACTCAGTATTACGCATTTTCAATTCTGCTAGATCTTTTGAAAAGATTGAATTATCCTCGTAACTGTTAAACTGAAGCTCTCATCTTCAAATTGTACGTTTGGGAACAAATCAAAACCAGAATGTAAGATATGAATTAGAATCCAATGTTGGCCCTTAAGATTGGAGACATAGCAGAAGTCTTACACATATTCAATAGAACTGAGGAGAAGAACCTCTTTATACAAATAATATAGAAGAAATTGCAAGATGAGAATTAGGAATAATGCATCCTGCTAATATAGAATATCAAGAATGTGTTATAGTATTACGATTAGTTCTAGACTATTGAAATAATGAAGCTTCTTATAGCTCAATTGAATAAAATAGATCTAAAGATTCCACTATTGGAAGTTGGATTTGATCTGTTACAATATTATGCCAAAACAGATATGAAGAAGACCCTGTTGACCTGTTTGTAATTGAATACAAGACATGAACTAGCCCTCTTTCGCACTCTAAAAATAATAACAAAGGCTTCAGAAAAATAATTATTGGAATTGGATAAGATCAAATAGTTCATCAAAGAAATATCTCCTTTGGTTTTGCATCACAATCGATGGGTAAGGGAGGAAGCCTAAAAATTCATAATCATTTAATTGAGAAACTTCAACAGTCTTGAAAATTATTTGCATTTGCTCCCTCATATAAAGAAATATTTGAAATCAGATGTGCCTCATCTGAACGAGGAGGTGTTTTCTTTTCTAGTATAGAAGCCTGCAAGTTAATCATTATTTCTTAGCAAGAATCAAGAGTTTAGTAACTTCTAGCCTTCAAGTGAAAGGGAATAGTACAACTATAACAATTATTATCAAGAATACATCTTGAAATCAAAGCCAAATCAAGAGATATCAGCTTAAAAATAACATAATAAATAAGCCTTACCATCAGCAATCATTAAACAAAGGATCAATGAATTTTTTGAAGCAGTTTGCAAGAGCAAACTATTAAAATAAGGATCTTTTCATATTTTCCAAGACTTTATAAACAATGACAGAGCTTTAGAGGATTAGTCTAATTTCAGCAATGGTAACTTTGGAATTTATTTGAAAAAATTTGAACAATACTAAAATTTTAAAAAGAAGTATATTTTACAACAAACCTTCAAATCCAGCACTTAGTGGATTAATTATCTCAATTTTCACATCATCTTCAATTCATTTATATAGAAATCCTATCAATTGCATAAGCCTGAACTTAAATTTTAAAGGAGTTACCAGCCCAAGATAGTAAGACAATTCAAGATAAGAAATCAATTAGTTACCACTATTCCAGAACACGAAGATACTGTGACTTCATTATAGAAACATAGTGATCAAAGAAGATTTATCTCTGGTTCTCATGATGGCACAATTAGATTTTTTGATATGAATAAGATTTAGGAAGACTTTACTAGTGGGAGTGTACTACAAATTCCCATTTTGAACGAGCAAAAGTAAATTGAGAAGGTTACTGCTCTACGTTTTCTAGAGGGCACAGAGAGTTTCATCGTGGGTACAAACTCGGGCTAAGTTAGTTAATACAGGGCTGATTTGAGAGTGGCTACCTTCCCTTAAGCAGATTCAGGAATAAGGAGAATAGTAGATTATGACAATGCCTTCTGCTATGTCACTGAGAAAGGATCCTTGATTCTTGAGGATATCAGATCTAGAAGTTCATAACACTTAAGTGTGAATAAAAAATGCGGTTTAGCATCTAGTTTAATTCATGACAATTACAAGACTTTGTTAAGTACTCTTAACGGTTATTTAATATTATATGACAATAGATGCATGATGCTTATGAATATCTATCAATTAGTATCGAAGAATGATTAGCCATTGCCCATCTTCAACATGTGTGAGATGAATCGGAATTCATTAATAGAGGGTATAAATCCAAATAGCGATAAATTGATTGGGATCGGTTATCAATCTCTGCATAATGAGGTTGCTTTTTTTGATATCAAAATGAATAGAAACTCAATCAATCCTTCATTATTTTTACATTGCTCTCATAATAAGAATGTGTAAATGGAAATGCCAAAACTGAAGTCAGTTCTAAATGTTGAATAGATTGTCAATGAAGTTAACAGAACAACTACCTACACTCAATCGAGCGATTAAACAATCCAAAAATTCAATTTGAATTTCTCCTCACTTTTTGTGAAGGAACAATTGCTGCAGAATATGTGGAAGAACTATTTGGATTATTCTTTCCAAGACACAACCAATGTAACTTCGTTGCTATGTTTGAGTGGCAGAGGATATAACCAGAAACTAGAGAATACCATAATCACAGCTTCTAAGGACAGAAGTGTTTAAAGTTGGACATTGAATAGCGATGTTAATAATTCTGAATTAGTATAATAATTTCAATAATAAAGGAATTCCAAACTAATGTGATTTGTTCGCCCTATAACTCAAATCGGAAATACAAACAATACATGAAAGGCGATGTCCTTATCATTGAGGATCACGAAATTCGGAATGCTCCCAATACTTCACATTTCATAGAACATCAAGATAGCATAACTGACATGATCTATTTGGATAGTGAGAATAGTTATCTTCTTACTGCTAGCAAGGATAATACCATCAAGATATGGAAGTGAATTTAATTTTAATAATATAATTACATATTTATGTCAGATCTTTGTCAAAATTGTAAACATCGATAACTCAAATCCAAATTGGCAGGTAAGAAATTCTCAATGCACATCCTTAATTAGATCCGACAATTACGTTCGCCACGTAATATTGAAACTCCATTTATAAATGTGATTGAATACTTACAAAGAATACATAGAAAGAAAGAAGAAGACTAAGATGAGGAGTAAGATTCAGAAAAACTACAATAATACAGTCACATTCCAACTCACATCTCAAAGTAGAAAACTGATGCCTACGTGGAAGATGCAACAACCGCCACATCCAGATAAATTCAATTTCCAGTTTCCATGTTTATTTCAAGAGGAGCTTCAGCTACCAAAATTAAAAGCAGTGCATTCTACAAGATGAGACAAACAAGTTAAAGTTCTAGAGACAACAAAAGAAAACGGAATATTGAAATCGGACCAATGTTTAATTAAGTCTCTAAGTATGTCCAACCAATGAGACCATAAACTGTGAGAAGTTTTAATTCAAAAATGGATGATATTTTCAGATCAACACAAAATACTACGAGACAAGAAGTGATTAGACAGAGTAAGTCAGAAATGAACCTTAGATTGCCTGTCTCTAATAAATTAAGCGAAGTCTAATCCCTAATGAGAAGAGAGTGAAATTATAATTGATATATGTACTATATATACCAAATTTCTCACTTTTTTATGTGCTTGGAATGATCACTTCATAATGATGGGAAATCCTTATCATCGAATTGAACTCCATTATTTGGTTATTACTAATTATAGAATTAATAATTACTTATTTCTTTTATCCTTTGTTATTCTGATCTTTCCTGTCATTTCTATCATTTCTATCATTTCTGTCATTTCTGTCATTTCTATCATTTCTTTCGTTTCTTCTTGTATCATTTGTAAATCCGAAATATTATTATCCTTCGGTACTCATTTCACTTCTGTATCCTTATTACTAACCACTTGATTTTTTAGTTGCCTTCTATTCCTTCTCTCTCTTCTCATCTTCTCTTGTTCTCATCACCTGTAATTTCTCCTTCTTCAATGCCTCCTCATCAATCTTTACCACTGGCTATGCTTTCTATTACTACTTTTTGAGTACATCCTCAACATTCTATATATTTATTAATATTCATTCTTTACCGCTCCTCTTGCTTAATAATAATCAGCTAATGTCTTCTCTGCTGGTGGTTATGGTACATTTTCCTATGGCTATTATTCTTCAGCTTGTTATTCTGTATTTTATTCCTATGGTGCCTCCTTTCCCTCAATTGCACCTTGGTACTTCTCCTACTTTAAATCGTCTTTATAATTTCCCCAATTTCTTCTTCCACCACCTTCTTTACGAAGTTCCTTTCCAATTCCTGTTCCAGAATGTCTGTCCTTTGGATGAGGATCAGCTGTTAGACCCTTTTGTTTTGGGGCTGGATTGTGATGTTAAGTGCTTTCTTTCTTAACTAATTCTACAGGAATCACTTATTCCTATTCACGCTTTTACTTATCTAATTAATAATGAAAGAATGAGCTTACTCTTCTTTGCTTGTTGCTATTGGGTTTTTTATTGTGCCTATTGAGTTTTTGAATCCTCATCATCTGAAATGTTGAGGACATTAAACATATTGGTGCTCATTTTAAAGATTTGAAAACTTAATAAAAAATATGTATTATTAATTCAAATACGAACTATTGTGATTATAATTATGATCAAAATTTCACTTCGATTTCCCCACTTCCTCTCCATTCCACTATAATTTTGTTTTCTTTATCACCTTCTCAGATTATATTGTAAGGTTTATATGACATTTATTTACATATAGGATTAATTATAAAGGTATATTCAAAAATATGATTTATATATCAAGTTTGTGGTTGTATTTGAATTGAAAATATTGCAAATAATTAAAATAAATTAATAATGCAAATCCTTTTTAAGAATCAATTTATTTAATATTTCATACTATGATTGTATCTACTCAAAACTACACTTTCTTATTTTACTCTCCATTATATCCTGTCATTAAATAATACACAACAGGTTATTGTTTGTCAATCTAAGCTTTTTAATTGAATTATAAGGTTTTTAAAAATCTAAAAGAAATTAAATTCCTATATTATCTTTAATTAATTTGAAGAATCTTTCATACTTTTGCACTAAAAACTTTTACATTGTTTTGATATATTAATTTAAATCAATTTCCCTAACTTAATATAATATGGGATGTTGTTAGGATCGAATTAATGTGACTCTTAAGGCAAATGAAATAAAACCCTTAGCGAAGGCACCCATAATCTTTCACCCTCATAAGGGATAGAGTATGGAACCAATGAAAATTTCAATCATTGGAGATATGGATTAAATGGAGATCTATGACGACTTCCCTTCAGCCATGCCCTCTATAACATAAATCGATCAAAAGATGACATCAAAATTAATCTTCTCACGCGAGTTCAAGGAAACCAAAGAATTGGTAACAATATGTCAGCTATCGTTTTTAGAAATCGACGTCAATTTCTGAAACTGTTATAATAGATTTGAGATCAGCTTCATACCTCTAAAGCCCTCTCAAACCAATAACGGAAAGAAGATCGAGCAAAAATTTAAATTAAAAGTTCATAGGGATGCTTTGATTTGATAATATTTGAATAGAAATGAATAAAATTTTATAAATCAAAGAAATATATTACTAAACAATAACCACCCCCTCATATATAAGTGATTGGATGAATCTTATAGTCATTTTTAGAATCATTTGCATATTGAATAATGTAAAAAAAGAAAGAAAATGTCATTAATAACCTAAAAGTCCCACCCTTAATTTGTAAGTAAATCAATGCTTTCAGAATCTACCCTCATATATTCTCATTTTTTTTCTAATTCATTTCTAAATAGAATAATATAAATATTCTAATTGGGGAGGTTATGTATTATAATATAATAAAATAAATTGTGTTTAATCAGATAATTGCGTTTCATAGTTTTTGCCTTAGTAATTTGTTATTAAAAGATAGAATAATCGAAAAAGAATATCAAAATTTTTATTCCTTTAATAACAGATTTCAAGAATTGAAAAATCCTTCGGTATTACTCCAAACAATATTTCGTTATATTTTATAAGGATTAGATAAGATATTCTCAAATATAAACATTGTTGATAGATTGTAATAGTATATAGATTTCGCGGTTAATTTTGGCTATTTTCTTGTTTGCAAGTATAGTATCCTACCTTGTAGGGGGTTTTGCTTAGGATGCCTTATCTTATCTAAAAGATATAATTGAGTCCCATTATCTTAAGATATATGTGTATATACTTAAAAAAATGCTAATTTTAACTAAAACTATGAGTAATTATAAAATCAAAAATCTCTCATTTTTGATATAATTATCATATAATTATATCTTCTGAAATATATGAGATATAATTATCAAAATTTAGAGAAATGACTTTTAATACAACTATTATGTAAGAAAAATCTCTACGAACATTTAGATATGGTAAATTAACTATTCTAAGAAGGAAATTATATTTATGTTATTTAAAATTATATTTTTCATTCCTCACTTGGTTACCTACTACCATGAACTGTATACCTTTTAGGAAAATAAAAGGGTGCACTTTTCTTTAATAAGGAGTCAATATCATATTTCTCCTTGATAAGATTGTTGTAAGATGCTTCCCCCTCATTTTTAATTATCAATTGTTATCTCTTCTTTAATTCTTCAATTATCTAATATGATATTAAACATATTATACAGAATCATCTTTTTTAATTTTACACTTATCGTTAATCTGTTCTAATGAACTGGCTAACTTCGCTTATAATAGCATTAACTTCTTCAGATATTGTTCTTGCTTCTATAAATTTGTGGATTAAATCTTGTCATTATTTGGATCTAAGATATTTTAGTATATAACATTATTACCTTCAGTTTTTGTTTCTTATTGTTGTGGAATATTTAGAGATAAATAGGCATTTTAATAAGTATTTAATTGTTCATTTAATTTTTTTTCTTATTCTTTGACTTCAGTATATTTCTACCTTCTTTCAGATAGTTTAATCTCATATTCACTTTTTCTATCTTTTTAAGCCATGAAATCTATGAATTGATTGGTTTAATTATAATTTTCTATCTTAATATCGAACACCCCTCCTTTGACTTTCTCATATGAAGCTGCTAACAATTATAGTTTTTCACTGAGAAGCTTTTCTTCTTTTTCCTAAGCCTCTTTATTCTTTTTATTTTTAGAATCATCTTCTTTTTTTGCTAACTTTTTTCTTAATTTTTTAATAGATGCATTAGCTGAATCAGCAATCTTTTTATCCCCATCTTAGAACAATTTGTCTAGGTATTTTTTTTATTATAAACTATCTTTAATCTAAAAAATTAAGTTCCTTTAATGATTTCTTTTTTCCCTATAAACCTTTAAAAATTCATCAAATTATCTTTTTGCATATTTTATATTAAGCTAGCTTTTTTTAATTTCCTGCTCTTCGAATTTAATTAACTTAATGAAGTTTCTAGTTAAGTAATTTAAATTTCTAATATACTCTTCATTTTATTATTTATTATCTCTGCAAATTTTAAGGATCTTCTTCACTCTTGTCTTCATTTTATAACTTCTTTTTAAGTCTTTCTCAGCTATATCAGTTTGTTTCTTTAACATTTCAAGTGCCTATTTCAATCCATCCAAACTATTCATTTCTCTTACCAAATATCCTTTATTAAAATCCATAATCTTTAAGAGTTTATAAGTCTTGGCCAATTATAGATTCTCATAACTAATCTAATCCAATTTCCCTTTCATCATTCTCAGTTAACTATTTAAGACATTTAATTGTGAATTGGAGTGATTTTGGATGGAACCTTTGATAATTGGAAAGATTTCAGTAACTTTGTAAGAATAATGTTGAATGGAGGAAGTTGAAAACTGTTTCATTCGTTCCTTTTTTGATTTCATCTCATCAAGTAATTACATAGTTTATTTGCCATCATTAGGCACGCTACTCTAAGTTAGTTTTATTGATTTTGATTCTTCGTTTAGATGATTAGAATCTGTAAAATCAGATGTAATGAACATGAGATGAGGATATATATTGTCTGGAGAACTAAATTTCTTGGCTTATGAACTTCTGGTTGATAATGGAGGCAAGACAGAAATAGTGGATCTATCAAATCTGGCGCTAGAAATTGAACTAAAGTCTAATTATTCTCTTTTTTATTTTCTCATAACTTCATCCATATTCTTCTATTATAATACTGAAATTTATGGGATAATTTGCAATCTTAATTCTTCATGGTGTTTTTATTCATACATTTCCTTTTTCTTTCTTTTTGCTTCTAGTGCTATTTTTAGAGCAGATTCAGTAAAAGCATTCTCGTCCTCTACACTCATGTAATCAGTTGCAGATGAAAAGCATTGCTTAATCACAGTTGAATAGTCACACTTTTTACTGATACTCATACATGCCCAAGGAAACTGAATCCAAATCCATCTCTTATAATAGTAATCTGTTGATTCCCTTTCAGTTGATTAGAGCAGATCTTCTGATAAGTTTTCTTCTTTGGCTTACAGAGTTTTTCTTAATTTCTAATCAATTTCATCAGCCAATTAATCCACAGATTAAGGCTATTCCTCCTCATTATCGGTAGGTTCAGCTGGCTTACTTAGTTACTTCAAATAGTGAGACCTAATTTCCGCTCTGTTTTAGGCTATTTCAACATTTAAGGATTCCTACTTCGATAATACTGGAGCTGTTTATGGTTTAGCTACACGCTTTAAATGTTTGGCTGGGTCAAACTACTTCAATTCTGGAGCTTTATCATAATAGAGATCCAATTTTAGTATTTCATACAACAACCCTATATCATAGAGATCATTTAGCATTCCAATAATAGGAGGATGTCTAAAGACTGGTGTGTTTTTTGTTTCGAAATCTCCGAATTCCTTTAGAAATCTAGAGATCTGAATAATGATTCTAAACATATCCTCCGCATTTGGATGATAGTGGATTTGAAAACCTTCAACAGCTTTGTTATATTCCAACACTGGGTCAAATCCATTTTCCTCCAAAGATTGCCAATATCTACACAAATCATATTTATTAGAAGGATTAAACAAGAGTAAGAAATTTTCGATTATACTAATAACCTCTTTTAAAGCGAAGTAATTCTTTGCACTAAATAATTGAAATGTTTGTTCCTCCAGTTTTCTAATGGAATTTGGAGTGATCTTATCTATGGATGCAGCAATTTTATCATGAAGCTCCAAAATACTATGTACATCTGTATAATATTGATTGATAACCACTTTTTTAAATATTTCATTGTGTATTAACCATAAATCTCTATGTTTCATTATATAAACCTTAAAGAACACAAGAAATCGTTTCCATTCCTATTAGGTGATATCACAAACTGATTCTATCTCTTAGTATGTCAATCCTTTTTAGGTTAGGGATAAGACAAGAAGGACATTTTTGAATTTTTCTTTATCAAGCAATTCTGCTTTAGAGAATATTTCTAATTGGAATTGAAATAGATCCTCAACAACCTTCATCTTCTTGAAGTGATCAAGAGTTAGAGAGTTCAGGATGTTTTCAATGAATGAAATATCTATTTCATTTTCTTCAACAACTCCATCTGTTGGGTAAGGTACAAATACAGAAAAGTAGGATCTTACAAAGAGTGGTTGATTTCTAACTTTGTAATTGAGTTGTATGAAGATATCTAAAATATGATCAAATTTCTAAATATATAAAATTTGACTACTTAAATAAATAAATTCTTCCCCAAATGATTATTAACCATCTATTTCATGTATGCTTTATCAGACACAATAGGAATCACTTGGCAATCCGGTTTAAGTAATCTCATCGAAGAGGATTGTCTTTCAGCAGTTACAATTACTTTGATATTAGTTGGAAAGTATTTTGGCAACCAAAAATTGACGTTGGCTTCTCTATGCATATCCAGGATTTCTCTAAAGTTGTCAATGCCCTCAAACACCAGAATAACCTGTTATATTAATAGGAAGAAATACTTTATCATAGATTGTTTCTGCTCCATTGATAATTTGCTATTCTAATTGTCTACTACATATTTCTAGCCAATATTAAAAGTAACGTCTTAATTTCTCTTCCAAGAGCTCCACTTTTTGTTTAATATTCAACGCTTCTCTTAATTTGATTAGGATTCTATATATTGCATAATAATAATTGCTATTTTTTCCTGACTAAGTGGCAAAATGAGGAATGATGAAATCAGGATATCGCTATTATTTAATATAATCTTACTCCTTTTTTATTTCTGGCATGGTATTCCATCCACTTTACCAAGAGCGTTTTCTTTCCTATTCCATCATCGGCTTCTAGGACCAATGGAGTGTTGGTATGTAATGTTTTATCCTCATCGAGCCACTATTCGATCTCTAAAAAATATCTGTCCAATCCGCTCACTTATCTAGCCATAATAAATTTATCTACTGATTTTTGTAATACTCCACAATCACATCGTTTGAGCTATAGACTATCTAATTAAGATTACTCAACAAAGTTCATGTTTTCATTTCGCATTGATTCTAACGTGCTCTTTCGATCCGGTGGAGTAGAGGCTTGTCTTGAATATGCATCATCCATCTTTTTAAGAAAATTATAATATAATTATTGTACAAACCAATCTAAACTAAACCATATACAATCCACTAATAATATATATATGTAAATCATTATTTATTTTTAAGTTATCTCATCATTCTTTCATTATCCTACCTTATTACTTATATCTATTAAATATTTTAATATTTTAATACCTTTTCTTAAAGGCTATTTAAATCATTTTAATTCAAATCCGAATCATTTAGAATTTACTATAATCTTTTATTTTCATCTTGAAGCAATTTCAGTTTGTCATTACACTCATCATACAATTTCAATTTAATTTCCTCCTTTTAACATGATTATTTCAAGGCCTCTTCCTCCTTCCTGCTTTTTATCAATTTCTCTTTGACAAGGTCATTCTCATGCTTCTATTTCTGAATTGAACTGGCAAGATTACTCCCATTTTTCAATTATAAATTTATTCGATCATTTTCTAAAATCAAAGTTTAAACTTTATTTTCCAACTCCTAAACTAAATCATTTAATTCTTGAGAATTATCGCTCTTAATTTTCCCTTCCAATTCTTCACAACGTATTCGATAATTCTAAATCTCATTTTTCAAGACTGCCAATTGATTGTATGCTACTTTTCTATCATTCTAGTATTTGACTATTAGATCTCTCAATGCCAACACATCAGGCACTTTCATTAGTTCTGTATTATCAAGTAACAATTATTTATTCATCTAATTAAGCAATTTTATCTTATCCTCCAATTCTTTAATCAATTAGACTGATTGAACTCTCTAGGCTTCAGATTCTAATTTCTAAATCTCTTAGGTCATCTTAATACTTTGCTATTGTAAACATTTCAATTCTTCTTAGAGAGCAAATGTATTCGTATAATTGACTACTTTTTATGAGTTTTATGACATCAGAGTAGGTGAAACATAGGAAGATGATTGAGCAATTTGTTTAGGTTATTGATTTGTTTACATTTGCGAAAAGAATTGCTGTGGTTTTAAGTCTTTAGTGTTTGGAGATTAGAATTAAAGTTAAGGAGATTGATGTTGAGGAGAAAGCAAATATGGTTAACGATTTTGAGGTGATTGCAATATTTAAGCATTCTCATGACGCTGTTGAGGACTCATGGGAATAAAAGGAGCAGTTTGTGAATTAAATTAATTGGCATCCTCCTTTTACAGTTACTTTCCACCTCCAACTTTGAATTGTATTTTATACTCAGATGCATTTGGTGTTTACTAATGTGTTAATTGTTTAGTTGGAATCACTGGTTTGTTGACCATTTCCATATCGCTGGCTGTCTTTTGCACCAAACTCTTATTCTCAACATTTGTGAAGGGCGAACGAACCTAGAATTGATTGTATAATTGAGCAGGATTAGCTATTTTAGATACTGGAGTTGTTTACCTATTTGTTTGTTTTTAGAGACTTAGAATTACTGCATGACTAACAGCCAAATTTTTATTAATAAGAAATTAAATAATTGGAATTCAACATATATATAATCATTTATTATGATAGCTTTTGGATATATTACAACATTTAGCAATGAATCCAGACATCTATAAAAACGTAGGCAATCCCTCTAAGATTCTAGCTTTAAGAAAAGCAATTTGACGTAAGAATTCAAATTAAAGATCTCTGTCCCCATTATGATTTTGGATAACTTTATTGAATGTATTGGTAATGTCATAAGCCATATACCCATTATCGAAAATCGATTTCATAAGTGATTAAGCTGGTTAGAATTCCCCTTTCAACATATGATCTAAGATTTTCTTCAAATCATCAACATTAGGCACATCGCAAACCTTGAATACGTTTTCTCTATTGACTAATCCAAATCCTGTAAATGTGGCTTACAGATTGTTTATTGCTTGTCTCATGTCTCCTTCTGCTGTAAATGTTAAAGCATCCAATCCATCCTTTGTGTAAGTAACACTCTCTTAATTTATGATCTCCAACAATCGATCTCTGATTTCTTTTTCACCCAATCGATTGAATCTCAGAATACAACATCTACTTTAGATTGCATCGATCAATTTTGTTGAATCATTGCAAGATAATACAAATCTCGTTGATGTCGAATAATCACTTATGATCATTCTCAAAGCCTATTATGCACCTTCTGTTAAACTGTCAGCTTCATCTAGAATTACTATTTTATGCTATCCTTCCTGAAGATTGACTTTCTTTTATGCAAATCCTTTAATTTGCTCCCTCACTGTTTCTATACCTCTATCATCAGATGCATTCAATTCAAGAACACTTTCTTTTATTGAATCTCCCAATATTTATCTGGCTAGACATAAAACACTACTTGTTTTCCCTATTCCTGGAGGGCCAACCAATATGATATTGGGTAGATTTCCCATTTTTGCTATTGCTCTAAGTTTATCTACGATATCCGAATTGCCATGAACCTCATCTAGAGTTTTTGGACGATATTTTTCTAACCAAATTAAATTGTTTTCCATTGAGCGCGGAATTTATATTTTTATATAATATATTCATAATTTACAATTCTTGATTAATCTGACAAGGAAAATTAGGAATATATATAATATAAATAAAATGACAGACGAATTCTTTAACCTTGATTTTGAAGACAATTGCTATCAATCATGTCAATATCAATTCACCAGTAGTAGAGATAGTGGCATGTCATCCGATGATACTCACTAAAAAAATGTTTAGATTAAGAAGAAAAACATTGCCAAAAAATATGAACCAATCTACGAAAACAACATTGTATATAGATATGAAGACAATCCAGAATAATATAAGAAAATTAGAAAGTAATTCATGAATCCTATCAAAGGAAACTATAGAATAGAGAATCCGCTAATAGAGTTCGAGGAAGGTAAAAGAATTATGTCCAGGATATGGAATAAGAACTTCTTGACATGAAGAAAGAGAACCAACATCTCTAAATGCTGAATGCCAAATTACAGGCTGAAAATGTTGTTCTAAAACAATAGGTTGAATTTATGTAAAACCTTATTATGTAATCTCAACCTCATCAAAGTGATAACACTTTACAAAGAGACACTACCAAAAATAGTCATTTAGCTACTTTAACTGCCTTCTCAGCTATATTAGGTTTCGCATTTCTAAATGGAGGAGATTTAGAATCAAAGGAATCCATTATGGGGGCAAAGGAAGTAACCAATGATCCAATCATTGCAGCTCCAGTCATAGTCACTCATTCTATCAAACCCTTTTTATTCGGTTCAGCCATAGCTCTTTGGCTTGTCTATGCTCTCTACGTTGTCTATAAAGTGTTTTTAAAAAGTAAATTAAAAAAGAAAAAAGTTATTTGATTATTTTAAAAATAAAAACAACATTATTAAAAAACTTGATATCATATTAAACACCATATAAATTTTCCTAAGATAGATGATAATAATTCAATACATACATTACTAGTGATTTCAAGTAATTTTTCTGATGTAGAAAAATAAAAGAAATTTGCAATTAAGGATATTACTATTCTAAAATACTAGCATAGTATATTAATTCATAAAGCATTCAAACAATATGATCATATTTTGTAGACCTAACTCATACATTTTAACTAATTCTTAAGAATTCTTTTGAGAAGTTATCAAATCCTAAGGCAATAGATTTGTCCTTAGGTCTAAAAGAGTAACTATCTAATCTAAAACTTATTAATAACTTAATTTATAGGTAATTACTTCATTTTATATTAGAATGCCAATTTTTGCTTTGAAGCCAAACTGGAAGAAGAGAATAAATTATTTATATTTAAGTAAAATGTAGAGTTGCCAAAACCAATAAAAACAAAATAATAAAATTCACAGAGATTTAATGATTACTCTTTATTGCAACTAAAGAAAATCTGTTGATGAGGATCAATCATTTAGAAATTAGGATCTTATGAAACCCACACTAATAGTATTGCTATGGTAAAAAGAATTTAGTGAACATCAAGTAATGGCAATTTCATAATCTATAAATATACACTGATTACTCATTTATTTATCATCAATTTATTGTTAAAATAATTTGATAAACAGTTCATTAATAAATAATTAATGTTTAAAATGTGCTTTTCTTTGAATGAATCAATTATGTAAAGATAGACATTAAAATATGATTAAATGAAAATTATTAATTTTATCATTTAGACTCCTGTTTTTGTTATTATTCTTATAGTTCCAATTCTTATATCCCTTTTTAGTACAATTTGTCCCATTCCAGAATTGTTTCATCTAAATTATTTACACAGATTTAGAAGGCTCCCTTTCCAAACACATTCATTTGATGATATAATGGTCTCACAATTACCTTTATGAATCCCATTTCATTCTTAGACATAACATGCAACTATGAAGTTTAGGATAAACATATACTTTGTCTAAATCTTTCATAAATGGTTATTGAGGATATCCTTTCTTTCCCTCATCCTCATATTATGCTCTGTACTCCTAATTGATCTTCTCACTCCAAAGTTAACTCTAAGGCCACTTTCGAGCAGTGCCATTAAAATCTGCAGTGTGGGTGATCATTCCACAAAGCAAAGATAAATCTTCTGGATCATTTCCATATTATTCAATTCGAGATTCAAATTCTTTCAGCATCTTAAAATGTTCTTACATATCCGTAGCCAGAATATTAGATATCAATTATTTTCTAAATGTTCTAAAATCTTGATCTGAAAAATTGCATAAGATATTTGTTGATGAATCTCTAAGAATTTTGACAGTTGTGGCTGCATGATGTTATTCCAACACCTAAAATATCGATAATAATGCTCACCACTCTATCATGATACCTGATAGCCAGAGTACTCAAAGAGTTAGCTTCATAAGCGTTTGTTTTACCAGTGTGAGCTACATCATGGCAAAGTCCAGAAAGCAGTAAACAGAATCTAGTTATGTTATTGAATAAGTGTTCTCCTAAGTGTTGTAATAATTATTTGACAAAGCAATTTACAGATTACATCACTGCGATCCCATGGTCATAATTATGATAAGGATTATTATTCATATTATATTGAGTTTCCATCTCATTTAAGAAAGCGACTAATTTTTCTTATGGAATGCCAAACATTTATATGAAATTGCCTCTTGCCAAAATTGACCAAACCAGTCTTTGCTTTTCAATCATATTATTTACCTAAAATATAATAATAATATTGATACCTTATGAATATTAAAATCTAGAGAATCTAAGATGATATCTTGCTCATTAATACTTAAATGAGATTCATTAAATTTATTCGGATTGACTTTCATAGACTTTTTCTCCTCCTCTCTTTATTTGAAAAGGAAACTATTCTTTCCAACCACTTAGTCTTTTTTTATCTTTCTAAAAACTAAGGTTGGAGTCTTTTATGACTATTATTAAACGGAATTAAATTCCTGAGTTTAAGGCATATACATAGCCACAACTGAATTCCTGATATCAGGATTGAATTCTTCTAGTTTCTTAATATAATCCATGGTTTCTGTTTGTAATAACTATTGTCTAACTAAATTTCCTGAATTTGGAGGCTGTGCTTTTCTCCTTACCCAATCATTCTCTGACACGATTAAAGTAAATCCTTTAAATTGTTTCTCCTCTTTCCTTATGAAGATTTCAAATATTTTATTTGATTCATCTTCTTATTGATTCAATTTCCACTTAGAATTACTAATATAGGTTTCAATTGTTTATATCATTGATTAATTTGAGTTAAAGATTTATTTGTAAGTCTAATCGATCTGTGTTTTATCTATATTAAATTATTGTTTTATTTTCTGAGGCAGCGCCTTACTCAAAAACCTTAATCTTCCTTATTTATCAAAATCAATCATGAAAAGACTCTTTGATCTAAGGAAATATTTATAAAAGGACATTCTCTCATAACATTACTTTATAAATTGTTGGTATCTTTGATATAATTAGTTGACTTGATTGTAAATTATTAAATCCTAAGGTTTCTTTAAGTCCAAATCAGTAGAAAATAAGTATTGAGATTATGAATCCTTAAACTTAAATGTTACTAGCTGAGGCTAGTATTCATTAATTTGCTGTATTTGATATTATCCAATAATTATTGATAATATTTATTCGATTAGTAAATACTTTGAGCATCTTACTATCTCCAATCCTATTTCTAATACAGTATCGCCAATTGATAAAATGCTAAAATATTGAACTTTAATTTATTGTTCAGTATAAATCACAAATTGAGCAAGGTCGATAATTGAATCTAAATACTTGTATTTACTTGCCAACATAACAAACTAAGTAAAACTTTAATCTAATTGCATAGTAAAAAATTAGGTTTGAGACAACTTTAATATGTATTCGCCATTCCTAAAATATTTTCTCAAGAATTCGAGTTGTTGAATTTCTGTAATGTCTGTGAGATTTTACAATTCTCTTTTACATTACTCATCTAAATCCAACTATTCATATTTTTCATCCCTGTGTAATGATACTATTTCTTCTTTGATTATTATGTAACCATAGGATGTACAACCTATTAGTTAGTTCAAAAATGTCTTAAGGAATTCTTAGATATCTTTTGGTTCAACTTTTTCATCCATCAATAAAAGAAGTGAATTCATATAACGTGAATACCTTTGCTAAGCGTTATGACAAAATTACTTTTATTAGCTAGTAAATCTATTGCAATTACTGATTAATAGTGATATCAATTTCTTCCTGTTAATCAATCTAATATAAAAGTCTCCGCAATTTTTAAATTTTGTCTCTAAACTCTTCATTCATCTAATTTTGATTTGAAAAATATGCATATACCTGTTAATTTGAGTTTTGGAACATACTGTTCAATTATTTGATTAACTAATCGATCATTTTTACAGTTTGAGTCTAAGATAAATTTATGCATTACTAAAATTTATCCCTCATGCTTTTTTGATGGGCTCAACTCTTAGGTTTATGATTTAGATAGAGTCATCTGAAGTTAGGAAATGTAGGATAACAGCATTTCCTTCATTTGATTATCATCATGTTATTTTGACAATAATACTAAGAGTGAGGGATCCTTGACTGTCAATTTTTATTTCACGATCTTTTTCTCTTATAAAGAGATCAGATTTTATGATTCCATCTCTCCCAAAACGTGGAAAAAGTTAAGATACCCACAAAGACTAGGCGAGTTAAGGTCATCCTATTTCATATTTTTATTCGTGTAAAATAATTAATTATATCAATATTCTAATACTTTTATCAAATTATCATTGTCGGCAGATCCATTTGATGTTTACATTCATGATATACGTATGAATTATATTGTTCGATATCAGTCTATTCTAATTGCTATAATGAACCGATTAATCAATAACAGTAATTGATTATATGATCTAGAATAAATTATTTTCATTATTTTTGTAATAGTTATTTGTTTTTTGAATTATAATACCAGAAATCATAAATGAAACTCATTTGATCAATATAGCATCGATAAAGAGTAAAATATATTCATTTGAACAATTATTACTATTATTTATGATTATTTATCTCTTATTTCATCATTTCTTTAAAACCAGTTGAAAAAATGGTGGAACCGTTTTATCTATAAATGATGGAGAAATTCAAAATTAGGAATGTAGCATTTTGTTCAAATGAATAATTATTGTCTAAAATTTAGTTCTAAAAGAGAATTAATTGCAAAAGTGAATTCGTACTGTGCCCTTCCAAGAATGATTAGTTATGTATAAATAATGCAATTAATCAAATTAAAAAATGCAGTAATTATAACATGAATAAAAAGTATGATTAATTTATACCCTCTTCTTTTTATGATTTAAAATATTTAAAAAAATTTTAGAATGTAAAATAATTGGATATAAATTTTCTTAATAAAACTTTTCTTAAGCTCCTGAATGTAGAGAGCGATTAATACAATCAAAACTCTAAAAATCTTTCGATCTACATCAAAGTTCCAATTTAACATAGTTTATCTCACATACCATAAATTGTGAGATATTAGTAATAGGAGAAATTCTAAAAATGTCAAAATGGACTCAACACCATCATTACTTTAAGCGAGGTCATTGCATTATATAATTTTGACTTAATATTTAATAATTATAGAAATTACATTGTTTTTCATTATTTATTCTTAAGATTATTTTATTCATGGATCATTTTTTGTATGCTATAAAATCAGCAATCAATTAACTTGAGATTAAGCAGCCTCGATATGCCCCAATTTATTATATTCTGACTAGTTCGCTAATGTTTTCAATAAATTCAATGCTTAGTAAAATGATATCGCATATAGCTTCATCTTAAATTGTGTTTTTTAGAGCTATAATTATGTTTTTGATCAACTTTGCAGTGACTAGCAATTAAAACATAAAGCTTTATGGGTTTACATCAAAAATTATTTATGAGAAGCATATTTGGATGTTTAGGAACAATTTGTTTCTATGCAGGTATTATGTAGGTTAGTGTGTCAGAGGGTCAAGTTCTTTTTAGAACTTCTCCTCTTTGGACATCTCTTATGGCGATATATTATTTGAAAACAGAAAAGGTTTAGATAAGTCTATTTATTAACTTGGTTGTATGCTTTTTTGGAATCTTTCTCATTAGTTAGCCTCCAGCGCTATTAGAAATGTTCGGCTATCAAAAAAGGGAAAGTCAAGTATAGACTTAAATGAGTGGAATAATATTAATGTTGTCTGCTGCTATATTCTCATCAATAATACAAGTATTAATTAATACTTTAGCTAAGACTGTATGAATTTATTTAATCTAGGTAAATTAATTAGTTATTCTATAATATTTTTCAATTATATCGATAGTATTAACATCAGTGACTCTATTCATTACTCCAGCTCAATAATGGTTGGTACCAAATTATTTAGAAATGTCTATGTTGACTTTGATTGGGTCTACCTCGTATATTATATAGCTATTGATGAATAGAGCATATATGAAAGGGAACCTTACAGAAATATCCATGTTAGGTTAGTCCTAAGTTATTTATGGATATGTAATTGATATGTTTATGGGAACCAATCTATCAATTTTTAGCATTTGCGGTACAGGCGTGATTGTTGCTTCTTTAGTGAAGGTAGTTTTTGACAAATCGAAATAAGAAAAAGGTCATTGAATGATGTATAAATATATTTATGAACTTGTTGGTAAATTCTTGCTGTCTTTAACTTTACTTCACTATTAATATTNACCCTCTTCTTTTTATGATTTAAAATATTTAAAAAAATTTTAGAATGTAAAATAATTGGATATAAATTTTCTTAATAAAACTTTTCTTAAGCTCCTGAATGTAGAGAGCGATTAATACAATCAAAACTCTAAAAATCTTTCGATCTACATCAAAGTTCCAATTTAACATAGTTTATCTCACATACCATAAATTGTGAGATATTAGTAATAGGAGAAATTCTAAAAATGTCAAAATGGACTCAACACCATCATTACTTTAAGCGAGGTCATTGCATTATATAATTTTGACTTAATATTTAATAATTATAGAAATTACATTGTTTTTCATTATTTATTCTTAAGATTATTTTATTCATGGATCATTTTTTGTATGCTATAAAATCAGCAATCAATTAACTTGAGATTAAGCAGCCTCGATATGCCCCAATTTATTATATTCTGACTAGTTCGCTAATGTTTTCAATAAATTCAATGCTTAGTAAAATGATATCGCATATAGCTTCATCTTAAATTGTGTTTTTTAGAGCTATAATTATGTTTTTGATCAACTTTGCAGTGACTAGCAATTAAAACATAAAGCTTTATGGGTTTACATCAAAAATTATTTATGAGAAGCATATTTGGATGTTTAGGAACAATTTGTTTCTATGCAGGTATTATGTAGGTTAGTGTGTCAGAGGGTCAAGTTCTTTTTAGAACTTCTCCTCTTTGGACATCTCTTATGGCGATATATTATTTGAAAACAGAAAAGGTTTAGATAAGTCTATTTATTAACTTGGTTGTATGCTTTTTTGGAATCTTTCTCATTAGTTAGCCTCCAGCGCTATTAGAAATGTTCGGCTATCAAAAAAGGGAAAGTCAAGTATAGACTTAAATGAGTGGAATAATATTAATGTTGTCTGCTGCTATATTCTCATCAATAATACAAGTATTAATTAATACTTTAGCTAAGACTGTATGAATTTATTTAATCTAGGTAAATTAATTAGTTATTCTATAATATTTTTCAATTATATCGATAGTATTAACATCAGTGACTCTATTCATTACTCCAGCTCAATAATGGTTGGTACCAAATTATTTAGAAATGTCTATGTTGACTTTGATTGGGTCTACCTCGTATATTATATAGCTATTGATGAATAGAGCATATATGAAAGGGAACCTTACAGAAATATCCATGTTAGGTTAGTCCTAAGTTATTTATGGATATGTAATTGATATGTTTATGGGAACCAATCTATCAATTTTTAGCATTTGCGGTACAGGCGTGATTGTTGCTTCTTTAGTGAAGGTAGTTTTTGACAAATCGAAATAAGAAAAAGGTCATTGAATGATGTATAAATATATTTATGAACTTGTTGGTAAATTCTTGCTGTCTTTAACTTTACTTCACTATTAATATTTTTTTTTGTATTGGATAATTTTTCTAAAATTTATTTTTAAATTAGACTGGGTGAAATGAAGCACCAAATATTGATCTAAAATAGGATGACCTTAATTTACAACATAAAACAAATGATCCTAGTCTAATTTACAATGCTTAATTTATATTCTTACCCTTCCTCATCAGCGAATCATATCTCTAATTGCATATAAACCTCTAAATATCATGATTTAGATTGGATTGATAGGTACCTTATAAAAAGCCTTACAAAGGGTGCCCTATAGGAAAACCAAAAGAAGAAGTATCTTTAAAAGAATGATGAAACCTATAAATGTTATTAACTGAAATATTTGAAATGCAGGATTCTATGAATCCAATCATGACTAACTAATTAAAAATTATAAGGCATGCACATAATCAAAATCCACTGAAATAATACTAATAATAAACAAAGCAATTTGTATTAATTGATTTCAAATTACTTATAATATGGAGTATAAGGATTTATGTAATAATAAAATGATTTATTATTATTTTTACAAAAAATTTTATTGTTCTAAAGCTTCCAAATATCAATTAAGAAATATATTAGCAGATTTCTTTAATTTACAAAGGTATGAGCAACAGCACCGAAAATTCCAGACTGACTATAAACTATATATTATTTGCATTGTATTTATTCATCATTGATACATAATGCTAACATTGTGACATTTTTTCTAATATTTTGATACAGAATATGATTAAAAATGAATTTATGCTTTAAATTATTCTCATGTTATTCTTGAGTATAAAAGTAATTTACAAATTTTCATTTTTTCTCTCAAAGTAAAGAAGGTAAAAATATTAATTTTTTGAGTCAATAATCTAAAATATCTTAGTTAATGTTAAAAAATTATTTAATCACATAAGAATAATGCTAATAATAATAATAATAATAATAATGATTTTTATGGTGATATTACGTATCAATGTGTACGGCCTCTTGGTATGTCAAAGTTCACGCTTGTTGAGCATGTTTGAATATTTCTTAGAAATGGAAGGTCTTGTAGGTGATCTACAACCTATCTCAGGTAATCACAGTCGCTAGTCACTTTATAGTATATGCAATTCTAGCTCTCTTCATCTGGCACTCTCATTGTTATTAATCTGATATTATTTCCCCCAGTTATTTTTATATTGCAATGTCCGATGTATTTATATACAATATCCATCAAGCAGATGTTGCTTTCGGTTAATGGGGCCAGTTAAATTAGATCATTCTTATCTACCTTCAAGAATGGCAATTAAGACATTATCTAACTCTTCACTTATGGATCTTTGAATCTTATAATTGCCCTCTCTATCCAAAACAACTTAAGGAATAGTCTCAAGTAAGAGTTCAAACCGAACTAACCTACAATTTTACTAGTCCCTCAGGAAATATTAATTACGGAAGAATGAATGGATCTTTTTTTATTCAAAAGAAGCTAATTGGAGCTTAGAAATTTGTTCAATCTTTTTTATCTCTTCTTGATTTCGTTTGCATTCCTAACATTACAGGATATTTATTAATCCATCCTTAATTTCTTTTCTAAATCCCTACTTTTAATCCGATAGTTTTTCCTCCACCACTTAGGTTTAGTTAAGTTATTGTTTCATCTTCTGTCCCTCAAGGACTTAAAATACACTTCGAATTTTTGAGCTTTCTGTTGAGTTTTCTTTGCTTTTCTTGATTGTTACTTATATAAGTTCTTTCCTTCCTCTTGCAAGACTGATATATCAAGGCCTGTCCTATTGAATTAATTNTTTCTTTCATAGAGGAAATATTCCAAGTGACTAATTTGATTGGGTTTTTATTTTTATTGTTAAAATTGAGACACTAAATATGATTATTGCCAGGATCTTAAGACAGCGTCTAATTCTTAGTCCTGGTGGAGCCGTGTAGGGGCTACACTCATTCAATCATTTAGCCATCTAATGTGTGGGAACTTTCTTTAGGCACTTTATTCTTATGAAACTTTTTCATGTGTTATGCGTAATCTTAAGTGTTATTGAAGATATTCTTGCATTAATGGAGTTTTCCACCGCAAACAAATATCTAATCATCTTCCTCCTCCTCTTCTTCAGATAACTAATTAAATGGTTATTATTAAGATTATGTCATCTTACAAGGAGTTTTAAATTGAACCTATTTGATAGGATCCTGAATTTAAGGAACAGTAAGTTTTAAAGCAGAAATTTGTTTTTTAATGGAAGATTACAAATCTTTTATAATTTTTTGTTCAATTGATTATATGATGCGATCTTATTAAATGGGTTAATTAGAAAATATTGTTGGGGATTGAGCATTATTTACGGTTAGTAGGTGATTTGAATTTCGAAGTGAAGGTGTTGAAGGTTTATTTTTTTGATTTTTTTTTTTTTTCATAACATTAAATATTTGTGAGTTCTTTTGATAGATGAATAGAGGCTACTCATTCTTTTATATTGAACCATTTTAGGATAAAAGTATCCAGCATTTACAATTTCTATGCATAAGCTATCGTTGTTATCTTAAGCTTTCTAAATAATAGTGGATTTGCAATTCTGCAATCCAAATGATTCCTCCAAGATGTCTATTATATTGCTTTTCTATTTAGGTTGCAATGTGAGTTTTTAGTTCTGTTTTTGAGAAAGGTCATTATTGATTTACTCAATTTAAACGTTGAATTTCTATTCTAGCGCAGATAATTATGGTAATAGTTAATTCATACTATTGTTTAAAAAATTCAACATGGCAAAAACCCAGTGTGTTAAATTTACTAGGATATTTTGTAAAGTTGGATCTTAAAGATTTTTTGCTTATTAATGGATCTCGATCAGTGCACTAAGTGCTTATGAGGGGGAGAATTATTCCATACCACAAAAATTTTTTTTAATAAAAAAAATGATTGTATATTTAATTCTCAAACAAATTTATTGTTTCATCTTCAAAATATAAAACACAACTTAGTATTTGAAAACATCAGACTAAGCCAAAATAAGAATAATATTGAGGTAGTACATTTAAAATAAAGATTTTATGAAGAAGGATATACTAAGCGTAACAATTATTAGATGTTCAGAAAAATTATTGAAAGTCATCATTTAAAATTTCACTTACTTCCAAAAATCTGTACATCTTGTTTAGAGTTAAAACTGAAAATTATAATTGGATAATTTTACCTTTAGTAATAAAATGTCTTAAAATTTTAGGATTTTTAATAATTGCTACATCGTAATTTTATAACGATTCTACTAACCTGTTCAATTTTTCTAAAATTTCCTCCTAAACTACTTATAAGAGAGTAAAAGCTAAGAAACCATGTTAAATTATACCCTTATTATTAAAATAGTCAGAATTTTTTGGATTTTCTAAATTGTTTATTCAAAATTTTATAAAACTTCTTCTAATATTTAAATTTAATTTGTTATTATAAAAGCCTGAATTTTCTGGTTTTTTCTAAATGGCTAAATCAAAATTTTATATGGCTTCATCCAATACATTTATCTAAGAAGCATTGGAATAGTATGATTCAGCTATTTAGATAAACCCAGAAAATTCTAACCATTACAATAAGAAATAGATTTGAAGAAGCAATAATATATTATGATATAGCTATTTAGAAATAGTTTTTAATGAATAAAATTCACTTTTGCTTAAAGTCTTCTAAGAAGCAACTACCCTTTGATTTAAACAAAGGTTTTAAATCTATCCCTTAATAATTCATGAATTGTCCTTATAAGATGAGTGTTCCTGATGCTTGGAATAAAGGATTCTAACTTATTCTAAGTATTGTACAATAAGGATTAACTAAATAATAAGAAACATTACCATTTGGCAATAAGGAGCTATTCTGAAGAGGTATGCTAAACTAGGAAAGCAGATCTTTATAGCTACTATCTGATTGAAGTATTTCATTTGACGTTTTTACATCCCATAAACGAATAGAGTTATCATCACTACCAGAAGCTAATGTATTTCCATCAGGTGAGAAATTGACTGAATAAACAGTTGATTAATGGCCATCTAATTTGGCTTTTTAATATCCTGTCTTAACTTCCCATAAACGGATAGACCTATCTGAACTACCAGATGCTAATGTAGTACCATCAGGAGAGTAACAAATTGAATTAACAAATGATGAATGACCATCTAATTTATTC